ATAGGCACTTAAGCTTGAAGAGGGACTCGGTGGCAAAGCGAATTTGGCTCGGATGGGTAGTTTTACGGTATAGCACTCGCACACTGTAGTGAAACCACCTCTACTGGGGCATTATACACGCTCATATGTACGTATATTTGTTCATTCCAAATAGGTACATTGAAATTCGGAATAATCTATAACACCCTGCATTGTTTTGTGCAGCATGTGACAAATAATTGATTCCAGACTTGCTAAGTTCGTTCGAAGAAAATTCGAATAACCTCGTTATAACGAAGCCAGTGGGGCGGCAAAAAAATTCGATATAAGCAGTGATTCGATATACGTGACTGCCCCATGAGAGCTCGGCAAGTACAGCTAAATTAGCCATGACAACTTCCCAAAAGTGGTATTCAGTGAAACAAACCTGTATTCATGCACAAAAAAAGTAAGTCAGCTGGCTATGTAGGGCGCTTTGGCTGGGTAGCGCGAGGAATACCTGCTCCAGTTTGTTCAGGCAAGTCGTGGTTATGAAGGTGTGGTTGCCGCCCGCACACACCTCTCTATTTCGCAACAAATGGAGACTCTCCTGCGTTTGTGCCACTGTTGGTATTTCGCGAGGCTGTTCGTCTGGCGGCCCATCTTCCTCATTAGGCCTCCAAGCAAGTCTACTATTTCGGCTAGCTAATCAACCAGGGCTACACCAGATTCCCCAGTACAGTCAAATCTCATTATAACGAAGTTGAATGTGGAGTCCTAATTACTTTTTTATAACCATTAGTTTGTTATAACGAATATCCATTTCTACCGACTATTAGCCAGCAAGAGAGAATGTAATCACCAACGAATATCATAGCAGCTCGCCGTGCAGAGAAAAACGGCCGTTGGAAGGTAAAAAGATAGCAAAATAACGAAGAACAATGCACATTATTTCCTCCAAATTCAGCACACGAGCTGCCAGATCACTTCAAAGAAAAACAGTCTTTAATAGACTTTTATTGACTCTTCCTCGCGCAGATGACTGCTTTTTTCAGCTGCAGCAGTATTTCGATTCCATCCTTGATGTCATTGTAAGCACCAAAGAAGCGGCACAGCAGGTCTGTCGCATCCAGCACATGTGTGGGCGTTGGTACATCAGGTTCTCCAACATTGGGCTCCGAAGTGTTGACACATTCGTCACTGCCGTCATGCACGCCCGTCACCGCGGGCACAATTTTCGCATCTAACCACTGTTCGGTTGTCACCGCGTCAGCATCGGCACCGACTTGCGTGCAAAAAAGTGTTGGTAGTCAGGCATTATGCCAGCGTCAAGGAGAGCGCCCCACAACGTCTGGCCCTGGTCCCCCGCTGCACCCACTGGTGACATCGCTGAAATCTCCGGCTACTTATTTTTTTCTTGATGCCATACTCAACGACTTTCAACGTTGCCGACTTCTGCTCGATTGTTATATTTTTGCATTTATGTTTGCCGCTGCTGTTGTCCATCTCGTGTCTAGCGGCAGAAACTGATCGAGGTGGTGTTGCTCTTCCACAGCGAACAACAAGGAAAAAAAGCCACAATCTCCGCCGTCGCTGCGGCACTTGAGGCCCCAGCGTGAAGCTGAAGGAGAGAAGTAGGTCAGATGCGCTGGCAGGTGAACAAGTTCTACAGGAGAGGAGAGGCCGGCTGACGCGCGAGTTGCTGCATGGGCGAGTTCATTAGTTCCTGAGGAAAGGGGAGGCAGGGAGACTCGCTCCTACACGCGTGTTGTCAAGCAACTCCCGAAAGGCGCAAAGCGCGGGTTTTCATTTTACTGTAGCCATGATGAGATGTAAACCGTCGCGTGCTTATAAGATATTGAATTGACGTATACCGAAATGATCAGTAAATACTCATTGTGGATGAAGAATGCTTCATTATATCCATTGTGAGGAAATTTTCGCTTCGTTAAAATGAGGTTTTAAATACATGGGTGTCAATGAAAATTTCAAGGGGAATTACAATTGCTTCGTTATATCCCACTTTTTTATAACGAGGTTTTACTGTATCAGCAAATCAAGCTTGTCCTCCCGCGCGTTAGCACCGAACAGCACTGTAACACGTTTTCTGCTTTATTTACACTCGATGAGGTTCCGCCAGGTGTAGTGTACGTGCACGTCAGCAACAGTTTGTAAAAGAATGCTGCCTCCACCAAGCTGTAAATGTTTTCATCGTCATACTACTGAAGTAGGGCGCTCAGTCGATGCTTGCGCCATTCGTCCACAATGTTGCGGTCTACAGCTGCGCTTTCACCAGTGATCGATATTGAAGACACACTGTGCCGTCTCTTGAAATGTGCAAGCCAGCCGCTGGTGCACTTAAAATCTTGCTTGCCCACTTGGGCGGCTAGGGCTTTGGCTTCTGCGGTAGGTAAATGCAGGCCCATTCACAGGAAGGTTTGTACTTCCAGTGTTATTCAGCCATTCGATAAGCACCCCTTCTTCTACAGGATACATAGAATCACGGTTTCATTATCGTTTGGCTGAGATACTCTTCTCGAAGCTGTCCAGTACGGCATCCTTATTTATCAGAACAGTTGATGATGTTGACGGCGGTATTACGAGTTGTCTTCTGATTTCAGAATTCCACCTCACGTATCAGTTGAACTTTCTGCTCCAATGTCAGACACTTCTGTGCAGGCTCTGGCGGTGCCATTTTCACTTTACGGTCGCTAAATGCACTTCATGCGCGCGCACAACGTCACAGGTTCACACACCCCGCAGGTCGCGGGATCGAATCTCGGCTGCGGCGGCTGCATTTCCGATGGCGGAACTGCTGTAGACCCGTGTGCTCAGATTTAGGTGCACGTTAAAGGGCCACTCACCAGGTCCCATACCGAATTTTAGTTAGACAGTGGAAGTTGTTGGGTGTCCGATGAGGAACGTTTTGCCACAAAAAGTTTTCGGATCAGTTCATTACGAGCGGAGAAAACAGGTTTTTTGAAGCGGTGCGAAATGAGGGTGAGAGGAGGCGAGTTCGAAACCCTTGCCGCTTCTCCGCATAGCCTTCGCAAGCCGAATCTGTTCCCCACTCTCTCCGGCATCCGACCAATAGGTGATGTGCACATGATGTGCCGAACAAGCCCAGCCCCCGAGCACGCGAGCAGCGTTGCTTTGTTGACCAGCGTTATTTTGTGGCCTTCTGCCTGTTTCTGTGGGATGGTTTGGAAACGCTGGCTTAGACGCGGTAGTGTACATGAGCACAATGAGTGCGTGAACGCGTAGGAGCGTTTCACGATGGTCGTCTGCTCAATGCGCTGGCCACGGGGACACGAACGCAAGCGCAACGCTGGCACATTAACCCCGCAACTAGTAATATTTCACGAAAAAAAAATATAAGAAAAACGCGCACAATCTTTTATTGCGTCTCATTTATTTCAAATTTTATTCATCTCTTAAAGCAACAAATACATAAACTACGCATGTTGTGTTAAATAATTTTTGCCGTGTCACGTGGTTTACTGTTGACAACGCCAGAGCAGACTCATCTACGTAGAGGACCAACGTCACTGCATTGCCGTGTTTGTAGGGCTATTCCTACGCCTATGTCATGCCCTCATTCTCTACGCGTGCGCCGGCAGAGGGGAGGGGTTGCAGCTTTCATCTTGAAATTTGACCCATTTCCACGGCGCATAGCGTTGCAAAGTTTGGCAGACGTGATCATGAACGCCTCGTCTACGCATTGGGCTTGTCAGCTCAAAATTGTCAAACCTGGTGAGTGGCCCTTTAAAGAACCCCAGGTCGTTGAAATTTCTGCAGTCCTCCACTACGGCGTCTTTCATAATTACATGGTGGTTTTGGGATGTTAAACCCCACATATCAATCAATCAATCACATTCACACAGACATTGCACAACAGACACATACGTGCATCTTCCAAACACCGATGGAAAAAACCCAGGGGGCTAGGGATCATGCCAAGGTTCTGTATTGGTCAAGTGACACCACCAGCGTAGCTAACAGTGCAGTGGCTATCAGCGCCATAGCTGTGAGCAGCCGGCTAAAGTGCCTCTATGCGCTCGTTCGCCTTCGTGCACATTGAGGCAGTCTACAGCTGGCACAGAATTGTTCCGTGCAGGGAATTTTTTCTTTTTCGGGGAATTTTCGCCGGTAATTTTGAGCCAATGGGAAAAAGGGGATTTCAGAAATGGCTAAAGTTTCCTATGACGACCAATAATTAGCGATCACAGTGCACCTTCAACTGCTGTAATCGCTGTAACATGCACCATGCAAGCATAGCCTTTGAGGTTGGTTTCTGATATATATGCGGAACGATTTCTAGTTCACTAGCGGTGTTTGATTTGAAGCCTACAATGTGCAGTGTACCAATACTATATGAATTAATGAAGTCATGCTTTTGTTGTATGGCAGTGAAGGGGCTAGTCATGTATTGAAAAGCCGCCAGTACGTGAGACACGTGTAATTATAGTATGTGTGCGTGGATGGGTGCAGAAATTAGTACTGTTGTGCAGGGAATTTTGGTGGGAATTTTATTATGGTTTGCAGGGAAAAATCTCTGAAATATAGAATTTCCACGTTTCTGAATGGGAATTCTTCGGTGCAGTACGGAACATCACTGAGCCGGCATGTCAGCGAGTGCCTTTGTCGGTTGCCTCTGCACCTGAGTAGTGCACAAAGGTGGTGGGTAAAATCCACGCTGCCGAGACTCTCACGCCGTCTGCACCTGTCTGCATTGGCGCGCTTTCTCCTGGCCATGCTAGCACGAACATTGCTGGCTCAGCACAGAAAAGGCCACTCGGCGTGGGATGTGGAGGAGAAAAGCACGTGGCTTCTCGCTGCCGCTGCTGTGAATATCTGCAACTTGTTAGTTCGCTCTCCGGTTTAAAATACACGTATTGGGGTCAGGACTGCGTGACACTTCAATAAAAGTGATAATTTAAGTAAAGTGAGTTCATTGTAACGAGGGTTTACTGTATTTGTTTGAATTTTTGCCCATTTCTTGTCAAATGGCTCTTGCTAACTGCCGGGGTCACTCGGTGCAGTGGGTTCGCAGGCCAACTGCCAGTCCTGTGAAGAGATGGTGTCCATGCCTGAGCTGCTCTTCTGCACCGTGTGCGGTGCCCACTACCATGGCTTCTGCCTGGATCCCCCCGTGGTCGTTACGCCAACCTCTCGCCTAGGCTGGCAGTGCCCCGACTGCAAAACCTGCCAGGGATGCAGGTGCGTGGGTCTTCTCGTCGATGAGGTCACACATGGCTAAATGAGTATTGGGGAACTTGTTAACAGCTCGCTAATGTTGACGGTTGAGCTAATTTGTGCTAATGAAAGGAAAAGAACAGTCAAAATTCAGATGGAACACACAAGATGACGAACAGCGCTGCTGTCGTCCCTTCATCTTGTGTACCCCATCTGAATTTTATGCTGTTTTTTTTTCTCTTTTATATTACAGAGGCTCGTTTCTCGCCTTGCCTTGTCAGAAGGCGTGCTACCACAGACTTTTCGTTGCTGTGCATGGTGGTTATTACCTCATGTATATTTTTTATGTGACATCTATGAGATCTGACTAGCCAAGTGGAATGAATGGTGTTGCTGGGTAATAAGCTTTAGCGTGTAGAGTGGACTTAAAACCTGGCGTATCCTGAAATGAGCTTTAAAAGAGAGTATGTAGAGGGCGGTGGCATAGCCCACATTTCATTAGGAAGGGGAGGAGCAATGTTAGACACCTTCAGGTGCATGAAAAAAGTTTTCTGGGAATTCGAATGCCCCAACATCTCCCTGGCGATGTCAATGGTAGAGAACCTGCTAGTGCTTCTCTTACCCAAGCTCAACCTTCATGTCAAGATGTCACTCGTGGCTTTTTTTCTGTACAATAAAATCTCTTTATATGAGGCATGCTGAAGACAGCAATTCTGGCCTGTTATAGGAGATATCTCTTATTAGCAGGGTACCTCGTATGCTTTTTCTTATCAACTCGTAGACACACAGGTGTCTCTTATACCAATTTTTCTCTTATATGAGTGTCTTTCATAGAGGGGTTCGGCTGTATTTCATGTTTGTGGCAGTGACTAAAAACAAAAACAAAAATGTAACACATAACATACTTTGTGTACTGGTGTCTACTACTTGTGACTGGGGGAGCGTTGCATTGGACATGGAGTCTAGGCACGAACTGCTTGTATGAGTTTGCGCTTGTATTTTCTTTCAGGCGAGCTGGTGATGAAGCCCGGCTACTGACATGTGACGTCTGTGACAAGGCCTTTCACGTCTATTGTGTGAAGCCGATGGTGGCCAATGTTCCTAAGCACGGCTGGAAGTGTCAGGTAGGTGCCGTGGCATAAAATAGCCATTGTGAGCTTCCCTAGAGTTCGAATTTGCAAATGATTCTTGCCTATTTGTGTGCACAGCTCCCCAAGAGAAACTATGCAGCTTAAATTATCTGTTAACTGTCTAACTATTGACATTTCAGATTTTACTGCATTGGCATGTCTGCTGATCAAGCAGACCAGAAAAGGGGGGGGGGGGGGGGGAGGATTAGTGCTATGCCTTATAGATACAGCAAAGTGATACAGCAAGTAATTAGAATAATTGCCACTGTGACCCAATTAGAATTGGTGTGTTCGATACAACAGGACAGCTGCAAAGTGTTCTTGGATACCTCGTGGTGTTTTGAAGTTCCTCATTCATAATCTATTGTGTTTTCGAAATGGACACTACCTAGTTGGTTTGTCATTGTACCCTTCATTAACTCTTAGGTCTTCTTACCGTTCTACTACCGTTTCTTTTGTGCAGAGTTGCCGGGTGTGTGGGGACTGTGGCTCGCGAACCCCGGGGAGCGGGCCCAGCTCTCGGTGGCACATGAACTACTCAGTGTGCGACAGCTGCTACCAGCAGCGCAACAAGGGCGTCGCTTGTCCACTGTGTGGCAAAGCCTACCGGCAGTTCAGCAACCGAGCAGATATGGCTCAGTGCACTGTGTGTCGAAAGTGAGGGCACTGTTGTGTTACTTGTTTTTATGTATGGTTCTGTGACAGTTGTCACATTCTAAAATCGGAGGTTGCTGTCGTTATCTTGAAATACTAAAGGATTAGGTGGATTGATTGATTGATTGATTTACTGATTGAGGTACATCATCTCAATGAGTTGCCCAAACCTGTGCTTTTTTTTTTCATTGACAGCGTTTGAGGAAGTATGTTGAGCTTTGTATGTTTTCGAGAAAAGCAGAAGTGTTATGTGCATGTCTATTGGTGGGTATCTTCTATGCACACGGAAAATAGTGCTTGCGACTATTGGATCTATTCATTCAAGTCATTTCGTGCCTTTGGCAAACTCAGAAATGAATGTTCTTTTTGTTCCTTATCATTATTATTGTTACTTTTTTTTACATCTATTAACCTAAATTGGTTGATTGACTGACTGATCAATCAGTTAGTGGATGCAGATATTAGATGTTTTCGGTGCATGACATTGTCAGCTGAACTGCATTTTCTTTTTCAGGTTCATTCATGTTGAATGTGACAGCCAGCTTGTAAGCAGTCCCAAAGATGGCGACTACGTTTGTCCAGTGTGTTGCAATATGAGGCAGCAGGTGGGTTAGTTTTGCATTGAAGTGGCAAACGAGCGCAGAGAATCACAGCTTGTGTTTGTGTTTTCGAAGCGCACAGCCTTCTTTCGATCGCTCTCACTCTAGGTCTAATTCATTGGCAACATGGGCATTTTTTTCTGTAGTGCATAAATGTGCAAGCGATCTGACACTACAGAATTTTCGCACAGATAACGTGCCTAATAAAGTGTACATTCATTGCTCTTCTTTTAGCTGGCTATTAGGGTCGTCGGAGTTTAGGACGACACAAATCTTTTCTTTGCCCCTGAGAAATTTGAATCAGTATTTTCTCAACTACGTGCACTCTAAAGCATTGTCACATTATTTCCTTTTTTTCTTTCCTTATTTCAGGCGGCACTATCACTGTCTGGCAAGTCCGAGCTTTCTGTGAGATGTAAGCATCTTTTTGAATTCTGGTGCACGTTGAGTAATGAATATTGTTGTTTGAACCTCTCAACTTTGACCTTGTGTTTGTTGCAATCGTTATTTTTCTGTATAAAAGTTACGAGGAGCCTTGCGGCTTCTCTTCCGTAAGCACTGCAGCTGGGTGACACTCTAAAATATGACGTGACACCCACCTACAGAGTTGCTTGCGTGCTAAAATTGCCATTGGTTAAGAATTACTTTGTTAATTTATCCAGTTTGCTTGCATGGAAAGTTGTGTAACCTTAATCTATTGTGATGAGGAAAACACTCTTGTAATAGCTAAAGCTGCACTGAGAGACAACAGGAGACTGTATAGAAGTGTTGTTTCTTTTGTTTGTGTCGAAGTTAGTTTTTGCTGCAAGGTTCATTTGCACTTGCCTACTTCAGTGGCTCTCTATAGTTTGTGCTTGAGTATGACCCTGTGACCTTGTGTCATCGTTTCTGCATCATTCCAGTGCGAGTGCCAGCCTCAGATGGGTCACCTGACTACATGTACAGCTCACAGAAGGATATCGCGTCCTGTGGCAATGACGACTCGCGTTCCAGCAATGACTATGACGTTCTGGTCAGTTATGTTATGTTATGGTCAGTTATGTCAGTTAAGTGTGGTGAAGTACATTTTTAACTCTGACTACATGGGGATGCGGCCTTTGAAAATTCAAAAATAGCGGAAAATTCTACTTTTGAAGACCATAATTTTAGGTTGTATGTCTCATAAGCTATCTATTCTGTAATTCTCAGCACCTAATTTAAGGGGGGAGGCTACCCTGGAGACCGAACTTTTTTATTTTTTAAGATATCTGGATGAAACTTTCAGGGGTTGTTCACTACAATAAAACTAGCACAACTGCTACGTTTCACGAAGCTGGGTTCCTTAGTTCCAGAGTTATCGAGGTTTAACTGGGTGCTTCACATGGGTGCCTGAGGAAGAGTCGTGAGAAATCCCAGGACATAGTAGAAAGCTGAAATTCATTGTGGTCATTCCTTGATAGCTATCCCAGGGCGCTACAAAGCCGTTTTTTTTTAATCCCCCCCCCCCCCAAATTTCCACGCAACTTTGAATTTGATGTAACCAGTAATGACCGGATTCATCAAAAATTAATTGTTTATTATAAATTAACAGCACCAATTTTCGAAAAAAGGAGCTTGTTACTCCCTTGCAAGGTCATTCAGGAACAGAATAAAAAAAACTGCACACAAATCTGATGAACGGTTTTCGAGTTCTTGCTTTCCTGAGCACCACAACTAGCAAAAAAATCTGTTCTGAGAAAACAGGCCGAGAAAGTTCAAAACACGTGTTTTCTTCAAAAAGCTCCAGCACAGTAGCTAGAAGTGTCCTGGCGCACTCTTTTCTTCCTTTGCCTGGCCTCCATCTTCTCTTGGTGTCTTTTAGAATTCTTTTTTAGGCGTAAAGCGTCTTTTTCACGAGCTCGCTGGATGGCCAGATGACCTGGTTGAAGTCCAATGGAGTCCGATATCACTTGGGTTGCTTTGCAGCAGCCTGCATTGTAGCGCAGCACTGCTTCATGCAGTGCTGTTTCTACCGCGATCAAGGATGAGTGTTGTTCCTTCGGCATCAGAGACCACAGAATGGAGTGGAATGATTCTGATGCATTTTGCGTCTTCGCTCCCAGGCAGCGCTGAAGAAGCGACTTTTGTGACAGTCTTTCGTAGATGGGCAGCATAGCTGCAGCGACATAGTCCGGTAGGCTGTGTTCATGTTTTGGCTGTGGCTCACGCTTTGCCTCTGCAGCTCTATGGCGGCACCACGATTGAGCCCCCTCTGGGCAAAGTTCATGGTGAGGGTCCTGGTCTATCGATGTGACGTGGTGATATGTTGCCATCACTGCACGCTGCATGGCTGTTAGGTCAGTTGAATTGTTTCTCAGGGCCCAACCATAATATCCTGTCAGCTTTTCAATGAGGGCTTTAGTCAGCTTCGCCTTCCCACTCAGTGGCTTATCACTTTTCTGCACAATGTTTCGAAGAGCACTTCCAATCCTTTTCTGAACATGGTTCAGACATTCTTCTTTTACAATTGGCACTAGCCCGTACACATTCTCTTCTGTGAGGGCAGCGAAAGTACGGCTGTCTCCGTCGGACACAAGAGTGGTGTACCGCAGGCCATGCTTGGATACAGACCGCCCAAAGAGAGTCAAGCCTGCCTCCACTTCCATGCTTCCCGATTTTGCGTCTGTGTTTTTCTGGCAAATGTGGTGCTTCTGCCAGCTTTCGTATGCTGCATCTCCAGGTTTGGGCCCTGTTTGGCATCCAAGGCAGTGGTTTGAAAGAACTACAGCATCCAAGATCAGACCTGTAAAGAAGTCAATTACCGATCCCACTCCGATGTGTGACCCCGCTTATGCCATGTGCCATCGTACACTACGGTGATGTCCTTGCAGTAGCTGGGGTCCATTTCTTCATATGTTTTGAGCACTGCTGTGGCAGAATCAGCATAAAACTTCTCCAAAGCGGTGGCCTTTGGCTTCCTGAATGTCTCTTTCAAGTGCTTTTGAAACGTCTTGTGGTGAAGACCTCTGTAAGAGACGTTCATGGCAGCCCAAAAGTCATTAAGAGCTGTTTGCCCCTTGCCTGTTTGCTTTATAGCCATTATGGCGCGGACATTTACATCGAAGGCCTGCGTGTCCTTTTTGCGGGGTGATGTCCATAATTTATCGACGGTGCCACAAGAGGCGCACACGACTTCAAGTTTTGTTGCAAGTCCAAGCTTGGTGCTCTCTCGGACAGTCATAGCACCTTTCAAACATTCTTTGCACACTGTGCGGCTGAGCACGACGTTAAAGATGTTCATTTGAACGAGCGAAAAATGTTCGCCCTCACTTGTCACTGCAGGTGCAAGAGCCGGCCTCATCAGTTGAAATTTCTTCTGCGTCGCCGGCGTAGACTCGAGTTCAGCGCGAATGGCGTCACGACGTTTCGCATTCGCATCGATTTCTTCCTTCGTTAGGAAACGCGTCCGCAGATGAAGCGACGGTCCACTCACGCTCGATGGCGACACCGATTCAGACGAAGTGCTCGGTCCGGCGATATCAGAAGCACTCGGTGTCACGCTCGATGGCACCGATTCAGACGAAGTGCTGGGTCCGGCGATATCAGAAGCACTCGGTGTCACACTGGATGGCATCGATTCGGAGCACGTGTCGAGCCCGGTGGTCTCGGAAACACTCGGTGCATTTGCGGCTCCAGCCACACTCGATGTGTCGGATTCTCGACTGGCGACAGCCGACAACACAGTTCCGTCGCTGCAAGCGTCTACGCAGTCGGCACCCGCAGCAGAATAGCGGAATTTCAATTATCGTACAAGCCGCATAGCGCGCCTCCGCGCACCGGACTTCCGCATGACTCCGGCTTCGTTGCCGGCATCGCCCGCAACAACAAAGACGAAAGGCACAGAACTAGTGCAGAAAGAAAAAAAAAATGAGAGAAAATGATCGAAAAGATAGCACAAGGCGAAGAGCGGCTCGTAAGCAGATGTCTGTTGAGGCGGATGGAGCAGAGAGCAACAACGAAGCGAGCGCGCTGGATGCGCCATCGAGAGGAGCGACCGCCCCCGCTGCTGCACAGCAGCCAATAGCGGGCACGCTTTCTCCCGCGAGATATGAATGCGCTGCTTTAGCCAATCAGCGCTCCGCATCGCATGGCGGGAAAACGCCAATAGCGTCTCAACTGTGCTGCCGACGCCATTTTGCAAGGCGGCGAACGAGAGAGAAAGAATTCACGGTCAAAACAACACCAAGATGGCGCAGGACAACCGCATGGTCCGGGAATGGCGCGCGCGTGAAGTTTGGTTTGATTTCGGGATTTGTGCCTGTTTCGGACGCCGCGGCGGCCTCGAAAATAGTATTTTTTTTTGCACTTTGCGGTTGAATTAGGTGCTGATAATTACAGAATAGGTAGTTTATGAGACATACAACCCAAAAATGTGGTTTTTCGAAAACCGACTTTTTCGCGATTTTTCGGTTTTCAAGGGTCGCGTCCCCCCTTAACCGCTAAGTAAAAAAAAAAAATGCTATTTTCAAGGCCGCGCCGGCATCTCGTTTGCCGTCTTGCAAAATGGTGTCGGCGGCACGGTTGAGACGCTATCGGCGTTTTCTCGCGAAGCAGTGAGGAGCACTGATTGGCTAAAGAAGCGCATTGATATCTCACGGGAGAAAGCGCGCCCGCCTTTGGCTGCTGTGCAGCAGCGGGAGTGGCTCTCTCTGATGGCCCGCCCTCGTCCTGTTGTTGCTCAGCTATGTTCACCTTGACCGGGGGTCTGCTAAAGCCGTGCTCTGCTTTATGCTATATTTATTATTATTTTCTCTTTTTTATTGCTTTTTGCACTAGCTCTGTGTTGTTGTTCTTCATTGTTGCTTGCAATGCTGGTAACGAAGCCGGAGAGAGTGCTGAGGTCCTGTGCGCGGAGGCGCGCTATGCGGTTTGTACGAGCATCAAGATTTGGCTTTTCTGGTGCGAGTGCAGACTGCGTAGATGCTTGCCGCGGCGGAACTGTGCTGTCGGCTGTCGCCAGTAGAGAATCTGACTCATCGAGTGTGGCTGGAGCCACAAATGCAGAGTGTTTCAGAGATCGTCAGACTCTGTACGTGCTCTGAATCGGTGTTATCGAGCGTGACGCCGAATGTTTCTGAGATTGCTAGGACCCAGTACTTTGATGCCTTACGCCTAAAAATAAATCGCAAACGACACAAGAAAAAGGTGTAAACAAAGCGCAAAAAGAAAAGAGTGTGTAAAAACACTTCTATTAATCTGCTGAAGTTTTTGTGATGAAAAACCAACTGTTGAACTTTCTAGGCCCATTTTCTCAGAATGAACTGTTTTGCTAGTTGTGGTGCTGAAGAAAGCTAAAACCCGCCCACCAGATATGTGTACCGCCCCCCCCCCCTTTTTTTTTTAATTCTGTTTCTGAATGACTTTGCCAAGGTGCAACAAGCTCCTTTTTTTGAAAATTTGTGTAGTTAATTTTTAATGAACAATCAAGTTTTGATGAATCTGGTAATTACTAGCTATATCAAATTCATAGTTGTGTGAAAACTTTTTGGAGCCGAAATTAAAAAAGAACGGCTTGTGGCACCCTGGGATATCTATTAAAGACTGGCCACAACAAACTTCAGCTTTCTATTATGTCCTGGGATTTATAATGACTCTTTTTCAGGCACCCATGTGAACAACCCACTTCAGCCCAGTTAAGACTCAATGACTCTGTAAAAAAAAAAAAAAAAGACAGCTGCATGAAACTTTGCAGTTCCTCTAGTTTTAGTGTAGTGAACATGCTCCGAAAGTTTTATCCGAATACCTTAACAAATAAGTGTTGCATTTTGATGGAGGTGAAGTGCTATAAAAACTTTTAAAGCCATTTTTTCTGAAGTTTGTTTTGGGCACTTAGTGTTGCTTGTGAAAAGCGTAGTGTCGCAATGACTGGACCCATTTTGATGATGTTTTTTTTTTTCAATCCTTGAAGTCTTGTTTACAGAATGACATTATTATTTACCTTGCTTATGGCTTAGTTTTTTTGTGTGTGATAATTAATGCATGAGAAGTCCTGATGCAATACATGAAGCTGATGGTGATGTTACTTGTAAGAAAAAAAAAAAAACTAAAAGGAAAAGACAATTTTTGATAATGTCATCCTGTGTAGTGTCCTTTTGAGTAAAGATCAAAACCACTTGGACTTGCCTGGCATCAATGCTTGGATTAAGGAAGGATGCCGCTTTCGTATCGCGAAAAATGGAAAAAAAAAAATTGTTTTGTGAATGAAGTTTTTAGTTTCTGGAACCCTTTTTCTATCTGATTCCAAAATATCTACACTGAAAATCACGCAGAAGTTCCTCAGAAAATTCGTTTCACCCTCGTAGGTAGCGAAAATATTCCTGGAATTGGCAAGAAAAGAGCGATTTTCAAAAAATTATAGTTTCGCGATGGCACAGCCGGGAGCCAGCTTCTTGGGCTCATTGGAAAGAGCATTTCTCTGTGCTCAAATTTCACGCCTCGGTTGGATCCTTCCTTTAAAAACAAGCGCACAAAAAGCAAGTGTTTGAAGGTTGTGTCGAGGCCCCCGATTGGCTGTGGCAGCCATGTTGTCCCAGCTCGCCTATCGTCGTCTTCCACTTGTGCGTCGCTGTCGAAAATCGCTACTTCGTGACATGTACACGGCTCGACGATCGTTTGGGGTATAATCATGCAGCAAGCTTCTCTTCAATTATTACTTTCGTTAGGAGCTGTAAGCGGATGCTCAATCAGATTACTACGAGCGGGCGCGCGGTCTACAAGCGTGGCGCATTATCTTTAGGCCTAACTCTGCTGACGGCAAGACGAACTTTGCAGGCAAGAATGCCGCGCTAGAGCATTCGTGGCAATGTGCTTCTTCGCAAGCATCAAAGAACATCACTCGCTAGCTCCTTGGAACCGCGGACGGGCATTTTACGCATCGGCAGCAGACCCCACTGTCAAGCTTGTCACCCCCGCCCCTCCCCCCTTTAACTGCCAAGGATTGCTCGGAACAGCGGCTAGTAGTTTCGCGCCTTGGCATTCGAAAATGCGTTAACAAGCGCAGGTGCGCGTCATTTTTTTTGTCATCGTAGGTACACATTTCGCACATCGTCAACGAACACCGCCGGCAGCGCTGTCCACGCGGCCGCGCACTTCACGGTCATATGGAAGGCTGTCAATAAGCTTTTGTGATGCAATTTAGACGTGCTTGGAGCCTTGCTTGGTATCGCCGCGTGCGTCTATGAATGTTCTGAGACAATGAAAGCCTTGTAGACTAGCATTTTCATGACCGGCCGTATGATGATGCGTTTCACGGCTAGAGTAACAAAGGATCATGTATGAAGCAAGGGCAAGAATTTTTATATGCCATAAATTTTATATGTTAAGTAAACTGCTAAATTCCTGTGCCACCAGTTTCCTGCCCATAACTGTTTGTTATTTGGAAAGAAAGTATAGGCTGTAACAGTGTGAGCCATTTTTCTGATGGGAAGTACTTAATTATGCTAATGACCACTTGAACACAGGAAAGATGTGTAATCATTTCAGTATATGGCCTTATTCAATTACAATCTATTCTGTCATGCCTATAACACTATTCCTTCATACAGAGAACTTGGTTTGAAATTCAGACCCGTTCTCTGTAGACAAAAAAAATATATAGGCAACAAAGCACACTGCGCAGAGGCCACAATGCCTGAGAAGTCAAATATCACAAGACAAACCTAAGATCACAATTTTTATGTGTTTTAGAGACATAAAAAGAAAATGAAACTTCAAACGCAGTTTTCACAATACTGTTTTTTTTTTTGGCATTATGCTCAGCTTGTGGAGTATCTCGGCAACCACTGCACAGCTTTTGATTCTGTTTGTTTTGTAACGCTACTTGAAGTGTGCTTCAGGGGGCTGCGATCTTAGTTTTTCATTTTACTCCTTAATAATTTTTCATAGGGTTTTTTGTTTGTAGTGCAAGTGTGCTCATTGCAGTGTCGCTGGAGAACACGTTAACTACAAGTTACAGTGTTGCAAAAAATTATTTTGAAAACACAGCTCCCTTCAGCATACATTTGGCTGTGCGTACAGTAATTAACAACTATTTTTGTCATTTTATAAATTCCCCATCCCCTCCACGAGGTTCAATGAAGAAATAATTTGTCTCTCATGAAGTTTTTGTTGTATCGCCACAAGATTTTTATGGAAGCACTGTGAGGCCATCTTTAGTGTATGTGCCAATTTTCATCGTTATCCAACAAGAAACAAGAAAGTTCGTTTTGAAAGCAAAGTCCCCCCTTAACACGCTGTAACTTGAAAACTACTCAAGATATCGCTATAAAATTTTATATATAGGTAGCTGTTAGAGACACTCTTCAACATGCCTGCCAAATTTCATTACTCTAGGTGAAGAAACAAGAAAGCTTTTATCAATCGCCTCCTCCCCCCTTAAAACAATGTGCTGGGGGCTAACATAGGCATACTGTGATGGTCACTAAGGCTTGCTGGTGGGCTAGTGGGTGGGGTAGTGTAGAGGGGCTACAGTGAAACCCGGCTCTCCCTAATGCAGGACCCCACACATGCCTATACGCTTCATGATGTAGGTTCTCGTGCTTGATTATAATATAGTGCAAACCTACAGAAGTGAAGCTTGTCATACTTTTCATTAAAATGTTTTTGTTTGAATTCACACTGCTGGCATTTCAATATGCAGTAAAACCTCATTATTTCAGACTCAATGATTTCAAGATCCCACTTAATTCAAAGAATTTCTGCTGCCCTGTATTTTGCAATGCAAGTTTGAGAGAAAAATTTGAAATGGCTGTCAACACCTGCCCGGTTCATTCAAAAACTTTGGGTGCCACGTGTAAATTTCCAGTAGTGATTTCACAGCAAATCCACGGAAATTACAGCTTTTAGGTGCCACAAAACAATGCATTATAGCAATGCCTATGAGCTACAGATAAAGCACCCCAGCCTCGCTGCCAGCACACAAAAAAAAAAAGAGAAAGAGAGAGGGGTGGGGGCTGGTTTGCGGTTAGCTGAAATGAGCGTTTGATGAAAAGAGGATGTGCGCCTCACTGCAGCACAGCGGGGACACGTGGGCATCATTGTGTTGCAGTGAAGCATGTGTTCTTTTTCACAAGCACGTATTTTCCCTCACCACAAGACCATTTTTCTCTCCCCCCCCCCCCCCCCCCCCGTACTAGCAGCAGCGAGGCCCGCCGTTTTTCCGTGTTTGCAATGAAATCGGGACCCGGTATTGCTGGAAAACATAGTTCTTGAAGCCGCAAACTAGGCAGTACAACAAATGACCACCTCTGATTATTTTCAGTAATTCAAAGTTCCTAGCATCCCACTCGAAAACCCGCTTAATTCAAAGATTTTTCACAGTCCCAGTGACTTTGAACTCGCGAGATTTTACTGTCTTCTAACCCCCGTATTCAGAAGCACTTCTTGACTGGAACTTGACTTGCCACCGTGTTCGATGCAGCACAAATGCGCTTCGAAATCGCCGTCTTTAGGCGGTGCCAAAGCAGCACAAATGCGTCTCAAGCGCACTGCATTGAAGGCGGTGGCAAGTCAAGTTTAAGTCGGGGAGTGTTTCTGAATACTGTCTGAAAAAAGAGCTTGTCTCGACAGACTATTATACTCCGAGGCTAAGTTGAATATCGAACTACATGTAACAGTTTCAGATATTTGCACATGTATATTAGGGATATAAATGTTGAAAAGCAAATAGCAGCACCTGCTTGAAGGTGGGTTTAGAGTTTCATGTCTGAGAACAGGTTTTGGTTGTCCTACTTGACGTCGCCAATGAATGCGTAATGTCAGTTGTTGTAGCCTTCTGCCTGTGCTGTCTTTAAGAGAGACTTAATGTTTTTAATGTCGCAGCAGCAGACGTCTTCAGGAGGTATGCAGTCCCCCGAGAACGAGTCCAAGTTCCCACCTCCATCCCACCACTCATTAGGAAAGCCACCGTTTGCCCGCTTCCCAGGAAAACGAAGGTTCGGCGTGGGGCGGGCCAGAGTGAGTAGACGCACATTTTGCCAAGTAGTTTTTTGCCCTCTTAATTAAATACACCGATGCTTGATCGAAGGTGACGTCAGGAAGGTTTCTGGGTCTGTTCGCAAAGATCGTGGTTGTTTCTGCAAAGCGTAACGAGTTTCGTTGGTGTGCTTGCAGCGCATAGATATTCTTTTGAGATGAAATGTCATTTATAGTATGACCTCGGTATAACGGATCTGCTTACAAGAGACACTTGGGTATTACATACCAATTAGTGTCGTTATGCCGACCACCCATTTGTTCAATTGGTCGAGCTTCGTTTACTACAGATTCTGGTACAGAGGACATTCAGGTATAATTGACTGAAATGTGAGGCCAGCAAGATGGTCAGGCTTCTTCTACAGCAAACTTTTCTATTGCGGACGTCCCAAGTTCAATACCTTCCGGCTCAAACATTGGCACACTTTCGGGACTGAAACGGGGCGCTGTGGGTATCAACGTATGAATTTAATCATCCCTGAAGAAATAGTAAAGACTGAAATGTGAGGCCAGCAAGATGGTCAGGCTTCTTCTACAGCAAACTTTTCTATTGCGGACGTCCCAAGTTCAATACCTTCCGGCTCAAACATTGGCACACTTTCGGGACTGAAACGGGGCGCTGTGGGTATCAACGTATGAATTTAATCATCCCTGAAGAAATAGTAAAGATTCTGCTTGTTGCGTGTGGGTCCTACTTGGAAGTGTGGCAAAGTTATTTTTGTATACTCTACTGGGGCGCATCACACTGTTGTGGTGCACTGGTTCAACTCATCTTGTTGAAATGTTTTTCTGAGGTTTTGACGATGACATGCATTGGTTTTCAGGCATCTAGTGGAAAGTTTGCTGCCAAACGGAGAGCGAAAGCCGTCGAGCTCCGTCGAAAGCGAGGACCAAAACCTAAACTCAAGCCTTATTATCCCTGTTGGAATGTTTCTCAGGTCTGTATTGTCTTTTTTGACATGTTTCTCATGGCTTTGAAACTGTTATTTTTGCACCGTAAAATTGCCATCTGTAGTCATGAACTTGCAGTCACGACTGTCTTGGGCAGTGAACTTGCATGGACAATAAAGTTTCCATCACTGGTCCTTTTGGACAAGAAACCTGCTCTCTTGGATATCTAGACTGTGACGTAGTTTGACGTGTGTGTGATATTTTACGTTTGCGAATTTTGTGACATGTAGTGATAGTAGTAGTAGTAGTAATAGACTTTTATTCAGCCAAATTTATAGGCCGAGCATTTCGACCGCCTGTGCGATCAGTCGACGCTGTTCTTCTTCCCCTTCGGCGCCGATCCAGTCGAGCCAGGAGGTGATGGAAAGGGATGGGGGAGGGTAATAGCTGGATTGCTGAGCAGTTGGGCAGTAAAACAGGCAGTGTGACAGGTCAGCGTATGGGGAGGGACAATTAGGACAGCAGGGGTTAGACCTATATTTATAAAGGAAAAGGCGAGAGGGGGTTATCAAGCAGTTCATTTGGATGTGCCGTAGAGTTCGAGCCTCGAGCGCCGTGAGTGATGGATGAGGGGGAGGGTAAAGACGCTTGTCAAGCCGGAGCTGGAGATATACCTCCTTGATAGTGTGACGCAAGGATATCTGCCCATCGTTATTCGCGGAACTCTCACTGTCTTCCGAAGGTGTGGGCCAGGGAATGAACGGTGCCCGGTGCAATATATCGCGGGCAAGCTGATGAGCTAGCTCATTGCCGTTAATACCCGAATGCCCAGGAACCCAGCGGAGGAAGACAGTGGAGGGTTGAAGAGCAGAGGCTGCTCGCTCGACCTCCTGTTGAAGAGCAGGGGGCAACGTGTTGTTCTGTATGTGACGGATGGCGGCGTGAGAGTCGCAGTAAATCGTGTACTCGGGGAGAGAAGGGAGGGAGGAAAATGACTGCATGGCGTGGACTATGGAAAGGACCTCGAGCGATAGTACATTTGGCGGGTGTAAGTATGGCCCGCTGGTGTGCGTGTCAGGTGCCGAAAGGTGTGGATGGTAGATAACGTAGCCACACGAGCCCCGAGGAGCCATGTATGAGGCATCTGTGTAGGCAACTCCCTGTGTAGAGAGAGGAGGAGAATGATGCTGTGCTGCCGCATGACGCCGGCCGGCGTGAAGAACGGGAGACATATTGGATGGGAGGGGAAGGATGCGAAGGTTAGAAGCAGCGGTGCTAGCGGCAGAAGGCAAGGTGGGAACGGAAACGGGAATGTGAGGGATACCAGCTTGGGCTAATAGCCATTGGCCTTGACGAGTGAGAGAAAGTCGGGCAATCTGAGAGTCGTGGTGCAGAGAAATAAGAGAACGTAATGGATGGAAAAGGCCTGTGGCAAAGAGCTTAGTGGTAGAGGTGGTGAGAGGGAGGTTTAGAGCTGCCTTGTAGAGGCCTAATAGAGCTCTTTCGAGTGTGTTGAGTTGCGTTTCGGTGAAATGAACGTAGGGTACAAAGTACAAGAACTTGTTAAGGGCAAGCGCATGTGCAACCCGGCACGCATGAGACTCGTGGAGCCCCGACTGCCGAGTGACAACGCGTCGCAGGAGGTGGGTCACCGAATGGCAAGTCTTCACAGCGTGATGTAGGGCCTGCGCGTTCTTTGTCGCGTGCAAAGGGAAGCCAAGAACTTTGCATTGCTGAACAGTGGGGATGAGAGAGCTAGAAAGATGTAGGGAGATGAGGGTATTGTGGGAGCGCTGGTACGCAGACCGGTTTAGCAAAAGTAGTTCACATTTCTCCGGTGCAGGGGACAGGCCAGCAGTAGCGAGAAAGGAAGTGATAAGGTCCAGGCCACGTTGCAAAGTATCCTGCACGTGGCCGGGACATCCAGACGTACACCAGAGAGTGATGTCGTCTGCATAAAAAATATGGTGGAGGTCAGGTATTTGGGACAGTTGGGAGGCAAGGGGGGCCATAGCCATATTAAATAGAGTAGGAGATAGTACGGCACCTTGAGGAGTGCCGCGGGTGAGGGAGTGTGGGTTAGACAAATGAGTATCGACTCTGAAGCGAGCAACTCGATTGGAAAGAAATGATCGGATGTAAGAATACATGCGGGAGCCACATGACAGGGAGGAGAGCTGAGCGAGTATGTGGTCATGACTCACGCCATCGAATGCCTTCCGTACATCGACGGTTACAAGCGCATGGATCTGACTACGAGAAGGTGAAAGAAAAGTATGCTGAAGAACAAGGAACATGTCCTGCGCACAAACGTGGCGTCGGAAGCCAATAAGAGAAGGAGGGAAAAACTCTTTCGTCTCAATAAAATCAGACAGTCGAGTCAAGGCCATTCGTTCAAGAGTCTTGCCAACGCATGACGTCAAAGAGATTGGGCGAAGGTTAGAGAGAGATGGAGGTTTGCCGGGCTTCGGAATCATGCAAATTAGAGATGATGTCCAAGAGCTTGGAAGACAGCCGCTGTTCCATGCTTCGTTGAATGTGTGTAAGAGAAATTCCTTCGCGTTGTCGGGGAGATTACGTAATGTAGTATATGTTATCTCATCCTCACCGGGTGCCGAGCGGGTAGATTGAGTGGCTAAGGCAGCTTCGAGCTCCCTGAGAGTGAATGGGCGGTCCAGGTCTGGGTTAGCTTCGCCACAGTAATCTGGGTAGGAAGGTGTGAGGGGGGGTGGGAGATACAGAGATTTTAAATTTTCAAACACATCAGATGGAGTCCCTTGAGTGAGAGCTTTAGCTAGGGTGGGAGCAACGGCAGGCTTGGTACCTAAGAGAGACCTAAACAGAGACCATGTAGAGCGCGAGTGCAGTGCGGAGTCAAGGCCGTCACACAGCGTGTTCCAACGAGAGTGCTCGAGAGAAGTGCCGTAAGCGATAATTTCAGCCCGCAGAGCATCAATTCGGAAGGAAAGTTGGAAGTTGTGTGGCTGCGAGCGGAGAGCGCGTTTCAAACGTTTATGACGTCGCCATAATCGGAGGAAGTGAGGATCAGGGTCAGGAATGGGGAGTTGAAAACGAGCGCGGCGACTACAGGATGTCATTGCTGCGGAGATCCGCGACGTCCAGTCGTCGTAAGTTTTAAATAAGTGAGACAAAATGTTATTACGGAATGCTTCCCAGTCAGTGTGAGCGACTCGTTGTTTCCGCCTATTGTGGGAAAGAGGGGTGGTGATGTGTATGAGAAAGTGATCACTGAAAAAATTTTCAGCAGAGACCTGCCAGTGAAAAGGAAGGGAACTCCGAGAGAACGTGAGATCGGGTGTAGTGGAACGCTGTGAAACAGTGCCCGCTCGAGTAGGGGTGTCAGGAGTATTAAGAAGGGTGAGATGGCGTTCCTGGGCGAGGCAGTGTAGAAGGCGACCTGGTTTCAGTGTTTGGGGGTAACCCCAGAGCCTATGAAGAGCATTAAAGTCACCCCCAAGGAGGATATGGGTGGTCTATGGAAGGGAGTGCAGGAATTTACCAAGAGCACTAAACAAAGAGGACGTGACAGGGGGGTTATAAAATGACATCAGAGCGAGAGAAATACGGGTAGATGGTTGGTAATAGACCACACCAACTAAACGTTTCAGGAGGGGCGAGGGTACGTCTAGTGGTTCAACGAGAACGTCATTGCGTACATAAATGGACGCGAGTGGCTTTCCCGTCGTAGCGTGATATGCACGGTAGCCTGGGACCGCAAGGGCCGCCCGAGTCTCCTGTATAAGGAGAAAATGGGGTAATGTTTGGCGGGTGAGAAGATATTGGTGGAGAGGGGTCCTATTATGACGAAAGTTGCGGCAGTTCCACTGCAAAATATCGAGGTCCTTTTCACGCGCCATCTAGGTCTTTGGAGTAGAGGAAGCGCCTACGCGTGCGCGTTCCTTCTTTTTTGCCGGGGGAAGTGACTCTTGCAGGGAGTTAAGCATATAGGTGAAAGATTCCAGTTGCTTAGATTGGGTTTCGAGGGTCGTAAGAATCCGGACAATTGAATTTTCCAGCTGGACCAAACGAGTGTGATGCGCAGTGGTGGTGGTTTCAACCATGTCGGCCAATTTGGTTACATGGGAGCTGGAGGTCGGGGCGGTGAGTGTGGTGAGTTGCTTATTTAGCTCCGTGAGTTGAGAGGTAAGAGAGGATGTGGTAGTTGCGAGTGTCTGTGTCAGTGCAAGTATTTTCTGTTGTAGCTCATCTGAGACGCGTTGTTGCTCGCGCTGGTTGCGCTCCAACATAGCCAGTCGCAGATCGAAGGAGCGGCTCTCGTTACTTGAAGATGGGGAAGGTGTGTTTGATGAAGAAGTGCACATGGGAGGTGTTCCCTTAACCTTAGCGGCGTATGAGCCCGGGGGGGATGTTGCGGGAGGCGATAGGAGCTCATGCGCTGAAGAGGAGGGCGGCGAAGGCTGAGTGGCTCGGCGCATGGCTGTGCGACGGAGAAAAGCTGCTTTGGCGCAGTCGCGTTGCTTAGCTAGAAGGTAGGGGCAGGTGGAGTCGAGAGATGAGTGGGTATTGACTTGGCAATGGATGCACCAGGGTTGGGCGCAAACGTGAGCATCGGGATCTACCGGTAGAGGAGACGCACAGCGGCGGCACTTGGCCGGAACGCTGTGTTGGGGGCATTGATGAGCACGGTGCCCTATAGCAAGGCACCGAGTGCAAGTAGGGGGCTTGGGTTTATGTGGACGGCATCGGAAAGAGACGCGTTTGAAGTACACAAAGCGAGGGATGATGGTTCCAGCAAATGTTATGAGGACGGATTCAGTGGAGCCCATCCTACGTGCAGCGAGTATATCTGAAGTAAAGGATTCGAGGTCATGCAAGAGCTGAGATGTTGTGAAGTGACCACCGACGTTGTGTATGACGCCGAGACATGATATTGGAGGACTGAGGGCATAGGGCTTATTGGTGATCGGCTTACCATTAAGTTCCAGACTTGTGAGGGAGAGTAGGAGGTGGGCAGTGAGAGGTGAGTGCGTTTTCAGAAACACAAGGCTCTGAGCAGGTTTGGCTTGAAGGGTGACCTCCGCACTGGTCTTGGGAGAGAGATTTGCGGCGGCTGTGATGGTAGAAAGCAGGTCATAGAGAGGCAGTTTCGGCGTGAGTGTTCCGGGTGGAAGTTGGATTCCGACGGTGATGAGCTCGGAGCGGGGGCGGGCGGTCGAGGCAGGTTTTCGATTGGCACTAACGGTGTTCCAGCTGCCTTCAGGGGATGGCGTATTGTCTTCGTTGACTTGCGATGCCGTGAAGTCCATTTCCGTCGATAAGTCGTCAGCTGAAGTGATGGAAGGCAAAACTTCGGCGATGGAAGGAACGACGCTCGTCGAAACGCGCTTGTCGACAGACTCGGAATTTCCAATGGGTAGGCCAGACGCAGATAAGGTAAGGATAGCAGCAGGCGGGGTTGATTGCAATTCCAACGCTGCATTACGGCTCTCGGGCTCCGGCGTTTGCGTGGCTATCAAGCTGAGAGTAGCAGAGACGCCACCAGCGTTGCACATTGCTGGACCGTGCGCGCTGTTGTGGAACGCTGCCTGTTGCTCTATTGTTGTCGGCGCGGGGCTGGTGACATTGCCAGATGGTGACAGCGGAGGCACGGCTGTATCAGCGGTACGACCGGAGGAGGCTGGGCTTACCGACAGGGCGTAAGTTGTCGTTGGAGTCGAGTGCTGGGCGGGACTCTGCATCGTGGAGGTGCAGGCGCGGCGCGTTAGGGTTAGCGCGGCGCCGCGCCGCTTCGTACTTTTGAAGGGGCCTGGGGGGCCAGCCTGGGGTCGGACCGGGGCCCGGATGTTGTCGGCGTGTCCCGGAAGTCTTCCAGAAGGAATAGTGAGCTTGTCCAGACACGGGCGGGGCCCGGTAACGGGCCAAGAACACGTAAAAGTGGAGCACTGTATGCGGCCAGCCAAACAAAACGGCGCCACCTGGCGATCCTCTGTAGTGATACAATGGTTTGACATTATCGCTTGCTTGTCTGAGAGAAGGCTTGGCATCTGTATGAAAATGCTTGCTCCTTTTAATAAAATGGCAGCTGTTAGTGCAGAACTTCGTCTGTCATTTCATTTCATCTCTTTTATCCTTCAGAATTAGTGCTGTAGTAATTAGGAACCAATGCCCATGTCTGAATTCACTGTTATTTCCAGAGTATGGAAAGCCAAAACGAGCATGAAACGAACTCTTGTGAACGCAGGAACTCATATAAAAAAAAAAAAACAGTCAATGGTCACTGCACATTCTGCAGTCTTCGTTTGGCTTCTGCCGGGGTGCAATAGCTGTGCCGTTTGCGCCAATTTTATACAATTCTTCATTTTTGTGCCAAGCTGTGGCAAAGCTATGAAATTTGTTTAAATTGCGCCACGCTGCGCCAAAATGCCCGACCAGCCTCAAAATTTTCTCAGTTGCGCTAATTTCAGCGATAAATGGAGGCCACATTGGCCACCTGTAGTCTGCATCATGAATCAATCCAGGGATCCAGGCGCGCAGACCTTAACCCACGGTGTAACCTAACCAGGGTGTATTATACTGATTAGGTCAGAACCTTGCGAGATGTGATCGACCAGTTAAAGTAACAATGCCGGGCACCCATTGGTCCGCTGACTGCAGTGGATCTTTTTTGGCGGGACAACACAACTTTAAGACAAAATGTGTTGCCGTAGCCACGAACGCTTTGCGAAATATATTAATTTTCTAGTCAGCAAATGCGGTTATGGTATGTTAGGAACTGAAGCTGAAAGTGTATGTCGCTTTCACTGCATGTGAACAAATTCGATGTGCTGCGAATGCTGCCGTCGCCGGCGACCTTGCTGGTTGCCGTAGCAACAGCACATGCAATAGATAGCTGGTGCTGTCGCTGGGCCACGGCTGGGCCAACGGTGTTACTAAATATAGCCAAATGCACCTTGAAAATTAGTCAAAAAGTTGTGGCCTAAGCCTAAAGTCGTTGTGAAAAAAAAAAAAAGGGAGGTGAGGGGGCTAGTGATTCGAAAATTTCTTGGCCGTGTTCAAACCTGTGCAAAATGCCGCCTTTGCGGCAGTGCATCAGTGCCCTGCGGAAAAGTGTTTTAAAGTTTGAAAGGGGCTGTTAGCATTAATCACGGGACACAGCACAGTTTGTTTAATTACTTGTGCGTCTGTATGCCCCATATTTATGAGTACTAATAAGATCGTTGATGTCTAAAAAAGGTGCTGGCAATCACTTAGAGCAGTGTATGACATTTATGCTCCTCTAAAAAATTTAAAAAAAGCTTTGGCCCAATTCTTGTTTTGTTTTTCGCCACCCATACTCGGTTTTACAAGTTTCCCGAATTTCAAGGTCACTAGCTTGGCAGGTCCACATTATAATCCTAGTTTGCCAAAAGATTTGACAGGTGTGGCAAATGCTAATGTATACAATATCATTGTTCGTTGAATGGGGTGGTTCAAAATACTATTATTGAAGTAGCAGTGTTCGTACTCATTCTGCATGACTGATGGAGGGAGGGAGGGGGGGAAGCAATTTTTTATGCTTTTCCAAATTCGGTCTCTCGTGGTAAAAAATTAATATCATGTTCCCCATAGCCTGCTCCAAATATTGATTCTCGTGCTCCAAATTGTGTTTTAGGTGTTTCACTCCTGCTTATGCTGCTTCTCTACCCCTCTTTCTCAGGGAGCCACTGCTGGCCCTCCTGAAGCCAAAGATAAGCAGGATGAGTCACAGAACAAGATGGTTCTTTTTTCGGCCAAAGATGACTTTGTCCTGAGCCAGGTGAGTAGGCTGGTTGGGGGAGCACTGCAATAGATGTGCTTTCAATCTATTTCAACGCCTAAGCGGACATTACCATAGTCACAACAGCAGTATGGGGGGGCAAAAGCAAAAAGCCATTAGGACTTCATGAAGGCTTTCGCACAATTTAACACATAGCAACAGCATCATGTAATCATAAGTCAATTTACAATATCAAAGCATGTTATTGAGGATCTTGTCTATTTGGATTTCAAAACACATGTACAAAAATGTTTAAAGAAAGGGATAGTATAAACGGTTAATTGTAAGAAGCTGTTTAATGTCAGTGGCAATAAGTAACTCATCATTTGGCAACCATAATTAGCATGTGTGTAAGGCGTCTTCAAATGTCCAGAGGCTCGCGCGCTGTAGTGTAATTCGATCCACCAATATAACAGTTGCCGAAGAGGTTGCCATTGCTTTAGCTATGACCGACCCAATAACCAAGGTGATCGTAAGTGATCCATAACTCGCCATCCAAAATTTCTCTACACTGGCATACTCAATCATAAAGCATCACACCCCGCCTGTCTCACCTCGTTTTCTTATCTGGACCCCAGCTCATAAATCCCTTAGTGGAAATGCGCAGGCACATTCGCCCGAGATCTCAACTGCTGGGCGGAGTTCCTCACGCCTTACACTTCTCATTCTTCGCCCTCCCAGGCCTGCGAAGAATTAACTCTTTTGGTCACTTACACAGACATTCTACAGCACCACAGACTAGGCCGTCTCCGCTATCCTCCAGCTCTTAAAGACCTTCCTCGACGTGATGCCGTCCTGTGGCGCAAGCTTCAGACAGGTGTCTTTCCCAACCCCTGGCTTTATAGCAAGGTATACCCACACCTCGTGACACCAAACTGTAAATACTGCTCACAATCTGCCACCCTCATACACATGGCATGGACGTGCCCACAGTACGCTGACGCGTCTCACACAGAAGATACACGGGAGTCCCTTCTGCATATCACTGACTCGGCACAGCAACGCCGGGTAATCTCACGCGCATTGGGGGCCGTGGTGTCCCAAGGGATCCCCGTTTACCTCCTCTAAGCAGCGTAACCGACCTCTCGGGCGGTCCCCTCTTTTGGTAGTAATAAAGTTTTGGTCATCATCATGGCATGCTGTAGGGCAGATGTAGAGTGGTAAATGCGCCAGAGCAGTAAGAAGAGAATCCTGCTTTTTCGCTTTTTTCAACAATTACGTTATCACCTCATTAAAATGGAATTGTGAATGTCAGTCATTGGTTGTAAATTAAGCCCCGCCGTGGTGGTCTAGTGGCTAAGGTAATCGGCTGCTGACCTACAGTTCGGGGGATTGAATCCCGGCTGTGGTTGCTGCATTTTCGATGGAGGCCAAAATGCTGTAGGCCCATGTGCTCAGATTTGGGTGCACGTTAAGAAGGGACATGGGTCTTGGGGCTTTCTCATTAATTTTATGAACCAAATGTGACAAATGTTGGCATGCTTACTTAGTTTGTTCTCCTGATTCTAAAAATGTAGTGATTTTTTCTGTAGCTTCATTAGTTAATTAAATAATCAAGATAACAATATCTATTGTTCTTACCACAATGAAAAAATACCCACCCGTCAAAAATGTATAAATGACATAGGGATTGACAGTAGAAAGCATAAGACATACAACATAGGAAGTACTTTTTTGATTGGGGCATTATTTCTTACTTTACAGTACACTAAACTTTAGAGCTCTGAATGTGGCCATTGTGTGGTCACACAAAAGACTAGTTTAAAAAACTTGCATCAAGATAAATAAAAATCTGCTTCCTATGTTGTGTGCTCCAAACATATAGCTTTACGCTGTGTGACGACGAAGACTGAAACTGGCACTCTGGCACAGACGCGCATGCTAGGCGAGCGAGGAAGAAGAAGCAGAATAAGAACAGCTGTCCCAGGATCGGGTGTTGTCTCTTGTTCTCTGTCTCGCTCATTACAATGGTGCAGTTCGACAAGTGAATCATCTGCGGGAAGCCACCGTTACGTGTCTTCGTGGTTCGTCGGCATCACGGGCTTCTCCATCGAGGAACGCCGTTCACGCTTCCTTAGCAATGGGGTCCCAACCGCCGCTTCAGCTACCCTTCAAACGACCAGTGGACGGCATCCAGGCCTCCCCTGGGGTTGTAGGGCATGACCTTATTGACACCCTGCCACCGTTTCGTGGCAGGGATCCGCGTTGGCTCCTGTCCTTCGGGAATGCCGCTCACGCTTCCCATGGCCTACATTCCCGTTGCCGCACTCTTTCAACATACGAGCTGCCAGGGAACGCCGTCCAGGCTTCTCTGCTCGTCAACCTCACAGGCGTGAGTGCTGCAACCGCTACTCTTTCAAAGACCGCGATCACCAACGCTTCGGACTTGACAGCGCCGCGAACCTGCGGCGTACCATCGCGCTACTCCGCGTCAAGACTAACGAACTGACAGCGTCAATCTCCGAGCAAGCTCCTACAATGTTGCCAGAATTGCGTGCCACTAACGCCGTGTTGGATGTAGCTGCCTCGCACGACCTTGAGGCAAGCCCATTGGAGCAACGCAGGCAGCTTTGGGGCACCCTCCTGCAGCTCTCAGACCAGCTCGACGGCATTGCCTCAGTGATATCCGCATTCTCACGTGCCGCCCCACCATCGCCATCCACCTACGAACTGCCGGAATTCGACGGGGTCCGGAACGACGCCGACAGCTGGGTGGCAACCGTCAACGCGCTAGCAATGCGCGCGGCCTGGACAGAGAATCAGAAATGGTATGTGGCCATAGACCGTCTTCGGGAAGGTGCAGCGGCGTGGCACCGGTATGAAGGTTGGAAGCAGGAGTCATGGGCGAAGTGGAGCGTCAAGCTCATAGCTGCTTTCGTTCCGATTCCCTGTGCCTCCTGCCCATGTAACTCGACCTTCTCTCAGGACGGAGCTCGGGAAAAGCCCGACCTAGATGATGCGATTCGAGCTCCTACCATCCTGTCATCTCTCGGTGACCAAGATGTAGGGAACAATCACGATCATGTAACTCTGCCTTGCAGAGGCATTTCTGCTGTCGTATTTAAAGCTCCTGAGGAGCACCGGCCCGACGGTGCAGCTGTGTCCGGCGGATCCCTGATGGCAAGCTTTGCGCAAAGCTCCGCAAGAGGCCCCAATGCAGTTCGTCCGGTCGACTTAGAGGCACCGGCCCCCATCCTACTGGACATTCTATCACCTAATGAGACAGGTCTTTCTGCTGAGTCTAATAACATCCCATCTGACCAGTTGGAAGAGGATATGCATGCGACGCATGCACAGCCTGAATCGGTAGAGTCTCCGATTTTCGGAACGGCTTCCGTCGAGGATCTCCCGCCAGTATGCAGCGTGGCTTCAAGAATCGCTGACTTTACACTTTACAGCGTCCGGGGGCCCCATAGCGACAACGCTGCGCAAGTCACGGACTACGCAAGTCACGGCGCAGGAGGCACGCCACAGGTCAGCACGAGGACTTCACCCAAGTTCGTGCGGATGTCGAATCGCACCGAAAAACATCTCTCGATCCGCAGAAAATTGCGCAGACGGCTGCATAAGATGCTACTCGTTTCATTGCTGGACCCACCATTTTTTGCATTGTTTTCTAAAACGTGGTGGGGCAAAGGAAAGCGTTCTGTGATCAACCTGCGACCATGTCGATCCAGTCGGGGCCGCCCGCCAGAACCATCTCCAAGAGAACCACACCACCGCAGGAAACTTCTACCACGAGAATGCCTGCTCGGTCCACCAAAGGAAAACCGGAGTCGAACTACTTTCTCTGAAAAGTTGCAGCGTGGCCGAGGCTGTAGACTGCCACGTGACAGTCAGTGTCGTCCCGCAGAGTCATAATCAACAAAGAAACCAACCAGGACCCAGTCCCCACCACGACATGGCGAACGACCCGGGCGACATAGCCACTGTCGGCCGCCGAGGCCAATTTCGACAAACTTCCAGCGTCGACCACGACGATGCAGCCAACTCCGCCCACCTGAAGCAATGTCAACTGCTGCAGCTAGCCTCACCCACATGAACATTGTCGTGTGGCCCATCGACAATGCTTGCAGTCATGGCCGAGTGTGACGACGAAGACCGAAACTGGCACTCTGGCACAGATGCGCCTGCTAGGCGAGCGAGGAAGAAGAAGCAGAATAAGAACAGCTGGCCCAGGATCGGGTGTTGTCTCTTGTTCTCTGTCTAGTACATCACAGCTGCAAAAAAACAATATTCTGCTATCTGTAATAGTTTCCGATATATTGCAGTAATTTTCATGCAGGGTGTGCAAAATTGCCATCTTGAGAAAATGAAGAAAACATAGAATTCCGACATTTTTAACTGTAAAAATGTATGTACTTAGAATTACATGGCCATTGACATATAAATGAATGCTAGAAAGCCTAAGGAGTGCAACGCTGCAAGCTGATGGAAAATTGAATGAGTATTTCTCGAATTACAGCACAGTTCATTGCATTGCATTAAAGCGCAGTTCATTGCATGTAACCAAATGCAAAAATTTTTATATCAAAATAAAAAAATGTAGCTGCCCCTTAAAAATAGGCTTCCAGCATTGTTTTTTGTGCACATTTAGCTACATTGTGCAAAAACAATTACAGCTCTAGCTGTCCTAGGTCCACTTTTACCGAACAAGCAAAAGAAAGTGGTCAAAATTTGTGCTTCAAGAATAATGCTATTAAAACTTTATTTCGCCGTTCCGAGGGAAAAAATATCATGGCACACATACTTTTAGTCAGTTAATATGCACCGGGAATGTAATAGGACTGATTGTTTGCACAAGCGTGTAGTTTCTTCTAGTCCTGTAGCAAGTTGTCGCTGTGTGCTCGTCTGCCGCGAGGCCGCTTATCAGTTCGGTAACTGTAGTGACGGCGATGTGCGACAAATGTGCGTGCGTCATCCGCGATACGTCGAATAACACAGCGATGTTTTCCGGCTTGTCCAGAATGAGTTACCCGTAAATGTCGCGAACCAAAGTTGCTCCCTCACTCATCAATTTCGAGGCTACTTGAGTGCCGAGGTGCTAGTTTTCTTTTCACGTAAGACTGCCGCATTTTCGAGCGGAGATCGCGACAACGTTGCGAACACGTCGTTAAAAGCAGTCTACCAGTTGCCAGTAGCCTCTATTGCGGGGGCGGCGAGCATTTTCACCGCGAACGGATTGACTTCCTGTTGTTCGTCGACGCGCGGCGACTCCACTCTGACGACCCCTCGCGCCGTTCAAGGTTCTTTCGTCAGGCGGGGGGAACCGCGGCATCGGCGCGTTTAGCGATAAGACTGCGCTTCTGTTTCGTCACTACAAAGATTGATATCTCTTCTAGCTTCACTTCTGCTTTTTACTTGCCGTCCTCTAACTGATGAGGCTGCAAAACACAGCCGTTCTCAGTAACGTTGTCGGCAACCAACGGGCTCGTACGTGAGTTAGGCCTACATCGGTGACTCGGCAACTGCCATTGACTGCGTCGAGTTTGTTATCCTCGTTGTCCTGAGCCATAGCGGGGCTCCTTCTGAAGTTCACAGCGAACGAATGACCGCCACACCCGCTTCAGAAATTACTATAGCGCGGAACTTCTTTACTGCCGCAGGCAGCCAGTAGCACCATGACAAAATGGCGCATGTCCGTGCGCGTCACGATGGTGAAGCAGACGCCGAAAGCGCCCCTTGGCCAATCGGATGCCTAGGTTTTGTCACGTGCCTCAAGCAGCCTATTGAATCGCGCGCTAGTGCTTCTCGATGACGCGTTTTTGCTAAAAAACCAATGAGCAAGGCGAGCCAGTGGTGGCGGGAAATTGAAGATGAAGAACGACCCTTCCAAACGAGACCAAGATGAACACGATAGCTCGTGTGTAACGGCAACAGTTCGGCGCGGAAAAAGCGCAATTTTAGCGTCAGTTTGCGCTCACATTCATCTCATAGGGATGTTATAAATTGATTTTGTGCCAGAAATATAGACGCGAGAAGCTAGAAACTTCTCAGATAAGTGCAAAAATAGATACAGTTTCCGAAAATGTCAGCTTCAAAAAGTCTATTTTTTTGTGATTTTTGGCCTTCTAAGACCCGTGTCCCGCCTTAAAGAACCCTAGGGGGTCGAAATATCCGGAGCCCTTCACTACGGTGTCTCTCATAATCACATTAGAACCCTAGGGGGTCGAAATATCCGGAGCCCTTCACTACGGTGTCTCTCATAATCACATGGTGGTTTCGGAACATTACACTTCACATATATATTATGGTTGTAAATTAAAGCTTCAAAAGTGGGTTCGGAGTGTGCATCGTGCGAAACGGGTGTAATTACACACGCAGATTTTTTTCTGGAGTCTATATATTCGGCCCAAGTTCTTCTCCACTGTGGCACCACAGACCAGATGCTTGGAGCCCTCCCCTGGTTGCAGACGTGCCCTAACCGAATTGGGGAAGAGGCAGTAGTAGTGCTAGGGAAACAAAGGAAAAGCAGCACTTGCGCAGGCTTTTTTCAATCATGCAGAAGTGCTGCGTCTTGCTTTGCATCGTTTCAGTGGAAATTGGAATGCGAAATGAGTGTCCTGTTCGGTACCTCGATCATCAAAACAAGCGTGACCCGCTTCCCAACTTGTAGAGAAGGCTTTAGAAACTGTTGTTGCCTGGTGCTCCAACTTTGCTCCTGAAGAAGGGTACAAGTTGAACCCGAAACGTCAGCATTTCAATTTGTCTACCGCTTTCAAAGTTATTAGCTGCCTAATGAAACAGAAGTCTGTAAAATGTTCACCTTTAAATATACATGTTTTCTTAGATTGTGTAATAGGACTTGCTCTTACATATGTTCCTCTTTCATAAGAATGGTTTACCGAGCTGGTTGGCAATCCATTTTCAGTGAGCAGTATAAAACCAACTAAACGGGAAGAAGAGAGGAAAAATGTACGCTCTGTACGTCTTCGTTTTTCCCCGTCTTTGTGTTTTTGTTTTTTTTTTGCATTGTTCACCTCGAGAGAGCACCCAGTGTGTAGCACTCACAAACCAGGTGAAAGCCTGGTAGACTACTAGCACACATAGTGCCCAATGTGGACCTTTGTATAAGCAAATGAAATCTGTCGAGCTCTTGCTAGGGTGTCGTGTTCCTTATTTTGTTCAAAGTGGTAAGTCGCAACACATGTGTACCCAGGACTTGTGCGCCATGTGTGGCAGCTTTGGAAGGGCCGAAGAAGGTAGGCTCATCGCATGTGCCCAATGTGGGCAGTGCTACCATCCTTACTGCGTCAATGTGAAGGTGAGTGCCGATATGCCTTTGCTTGTTTGTTTCACTCTATTGTTTGCAGCGTTTTGCGAAGAAAGCTTAAATGCCGTCTAAATGATGTTTCAATGAATCCCAAACCATTTATTGACCTTTTCGTTGTGGTAAAGTAAAGTGTAAATTACAGTGTAACCCCGTTAATAATATGTACCTGCCGGGAATGATGGCATAAATACGCACTAAACGTACTATGCTTTAACCATCAGCTACGAATTTGCGTCCCCTGACACATGCGCCATCGCCGCCAACAAAAGTAAAAACACAGTGCCGCGGGAAATATTGCGCAAAGTGTCCACCGCAAAGCCATTTCTTTCTTTTTGCCAAGGAACAGAAAAGTTTGACTCTCGAAGAACCGCCCGATAGCACGCGATGAAATGTGGATGAGCATTTTGAACCCACCGCGGGATCCGGGATATGCAACGCGGTACAGCGACAGAACGACGGAGGAGCCCCGCCGGGGTGGTCTAGTGGCTAAGGCTGCTGACCTGCAGGTCGCAGGATCGAAGCCCAGCTGCGGCAGCTGCATTTCTGATGGAGGCGGAAATGTTGTAGGCCTGTGTGCTCAGATTTGGGTGCACGTTGAAGAACCCCAGGTGGTCAAAATTTTTGGAGCCCTCCACTATGGCGTCTCTCTTATATAATCATATGGTTGTTTTGGGATGTTGAAGGGCCACTCACCTGGTTTGACAATTTTGAGCTGACAAGCGCAATGCGTAGAAGAGGCGTTCATGATCACGTCTGCCAAAATTTGCAACGCTACGCGCCACAGAAATGGGTCAAATTTCAAGATGAAAGCTGCTCCCCCTCCCCCCTGCCGGTGCACGCGTAGAGAGTGAGGGCATGACATAGGCGTAGGAATGGCCCTACGTACACAGCAATGCAGTGACGTTGGTCCTCTACGTAGACGACTCTGCTCTGACATTGTCAACAGTATACCACGTGATATGGCAAAAATTATTTAATACAACATGCCATATTCTATGTATTTGTTGCTTTAAGAGATGAATAAAGCTCGAAATAAATAATCAGACGCAATAAAAATTGTGCATGTTTTCCTCACATTTTTCCCCGTGAAATGCTACGAGATGCGGGACTAATGTGCCAGCGTTACGCATGCGTCGGGCAACGCATTGAGCAGGCGACCACCGTGGAATGCTCCTACGCGTTCGCGCACTCATTGTGCTCATCTACTCTGCCGCGTCTAAGCCAGCGTTTTCAAACAATCCCGCAGAAACAGGCAGAAGACCACAAAATTACGCTGGTCAACAAAGCAACGCCGCTCGCGTGCACGGGGGCTGGGCTTGTTCGGGCACGTCATGCGCACGTCACCTCTTGGTCGGATGCCGGAGAGGGTGGGGAAGAGATTTGGCTTGCGAAGCCTACGCGGAGAAGCGGCAAGGGTTTCAAACTCGCCTCCTCTCACCCTCGTTTCGCACAGCTTCAAAAAAACCTGTTTTCTCCGCTCGTAATGAACCGATTTGAAAAATTCTTGTGGCAGAACGTTCCTCATCGAACACCCAACAACTTCCACTGTCTAACTAAAATTCGGTATGGGGCCTGGTGAGTGGCCCTTTAAACCCCACATATCTATCAATCAACCAGAACCATGGAGGAAGGAAACGGCTTTCTTCCTGCGTGGGCAGAACGGACACAATCAGCTGTCTGTGATACAGTTGTTCCGCAGTCTGCTTCTAAGCAAAAACTGACGCGGTTTTCTATTTTAAGGTGCTGTACAATTGCAAAGAGCCAGATCGTTTACGGCATGGCTAGTTACGTGCAGCACTTCGCTCACTCTGCGCGCGCCGTGACTGTCGATCCACTTGCTGCGCAAATTTGCGAGTAGCCTGCTGGGTTAACGCTGCGCCAAAGAGCTTTTAACAAGCAATGTGATCTCTGCGATGCTGTAGCAGTCCTGGCAGCGGACGGAGGCACATTTCGGCTATCACTAAATAATAGTGTGCAGCATGGTAACAACAGCACTGCGCCCGCTGTACGGTGCGAGTGTTGACAGCAGGGTTTCTCGGTGCCCGCAATACTCAATGCTGAACTCCTTGACAGCGAGTTGCTTGCATTTCTGTAAAACGGTGCGCTCTTGAACATGGTCCCGCAAAACAAAGGGGTAGTGATCGGCGGCCCAGCGCGTTCAGGTAGCCGCCCACTAAAAGCATGCAGTAAGCCTAAAGTGATGCTATGCCTCACGCGTGCCTGAGGCATGGCCTGAGGACATAACTGCAAATGCTTATTGTGATAAGGCTTTTTGCCAGCGATAAGTCATAGCGGCGTGTTTGTTGGTGGTCGCCACCTCACCTTCGTTTTTTTCTCCAATGGTTACTCGCAGCGTCATCGCCGCAATCGCGCAGACCTCGTAATAACTTATCGGCTGATCTCCGCATTTATCAACATGATGGAAAACCGTTCATGGCACATTGTGGCGTCTGTAAGTTCAGTGGAGCAGTAAAATTTTGTTGCGAAAAATGTTATCATGGTACTCAGTTAGTATGCACTAACCGGAAGGCAAAGGCCGAACACTATGGCTTAAGCGGTCCGCGAATTCATTAGTCTCTATGAGACTCGGTCGGGGATTCGTCGCAACTATGTTTTAATTGTTAGTATGCTCAAAGCGGGTACGCACTAACGAGGTTTGACTGTAGTCACTTGTTGAGGAGGTATAGATTTTGTGTATCCATAGTTTGGCTGTTACAGATTTCAAGAAGCTATGGAAGAGAATGGAAACAGGGGGTGGGGATTTGAGTATGCAGTATGACTTGCACATGCTATTTCTAAATATACATATTGTGTTTTGGAAAATAAAACCTTTTTCTTGCACTTTTTTTTTCATGCCAGACAGTTTTGAAAGCTGTGTGACACAGCATAGGTGCCATCTAGTAGCAGAAAGCCTTGGGGAGGATGGTGTTGCTTGTCAATGCAGCTGTGCAAATACATAGAATACATAGCAAAACTATGAGTGGAAAGTCAATTTCAATATTTTTCTTATTTTTTCGAATATTATTATCTTCAAGTGAAATCGTGGTAAGAAACAGTTGCAGAGTATCCATAAGCATATTGTTGTGAGTGCACAAGACACGAATGCCCTTGCCACACAAACTGCCTGCAGCATCACGTCCACGTGAGCACTGCGCTGACAGCTGCGACAGAGAGCACACGCAAAATGTGCGGCAGCCATCACAAACTTGTGATATAGGTGGTTGTTGATAGTTTGCTTACACAGTTGATGTCTTATTACACGGTATGCACAGAACACACTCCTAAAAGACTTTAAATGTCAGGCTTTTTTAGCTGTTGTTGCTTTGTAGATGATGGATGTGTGTCCTCACAAATATATCTCGCATCTTATCTCATTTTGAAAAATTTGTTGTAGGTACACCTTCGAAAGCAGTGCAGATCAGTGACTCACAGAAGTTACCATATCAATGTGTGCGTGTGCATTTTGCCTAAACCTGCGATTCCATGCCAGGTGACGAAGATTATCTTGAAGAAGGGATGGCGCTGCCTGGATTGCACAGTTTGTGAAGGCTGCGGCCAGCCGCATGACGAGAGCCGGCTCCTGCTTTGCGACGAGTGCGACATTAGCTACCACACGTACTGCCTCTCGCCTCCCCTCGAAACAGTACCGCAGGGAAACTGGAAGTGTCGTTGGTGAGCCCCTTGCCTATTCCTTCTCGTTTCTTTTTTGCTGTTTTTGTTTTTCGTTGTAAATTCGGAAATTCAGCAGCTGTCATGAAGCATCTGCATAGCGAGACTTACTTTTTTTTGTCAATTTTTACAATGATATTTCGTGTGCGGGGCATTTCAGCCCGCACTCTTGAGAGCTAAGAACTTAAGGACATTCACACCCTTTAACGATTCTTTATCACTCTGCAACAGGGATTGCCATCGTGCTTGCTTGCGTTTTACAGCGAAAGCTGTTTATGGGATCACAACAAGGGTCACGTGTGTCGTCGTTGTCCATTGCAGCCGGTGTCTGTAACCACTATCTCGCAAATTAAGAAAAAAATCTTAGTGAATAAAGAATCCCAAGGACACGATGGGATTCAAACCCGGGTTCGAACCCCTGCGTGCCAGCCCAATGTTATACACGCCGCTGCTTGAAACAGACACTAGACAAACTTATTGATTAAAATACAAGATAATATATTATTGGTCCTCAACCATTTGCTTTTTAGAATGCATCGACATGCTGATAGAACAAGCACTGTTTCTGACTCCGAGGTGCAAAGTGCATGCTTTTAGTGCAAGAAAAGTATAGGAGACAAATTTTAGTATTATAGTAAACCCTCGTTATAATGAAATCAATGGGACGGTGAAAAAGTTTGATATACCGTATTTACTCGCGTAATGATCGCACTCGCATAATGATCGCACCCCTAAATTTTGTCGTCTAAATTCGACTTTTTTTTTCCCCCGCGTAATACAGTAAACCCTCGTTAGCTCGAACTCGCATATCTCGAAATCTCGGTTAAGTCGAAACTTTTTTTCGCCGTGCATTAACCTCCCATAGGTGCTATGTATTTGCCCCCTCTTATCTCGAAATGTTTTCCGAAGGGAACAGTAGATATCTCGAAATCTTGACAGGGAGGGCAGAAGGCAAAGTCTACTCCCAACAGGAAACGAGGGCTCCGTGCGAACACTTAGCTCTTACTATACGTGCCGAACGCAGTCGGGAAGGTGAATTTGAAATTTCCGCGGACGCAGCCGTTTCCTATCAGCCTTGTCAGGCAACTGTGGGAGTGATCACGTGTGCGCACCTAGCCCTTGTACGTAACCTAGCCCTTGCATGTGCGAGCTGGTATTCTTTGTTTTCCTCGCGATCTGTGCACGACGCATCTTGAGCTCAGTTTTGCTGAGTAGTGAGTGGTCTGTGCAACGGACGCTTCCGTATCGACCAAGATGTCCCGCCCAAAGCAGTGCAAATCTCTGACGTTGGAGAGAAAAGTCGCGCTAATCAAGGAAGTGGAAAAAGCAAGTCGAAGCAAGTCATGCATCGCCAAAGAATTCGGCATCCCTTTGTCAACCCTCTCGACAGTGCTTAAGAACAAACAAAAGGTTTTGGAAGGCTTCGAGCAAAGCTTCTCAAGCAAGCGGAAGCGCATTCGAGCGTCCAAATTCCCGGACGTCGAAGCAGCACTTCTGTTGTGGCTCCAAAATGTTCGAGCAGCCAATCTTGCTGCTCATGCGATGTGTTGAGCAACTGGAGAACGCCTTTCTCGGACCGAACGCTAAAGCGAAACAGGCGAGCATCACGCAATTTTTTGGTCCTCGGTAATAAATTTTTTTCCCCTCCGAATTCTTGCGCCTTTACTACGGTAGCTGTTTTGTGCAGTGGAGCTTTTCCTAGCAGCGCTGGCTTTTCTTTTACAGTGACCTGGGCGAACATTTTCGGCGTTTTGCTTAACTCGAAATACCGCCTATCTCGAAATTTTCCCCGGATTTGATGGCTTCGAGTTAACGAGGGATTACTGTAATCGCACCCTGAACTTGCCGCATTGACGTGTCTTGTGCCAAGTCTAGCTGAATGCGCCTATCATTGTTTCCGTGATCTGAAAGCAGGCATCACTATGCTAATGCGGTAAATTTACTGATTTAAATGAAAGCATTCCTTATTTAGATGGAAGAAACTGTCTCAACGCGCAAGACATACTCGCGACCTCCATAACTGACGCAAAGAAAAAAAAAATGCAGTGGCTTCGCTCCACGGAGTGCTTCGCTCCTTCAGCCGCCATGTTTGTTTTGGCATTCCTCACTGTTACAGCGGCGGCCGCCTGTTGGTCGACCTGTGTTCATCCCGAAGCAATGTTTTTTTTTTTTTTCCTGAGACCACGTTTTTTTTGTGTGCTTTGTGATTGTCTGTTGAAGCGTTGTTTCACCATGGGGCGGTATGCGAGCTTTACTGCCGCGTTCAAACTGAAGGCGCTTTACTATGCGCTAGAGCACGGCAACCGCGCTGCCGGCAGACATTTTGGCGTCGCGAAATCCGTATCCGATATTGGAAAAAACAGCGCGACATGCTCATGGCTACTAACAGCACGCAATGGGCTTTCCGCGGACCCAAATCTGGCAAGTTCCCTATCATTGAAAAGGCAGTCCTCAAATACGTGAAGGACATGCGCAAGGACGGTTATGCAGTGTTGTTAGACATGATACAGACGCAGGCGTTCACAGTATCCCGGAGGCTGGGACTAGCCACAAAGGACTTCCGCGTCAGTTCTGGCTGGACGACATGCTTCATGCGGCTGAATGGACTGTCGCTGGCATTTCCAACGCGCTCAACGGAACGGAAGATGACCCTCTGTGGGACAGTGAAGACACTGCCGGTTCCGACAGGGAATCGCGCGGCGACGACACTGACGCCAGTGATGCTTCGGAGTCTGAATGAACGTTAGGGAGTCGGAGAGATAAAAAATAAAAGGGCAGTATGTCATGCATGTAGCTCCTGCGTAATGCGTGCATTTTATTGCAAAGCTAAGCCTTAATTTACTTTTATTTTTGGTTATGTTCATGAAAGCTACCGTAAGAATTCTGATTAGCAACTTTTTTTGCGTTTCCGGTGCTCAGAATATTTTTTCACAGAAAATTTACCCTGCGTAATGATCGCGTCCCAAAGTTGGAGTCAATTTTTTGAAAAAAAAAAAAAAAAAAGTGCGATCAATTTGCGAGTATATACGGTACGCAGTAATTAGATATACTCAACTGCCCCATAAAAGCTCAGCAAGTACAGCTAAATTACCCATGACAACTTCCCAGTAGTGGTGTTCTGTGAAACAAACCTTTATTCGCGCAGAAAATGTCAGTCAGCTGGCTTCATTGGGTGCTTCAGCTGGGCACGAGAAGTGCCTGTTTTTTCAAGCAAATTATGTTGTCTTGGTCGCGGCCCGCACACTCCACTCTATTTTACAACAAGCGGAAGCTCTCCTGCGTTTGTGCCGCTGTTGGTATTTCATAAGGCTGTTTGTCTAGCGGCTCGTCTTCCTCATCGGGAACTTCAAGCAAGTCAACCATTTTGGCATCCGTAGCTGGGGCTGACATCTGCATCAGCCATCGCGAATGATTCGAAGTTTCCTTCCAGATCTCTGCCAAGGATGCTGTTCACAGCTTCGTAGAGATCGTCTCAGTCATCATCAGAGTTTTCTGTGTGTGACCGGAAAAATCAGGCATGTCTAAAGCAGTTATCTTTGCAGGCGCTAGTTCTTTCCATGAATGGCGTAGTAAATGCACTGCTCCAAAACAGTCGATGCTGTATCCCTTGTTGGCATCATACGCAACGAGCATTCATTGTAAAAGACTTTTCCGGTATAACTTTTGTCTTGGTTCATGGGCTGCAATGTTGGGGTGATATTCACTGGTAGAAATTCCAAAGTTATTGCTTTGCAGATTTTCAATCGTTCCATGGCTGGTGCAATTTTCGACAAGAAAAAGCACACGCCTTTGCTTTGCCTTAAACTTTTGATCAAGTAAGCGCGCATACTCTTCGAAAACGACTGTGGTCATCCAAGCACTTCCGTTGCTTCTGTGTATACAGTCTTCGGGTGTCATTGCATTGCGGTGTCATTGCATTGCGGAAATAGTGGTGCTTTGCCCACTTTCATTGTATCAGCAAAGAAAGCTTGTCCTCCCCCATCATATTAGCACTGAACAGCACTGTAACGTGTTCTTTATTTTGTTTACATCCTGATGAGGTTCCGCCTAGTGTTGTGTATGTGCGCTTAAGCAACAGTGTTAAAGATTGCCGCCTTGTCCAAGCTGTAAATGTCTCCATCTTCATACTGCTAAAGTAAGGCGCTCAGCCGATGCTTGCGCCATCCGTCTATAATGTCGCGGTCTGCGGCTCCGCTTTCTCCAATGATCAATATTAAAAACACTTCGTGCTGTCTCTTGAAATGTTCAAGCCAGCCGCTGCTGCACTTGAAATCTTGCTTGCCCATTTGGACCGCTAGGACTTTGGCTTTTTCGGTCAATGCAGGCCCATTTACAGGAAGGTTTGTACTGCCAGCGTTTTTCAGCTATTCGTGGAGTGCTCTTCCCTCTTCAGGATACATAAAATCACAATTTATTTATTTATTTACAATACCTCAAAGGCCCCAATGAAGGGGTTTTACATGAGAGGTGGGCTATTACAATGGATTAAAGGGGTAGATGCTCGATCGCTGATTTTAGTTGATGATACTGGAGTGTTGCACAAAGAGAGGAGGAAGGCCATTCTAATCTTGTACGGTCTTGACAAAAAAAAGATGAAAGGTGCACAGTGGTGTGAGCACTTGGCGGGTAAACAGCTTTCCCGTGATTGATGCGGTCTGTATGACGATGGGCTGGCTTGATGATGGGAGTACGAGGTGATCCACGATAGAACTTGAAAAACAGGCACAGTCAAGCAACACAGCGGCGTGACAAAAGGGTGGCGAGGTTAGCACGAGATTTAAGTTCGGTCAAGCTTGACTGATATGAATAATGTAAAAAAAATTAATCTTGCCGCCTGGCTTTGCATCGTTTCAAGTGTTGTAGTATTGTTACTCTGATGAGGGTCCCAAACAGTGCATACGTATTCAAGATTTGGTCTGATTAGTGTCTGATAAGCAAGTAGTTTGACAAGGGTAGGAGCTAGATGAAGGTTTCGGCGCAGGCAGCCAAGAGCACGGTTTACTTCGTTAGTAATGTGTGTTATGTGAAGAGAGCATGTTAAATCAGAACAAAAATGGACACCTAGATACTTGTATTTGGTTACACGGGAAATTTGAGTGTCGTTGATGAAGTATGCGGGAAATGGGTAGTACAGTTGGCGATGAAAAGAGACTAGTGACTTTTTGTCTGGGTTAACGGACATTAACCACGTTTTTCACCAGATTTCAATTTTATGAAGGTCAGATCGAAGTTCATGAACCATGCATATCCAACTAGCCCAACTTTCGATTCTCATGAACATCTGATGTGTTGTTAATTGGGCGATAAATGACACAATCATTGGTGAAAAGTTGGATGTTAAAAGAAATATTATTCGGCAAGTCGTTAATATACTCTATTTACTCCCATAATCTCCGCACTTCATTTGGCGGAAAACCGGTGCAAAGTTGTGGGTGCGAGAGTTACGCGGGGAAAAATTTCCACAAAAACGTACAAAGCGAAAAAGAAAACGAAGTGGCCGCAAATCGTGATTCTCACAGCAGGAACTAACAGCAAACTTTGAGAAGTATTAACTAAAATTTACCTCAACTATAAAAACACAGGTTCTACACAAGGCAAGATTTATTTGAGACGCAAAAAGTGCAAGCAAATAGTCGAGAATTAGAATACCATACGCAAAGCTTGTGGGCGTTGCGGGCGTGGCAGTAGTGTTCGTTGCTCAACAGGAGCCCTCAAAAGGTAAGCGTAGGACATCAGTATTGGGCTGACAACTCTATACCAGAATCGTCCGCAGTTTCCTTCTGAAGAAATAAAGTTTACCATCAATCCCAGTTTTAGGCACACAGCAGGCCCAGCGCGTCTTGGTGGCTTTCAGCTGCCGTCATCAGTAGCGAATACAAAACTCGTATGCTCCGAAAGGCCTACCGACGGCCCTGTTGCTGTTGTTTAGTGCATGATCTATCACTTTCAAATTGAAAGCAGCCGTGTAGCTTCAGTATCGCCCCATACCGTGACAAGATTACTGACACAACGTACAAAACACGCCGCAATGAGCACTAGCCACTTTGGCTTGGATTGGATTGAATCTCCATGCAATAATAGTACGTTAGATGCTTAAGAGATGGCGCGCGCTATCATCATGAGTTGCTGAAACGAGCAGATGACATTATTGCGGCAGTTTTTGGGGTTGCGATAATCACTCCAGGAAAAAAAAAAATTGTATTTTCGTTGGGCAATGTGGGGGGTGCGAGAATTATGCGAGTGCGAGGATTACGCGAGCAAATACGGTAAAGGCACAGGATCAACACAAGGCAAGATTTATTTGAGGCACAAAAGGCGCTATCAAATAGCTGAGAATTAGAATACCGTACGTAAAGCTTGTGGGTGTTGCGGGCGTAGCGGGCACAGCGGTAGCGTTCGTCGCTCAACAGGAGTCCGCAAAAGGTAAGCGAAGGACGTCAATATTGGGCTGATGGCCATTTAATAGAATCGTCCGCAGTTGCCTTATGAAGAAATAAAGTTTACCATCTATCCCAGTCTTAGGCACACAGAAGGCCCAACCCGTCTTGGTGGCTTTCAGCTGCCGTCACCAGTAGTGAACACAAAACTCTTCTACTCCGAAGGGCCTACCGGTGGCCTTTTTGCCGTTGTTTAGTGCATGATCAATCACTTTCAACTTGAAAGCAGCTGTCTAGTTTCCGTATCGCCTCATAACGTAACAAGAATACAGACACAACATACAAATCACGCCGCAACGCGCACTTGCCACTTTGGCTTGGATTGGATTGGATTGAATTTTGGTGCAATAATAATACACTCCCTTGCTTAGGAGATGGCGCCAGACGGCACACGCTATCATCAATGGCTGGAACGAGCAGATTACATTATTGCGGCAATTTTAGGGGGTGCGATAATTACACGAGGAAAAAAAGAAATCATATTTTTGTCGGGCGATGTCGGGGGTGCCAGAATTATGAGAGTGCAAGGATTATGCGAGTAAATATGGTATGTGAGAAAAAGAAAAGGTCCTAGAACGGTGCCTTGAGGCACGCCTGAAATAACGGGGCATAAAGACGTAGAAAGATTATTATCGTAAATGAACTGCTGGCGATTAGTTGAAAAGTTTCAAATCCAACAGGAAACTAGCAGGTCAAGGTTCAGACAGGAAAGATTTAAGAACAAGCGTTTATGAGGAACTTTGTCCAAAAGCTCTCTCAGTCTAAAAAGAGTGCGTCTACGGGTATATATACATCAATGCTAGAGCTAACGTCATTAGTAAACAGAGCTAGTTGAAACACCTTTCTGAACATGAAACACCTTTCTGAAAACCATGCTGGTTTTTATGAAAAAAATGAAGAGGTGTGAGAAAGGTGACTTGGGGAGAAACGCCAGTTACGCTGTCGTTTGGCTGAGATACTCTTCTTCCTTCCAGTATGGCATTCTTATTCTTCAGAACAGTTGATAATGTTGGCGGTGGTATCCGAATTGTCTTGCGATTTCCGACTTCTGCTGGCCTTCTTTTTCGACCTCACGTATCAGTTGAACTTCCTGCCCCAATGTCAGACGCTTCCATGCAGGCACTGGTGGGGCCTTGTTCACTTGAAGGCCACTAAAAGCACTCACGATGCGCACGCGCATCACGGGCTCACACAGACCTTGCACAACGTACGTGAATGTGTGTCTTTCAACCGCTGTTGAAAAAAGCCCAGGGAGCACACCGAAGCTTTGTAGTGGTCATGTGACACCACTCACATAGCCACTGGCGCAGCGGGGAGCAGCCGGCATGTTTTGAACGCCTCCAACATTTGCCTCTGTAGCAGATAGTACCGTAGTAGGGCGCGGAGGGCAGGGTGAAATTTACGCAACCGAGACACACACGCTGTCTGCACCAGTCTGCACTGGCACGCTTTAGCCTGTGCGACGCTAGCGTGGACATCACTCGCTCAGTGCAGAAAAAGCGGCTTGGCGCAAAATGCGGATGAAAAAAGCGCGCGGCTGCTCGTTTGCGCTGTCAAGAATATGGATCTGCAACTTGGTACTTCGCTCTAAGCGGAGCAAGCTATCGACATGCTTCAAGTAATCCGGTCTAAAATACACGCTCTTGTGTCTGGACTGCGTGACACTGCGGTAAAAGCGATGATTCAAATAAATTGACTTCATTTTAATGCAGGTTTATTGTATTTTTCGTTTATCAATACTGCGATTTCTACCATGGTTTAGCAAGGTAAAATATTGTAAATACAGCGTAATAGCACTCAAATATACTTACATGCAAAGGTTAGTTGAAAACATTAGAAAAACAAATTTAGGTGCTAAACGAAAATGCAGGGTAATGATGTTGCCTTGAAGGTTCTGGAGAAGGTTGACAAGATATTTAATGGTACAGCACCTTCTTGGCCTATATAACTAATTGCCAAAAGTATTATTACATTGCATTCCAAATAAGCTAGACAAGCCCGGTATTTTCGTGCGGACAACATGCCCCTGCGTTTAAGCCACCCCCCTGATTTTCACTATACCATGAGGTGAAAAAAACAAATAGGCTAGGCCTGCGCAAAAGACGCAGCACAGTCACAGCGAAAGCTAGAAGAGGGGCCTTTCAAAGCCTTTTCGGAATACTCATTGGATAACTACTGCAAGCACACTTGCTTGATACTCACTAGGGCATTAATAATATTGGGTAGTAGGCCGGCATTCGCTGTGCTATATTTTGCCATTCTTCTGAGAAGCATGGTATCGGCTAAACACTTCCAAGAAATTTCGTGCCAATTGTTCATGCAATGGCTGACGATGATGAGGAATTATGGCTGAAATGGGTATGCTCTACGATTAATAAGGGAACAAGAACAAGCTTTTGTAATGGGTTGGAGCATTAGACGGCCCACTCGTTACGCTATTCGCATTGTGCGATGACTGGTTGTTCTTTTGCTGTTTTAAAACGCCCTATAATTCGTATTAGTGCGATTGCTTTCTTGTATTAATGCGATTGCCAACAAGTCACAAGCACCAGCGTAGCTCAGTGGTAGAACAATGGGCTGGTACTGGTACCCAGCGAACCTGGGTTCGAGCCCCACTGTGTCGTTGGTGCTAGGTTTGCCAACAAGTCACAAGCATCGGCGCAGCTCAGTGATCGAATACTGGGCTGGCATCTAGCAGACCCGAGTTTTGAGCTCCACTGGGTCTTTGGTGCTAGGTCTTTTTTCTAATTTCGCGCGATGTGGTTACGGACACCGGCGGCGGCGGCGGACAACTGCGCGTGACTTGAGTTGTGATCCCATAACAGCTTTCGCTGTAAAATAATTTTAACCTACTCTAACCCAACAATATCCCTCACCCCACCTTTTTAATAACATTTTGCATTTTTTGGTGTGGGTTATATACAAAAAGATATGATAACTTTCATTAATTTCGGCGACCTTCGTGTAGCTCGTGTGACTAAAATATTTAAATATAATTTGAAAGCGGTGATGTCGTGCTAGTATGCAGGAAGCAATGTTCGTTGTCAAAGCTAAGATGAAATGGCACATCGGCCTTTTGTTCCGAAAATCAACCTTTTATCGCAAGCATAATGGCAGTCGAGCTCAGCAAGTGGTACATTGTTAGTTTTGCTTTAAGACAGCCCACTCGTTCTCACATTTCATTGAAAGGAGCAAGTTATGTGAAACACTCTCTCTCCTCCAGGTGCGTGGTGTGTGTCAAGTGCGGGGCCACCGAGCCAGGCAATGGATCGCAGTGGCAAAATAACTACACCCAGTGTGGTCCGTGTTGGAGCGCGACTACGTGCCCGCTGTGTCTGCTCAAGTACAAAGAGTCTGAACTGGTCATCCTGTGCGTCCAGTGCGAACGGTCAGTCACTGCAAGAGCTGTTTTGGTGCACTCAGTTGATTAATCGGGATTGTCTAATTACATAATAATGAAGGACGAACGCAACACTTATATGGGTCTCCTCTGTGGGTCCTTTGTTTATGTGCTTTTGGACAGTTTGCATTTTGTTTCTCCAGTTTTATAGACTTGTCTTATTCTGCCTTCCTTGTCATTATATTCTTGTCACATGGGCAGATTGAATACGACTAGGATCAAATGACGTTTGCGTAACGTTATCTGCTGAACAGGGACAGTTCGGTGGCATTTCTTAAACTCTTTCGTTACCGCGCCAAAATAGTTATTTTTTTCACATGTCTTGGCAAGATCATTTTCTTCTAGATTCAAAAGTAGCCCTGCACGAATTGCAGCATACCAAATTTTGCACAATGAAATGCTCTTTACAAAAAATATATGTTGTTGAGCAAGAAAAATATTTTGGAATGAATAAAAGTGTGCAAAGTTTTTAATTCCTAGTTGCGAGCATGTAAACAGTGCAACAGAAAACACTATGTATGCAAAAATATTTAAAATAAAGAATATTCAGAATACACATTTTGAACATAAATGATCCAGGAGAGCAGTATAAAAATAATCAATTTTGTACAGAATGTTTCTATTCACATAGACAAAGAAAATCGGAACCGAGGTGCTGCTTAGTTGTTTGGGCCATGTGGTGAAGCATTGCTTGGTTTTTCGTGAGATACAAGTGAACTCGTACACTTTTCACAATAATTTTTTTTTCTGCGATAAGAGCCTCAAGGCGTTCCAGCGTAGTTGGATGCCCGTGTAAATAATCGGTCTATAAATCGGATATCCGATGAACTTCGCTATTTCATTTATCATCACCTCTTTCCTCTAGCCACCTCACTCCGCATAGGTTGGCGTTCCAATAAATGTATCTAAGCATATTTCTTTGTATTTTGGCATGTCGTATTTAAGCAAAGAACAATATTATTGCAAGCAGTTCTAAAATTTTTTGCATTGCTCCGTAGTCAGCGCCAAGGTGTGCTCTGGTGGCCTACTTGTTGTTAGGAAAGCTCTGCAACAGGCGTTAGCACACCGCGCCCTAGCGACCTGCGGACTTTGCATGTTAGCAGAGTAGCTATAAGAATGTCCACAAAGGTCAGCAGCTACGCAGTTGTGGTGGAGGAGACAACTTGAGGCCCTAGGCAAAAGAAACCCATGAATGTCTGTGGATGTATTAGGCTCACACAAAATATCGTCGCCAGAAATCGAAGCTGAGGTGCTGTCATCCTCAAACTCTGCGCTTGTCCTCACTCAATTCAGGTGGGGTTGCAAGACAGTTTTGAGCGTGTGACGCCGCCATCATAAGAGCCACTAGTGATACTAGATGCGGCGCTGTGTCTGATATGATGATACAAGAAAAACCAAAGCTGCTGGAAACTGGCTCAGAAGGCGACCTCCACACTTTAAACATGCGGTGGTCTTTCGCAAATATTTTTTGTGCAATAAACTTTCCCTGACTCCTAGCAACAGCTCTTTATTGAATAGCTGGCATAAATTTCTGGCAATTATTACTGCTCAACACTGTTAAATTGCAAAGTTGGCACTGTGATTTGATATTTGTTTTGTGAAAGTTTTTTCATTACAGAATGGTGTTATTGTAGCATAATCACGAGGGGCACGCACTTTTGTCAAGTTCGCCAGCCAAGTGCATTTTTCCAACACACACGCACATTGGTTTGCACAAAGGCCTTTCAAAAATTACTATTTTGCCAAAATGGGCAGTCAAGTTAATTATGAAAGCTGAGTGGCTGGACTACTACAAGAAAGTGCTGGGTGCACGAGAAACAAATTTAACATACCCGAAACCGACGATGCAAAGCTTCAATCACCGGTGATCGACAGGAATAGGCATGGTAACGAAAGAGTTAATTCATCTGCAGTAATCTGCAGTGATTTCGTATATGTGAGCTTGGAGAATTGTTTGCGGCACTTAGAAGGGGGACGCGGCACTTAGAAGTCGAAAATCTGCCCAAAAATGGCACTTTTATTTCTCATCATTTTCGTGTTCCCGATTCCCTTCTGCACCTAGCAGCAAAGTTTGGCTTCAAGATTTCACTTCTCAAGTTATAACCCATAAAGAGAGCAGCTTCGCGCAAGCGGACCTTTAAAATTGTAAACTAGCCGTATTTCAACCGCCGACGGCACGCAAACTACACGTTCCACCAGCGCCATTTTGAAAGGTCGCATTTCTAGCTTTCTTTTTTACAGTAGACAACTATGTGCCCATCGCAAAAGCAAAAGAATCGAAGTCAAAATCACACGCAGCGCATGATGATTCCATTGCTTGCTTGACGCATGTGACCAAAATGGTGCTTCCCGATTGGCCAGGAAGACTCGCTGGCAGTGTTTGCCGCCATTTTAGAAGGGTATCGCCCTTGGGAAGGTATCGTGACTCGTATCCTTAACGTGTTTGTCGCTATGGCTGGCGGTGGGAAAAGTTTCGATTGCAGCATCATTTTAGCTGTTCACGGAAGAAAGGCAGAAGCAAAAAGCCCAATGGTGCTGCTACTGTGTCACGGGAGCAAGCGCTGACATTGTTTTATAACGCAGTCTTGATAATGCGGTCGTAACTCAAGACTGTTCTTCGTGCATGCGCGATGTGGATGCTGGCCGCACGTGTATTGAAGATGTTATCGATGGAGAAGTGTACAAGATGGCTTCCCCGAATAGCGGACGCTCTGTAAATATGACTGTGTCAATGCTATCGGTAACCCTGAAGTGCGCGTAGACACAGGCCTCTCTGACAGCGCGCGCGATGTCCACTCTGGCCGTGTGCGGGTAGACGATGATGTGACCGGTGCCAGCAAAGTTCGTGACGCGTGCGCCTGAGAGACAACCACGACGCTTGCGGGTCTTTCGTCGGTGTCAGCAACAGCGCGAAAAATTGAGTGCTTTTCGGAGTCAAGTGGTGCGGCAGCAAGGCAAGATGCCAGCAAGGCAAAAGCCTCCAATCCGTGATTCGGAGTTTGGTGTCAAAGGAACAGCACGGTTCTTTTTTTGCTGTGCAAGCTGCTGTTGCAGAAGCTGTGCTGTGCTTCAACACGGGCATTGTCAATGCATTTGCTGCGGTTCTCGAGCAGCTGGAGATAACGATATTCAGAAACACATCCCTGAAATCTAGGGAGAAGGACTGTCGTCAGAGTGTAACCTCAAATAAATCGAGAGAAGCGTCCAAAAGTCTGAGAAAGTTGGTCATGAATTATAAGAATGGCATCCATTTACCGTATTTACTCGATTCTCCCGCGCCCTCGATTGTAACGCGCACCCGATTTCCACCGCGAAAAAAAAAAAACAACGTGAGACATTGATTGCAATGCGCACCCATTTTTCTCGCTGGCCCGCACGATCACACCACTCGAAAAACCGACTCCTTTCGGGAGCGTCTTCCATTTAAAAATATGTGAGGTACGGGCGAAGCTTGTGCCCATCTGACGTGTAACAGAGGTTTGCCGTCACTGTAGTTTTACCGTGGACCGATGTCAGCACGTGAACTTGCTTCGCCCCCTTCTTTTCGACGGTTGTGGTGCCAGGCATGTCGACGTAAAGAGGCGTCTGATCGGCATTCCTGATTTGCCCAAGCAGGTAGCCGTTGTTGCGCCGCAAGTTTAGGACGAACCTCTGAAAACTGTAAAGCTTTTCATCGTACTCCTCCGTAAAACTTTTCGCATATGCATGTTCCCCTTCGGAGGGAAAAGCCTTTCCTCTTCATAAAGCTAGTTAGCCAGCACCTGCTCGCTTTAAACTGGCTCGCATTAGACCTTTTTCTAAGACTAATTGCATAGCCCGCACTTGGAGCAGTTCTGTCGTCACGGGCCGCTGTGCTGCTTACTGCTCAAGCACATACTCTCCGAGCAGCTCTTTAATTTGCAGAAACCGACCCTGCTGTGGTCCACTGAAGCCTTTGCGTGAATCTTTGCTGTCGACAATCTTCTGCTCTTGTTTCCGCCGGTCCCGCACGCACGTTTCGGGAACTCCGAACGACCGCGATGCGGCTCGATTTCCGTCCGTTTCTGCACACGCGATGACTTTTCTTTTAAAAGCGGCATCGTGGTGCACTCGAGTTTTCGGAGTCGGCCCTTCCACGCCGTCGATGCTAATGCACTACTAGATGACGAACTCCTCAGTACACGTACGAAGTGCCGCACATGGGAAACACATAGGCAGCAATGGCCGACGCGCCATGCCAACGCACGTAAGGGGCGGCCATTTTGGATTTGCCGATGGCAATAGATTGACCGTAATTTTTTGTTCGTACTCGATTCTAACGCGCATGCGATTTATGAAGTCGCTTAACCGGAAAAAAGGTGCGCATTAGATTCGAGTAATTACAATATATTATGCCCCTGGTGCATTTTAATAAGATTTTATTCCTATTTTTTCAGTAAAGGTGTTTTAAAACGTTTTTCCTCATTTTCTCAAAACATCAATTTTGGCACACTTGCCAAGTTAGTTCCACTCGAGCTATCAGTGTAATTCTTTTTTTTTTTTTTTTTTCGGAAAGATAAATGCATGCAGTATGCAATATGCCTATTTTCAAGGCAATACAGTCGAACCCCGCTACAACGAACGCCACTTCAACGAAATTTCCGCTACAACGAAAAATTCAAGGTTCCCTGTGAGTAGTCCATCAGAGTCAATGCATAAATATTGTCGCCACAACGAACACTTTCTTTTCTGCTGTCCCGCGTCAGCAAAATTTCGCGATGCGATTCCAGGCTCAGATATTTATTGCTATACAGGAAACCCAATCTTGAACGTTTTGAGGCATTTTCAGAACCTGAAGATACGTCGACGAAGTCTAAAACACGCGTTGGCACCAACAGAAATCGCCGCTGTTCACCAAGCATGGGCACCGCCATTACTCGATAGCGATGGCAGTGAGACGGTGCTGCCAGGCCCTTTTTGCCACTGGCTTGCTTTCGAGCCGCAGACGATCCGAAGCTGAAGCTCAGTCGCTCAGTTCATGGTTTCCTTCACGCAGCTGCCGCAGCTGCTGGATGCAACCGCGGGGCAATGTCTTTTTCGATTTTAATGCTTATCATTTTATTCGTGCTTGGCCAGTGTGGTACCTAATCAGAGCAGATGTTCATCTATATCATCAACCAAATCACCTAGCCGCGAGTGAATGATGATAAGAATGACATAGAATAAGGCAAAAGTCACCGCTCCACGATATCCTGCCTCCATCTCGGCGTTGTCGAATTCACTTTGACGGCGGACAGCTGCTGGTGTTAACGTGTTAATGCAACTGTTTGGTACGTTCACAAAAGCGGATGTAGGGGTTTTTTTAGCGTGGTTTTCACCATGGCCTCGCTATGCATGACTGTGAATCGCATCGTGACGCTGCTGGGAAAGAGTAAGAAGTAGCGGACACTTTAATTTTAAGAATAAACGCTCCTTTATTTTGCTAGCCTATATTTTTTTATTTCACTACAATGAAATGCTTGCTTCAACGAAATATTTTCCGCGCCCCGTGAGTTTCGCTGTAGCGGGGTTAGACTGTATACAGATCAAAAATTTTTTTAACTGAGTCACATTTGTGACAGGTGAAGGTGGCTTTTTTTTTTTGTGAAAATTGCTGTCCTCTAACTCTTGTTGAAATTGGCCCAGCAAATTGATTTATAGCATATTGCACTCCTTAAACATCCTACATTGTTTCTACACTGTCGCCAGTGGTTTGGTGCTTCCTGCTTAGATGCTAATTAGGCAGCAAACAAAGGACCCAGGTTATACATTGATTGCGGGATATCTTCGAAACTACTTGACCTATTGAAAAGTACTTACATTTTTAGAATCTGCACATCTAAATACACAAACTGTTAAATTTCGTTCAGATCTATAGACAAATAAAAAAGTTCCCCTCTTAACTTTTGTTAGGCACTATTTCATGTATATTGCTTGGTGTTGAAGTACTTTCTGTGCCTCTTCTATCATTAGATGGATGCATGGTATGTGCGACCAGATTTCCTCGGAAGAAGATGCGGAGAGGTGTGCCGAGTATGGTTACAACTGCCCATACTGCCGCCCCAAGGATGAACTGCCACCCCATCTGCTTATGGACTACACTGGTATGTGGATCTTTGAAAACTTTGTGGACTATATAGTGAACAGTTTTCATTTTTGGAAAGAAAATGTCAAGCTTGATTGCACTCAATCAAATCTCAATAAAAATTGCCAACATGTGGCATCACAACTGCGCTTGTCACAGTGGTGTGACACCACAGTAAGTTCAGAGTCCGATCATTACTTGAGTGAAAAACATTTTTTTTTTTCCGGTAGCAGCATTCAGGGGTGCAATCGTATATGCGGGCATATATGGGGCTTGTGCAAATATTCGAATGCTTGAAATTTGCTTGGAATCTAATTTAAGTTATTGAAAATTTCTAATTTTTTGAAACAATTGATTAGGTTTATATTAGTTTGCATCTATCCTTCTGTAAATGTGGTTTCACTGCAGTAAAATGGTGCTAAGCATTGAAAAAACATTCAAAGAAAATCTGCGCTAGCCTGACTTCAAGGTTAAATGATGGTATTATTCTCACATCGATGCACTTTAAGTTTAAAATTTTCTTAAATTTTAAAAGGTAAAATATTTTGCAGGTTATCACTGGCATTCTGGTGGGAGTCAAATCCTTCTATAATTCAAATTTGTTTGCACTTCCTTTGATTCAAAACAATGGCATTAGCACAGGCCTCATTTCAATTTTTAAAAAATATTGTGCAGGTTAGTTTTGTCATGAGAAATATGGCCAATTTTTTTTATAACAGGTAATATACCGCATAACCTGGAATATAGGTCGAGGCAGAATATAGGTCGACCCCCTTACTTTGACCAGAAAAAAAAAAGAAAAAGAAAGCACGGCACTGTTAACTGATGCACTTTATTCAGTCCTACGAACTGTCGGAGCTCTCCTCCGAGAATGACTGCTATTGACTAGCCCCCTCCCATGGCATGTTGTCCTTGGTGCCGTTGAGAGGGTTGCTGATGCAGTAGTTCCTAAACGTGCGCAGCAGCATTTCTTCTGGCAGAGATCTTTATGCCTCGGAGACCTAAGCCAAGCTGTCTCGAGAGGTGGCCTGCACTGGCGGCCTGTCGGGGTTTGCGGTTGCCAACCATCCATTCATTGTAAAACGTATGCACACCGTCTCTAAAAGGCTTGTTAATCGTCATTAGGCCTCCTCCATGTCCACTTATGGTTCAGTCGTTTTCGGTGGAAGGTATTCAAGATCCGCAATTTTACCGCATTTACTCGCGTAATGAATGCACTCGCACAATAAACAATAAACACAACCCCAACCTCAGTCATCAAAATTAGGATTTTTTTTTTTCCGCCGCGTAATAAACGCACTCCCTGCATTGATCCCCTCTAGTCCCGCTAACCGACCCCTGAGGCCTCCTCACCCATTGGATCTCTTCCTTGGCTCGCTGCCTTCGCCCGTTGCTACGTGCCGTATTGTTTTTCTTTCTGTCTTTGCGCGGCACGTCCCCCGCCTTTTTTATGTGTGCGCCACAGCGGAGTTCACAAATGGTGTGAGTGTAGATATCGCAGCTGATAAGCATATAGTGGAGCAAAGGTCACAAAACTGTCCATGCTAACTGGCGGTCTTTCCCTGTGAATGCGAAAAAGCCCAACCAGGTACACCCAATTTTCAAGCAATGACGACAGGATTTGCTGTCCCGAAGGGTCATTCGTCACTATTGCATCGCACATTTCTGGAAAACCAGAAAAAAATAGCTTGTCGTCCAGAAAATATCGTGATCATTTCCGCAACTTCGTAGCACCCCCGACTCTCGCTTCGCTTGTTATTTGTGTGTAGAGGAACTTTTCATGTAGAAGCGAGAAGGCTGCTGTATTTTGTCGTTAATCTCATTATTGACGGTTTGTTTTGATGCTTTGGGGGTAGCTTGCTGCAATGCTGGTTACTTGCTACAGTGTCAACGGCGGCGTCGTGCGAGGTCATGCGAAGTAGGCAAAGTGCGTCGTAGCATCGTAGCACACATTTTTGGGTGCCCCTCGAGATCACAGCGGATACTACTGCTGTTGCAGTTAAATGATTGGGAGAAAAGATAGCGGCAAAACGCTTTTATGGCATGTGTAGTAGCCCGTGGACAGCTTGCAAAAGATAAGTGCAACAGAAGAATTAAGAAGAGTTCAGTGCAACAAAGAACCTGTTTCCAAACAGTGTCCGCGTACGTCAATTGCAAAAAGCTAAGCAACCTAACTTTTTTTTGCATAACCCCTTTTTTTTTGCTCCTCCCGAAAGTTTTAATCAAATTTACCCAGCCTGATAAACGCACTCCCTCAACATTTCTCCTTATTTTTCAACAAAAAAAGTGCGAGTAAATATGGTAAGGTTGACGTCCAGTGGTTGCAGCATTGACGTTATCCCTCCAGGAATCGATCTTCTGGTCTTCCCATCGGGAAATGTCTGCTTCACTGATGCTGTAAAATAGCTGGCTGCAGAGCAAGGTCGCCACTCGCTAGAGGCACAAGATGAACGACAAAATAAAAATAATGTTGGCCGTCGGCCCATGGAGGCAATATCGATGCCGATGCCCAAGAAGCATCCGAAGCTCTCTGTTGTCAGGCGACAGCTCGGTTTGCGCCAAGGGCTGGTAATAGGTCAAGGGGTATTTTTTAGTGACATTTTTTTTTGATAAAAATCTCCACCTATAATCCACACTATATGATATATATTATTCAAATTTGGTTCAGTATTATTCTACCAATATCGTTATTTGCTTCAAACCTAAAATTGATTATTTGTTCAAGCCTAGTAAATAAAGTACAGTGTATTGTAGTACAGTACAGTGTAAATACAGTACGGTACAGCCATTGGACAGTGCTCCTCCTATCAGTCATATGTAAATTGATATTGTAATGTGCAAATTTGTGTCATTTCTGTAGCTCTAATAAGCTTAATACATAGTTATATGGTTGAATTTCTCCTTGCAAGTATGTCTTCAATACATGTTGTATGTTATGAAACTGATTAGTTCACGCAGCTTAATGTGTGTACATTCTTTTGCGTCACATCCACTGTGAGAAATTGTCAGTGTAGGACGCTACAAGCTGCGTGGAAACTGCTTTGGGGAGCAAATTAAAAAATTACACTCAAATTTCAACACCAGCATTCACACTTCTACACTTAATTGACCTTAGAGCAACATTTGGTTGTGCAAATGTGCAGTGCCTAGAATGGCACTTGTGAAGTACAGAAAATGATGGGAATGTGATGTTGGCTTCTGAATGTGTTGTGTGATGGGGATGGCTTTTACTTTTTCTTAGCGGCTGTGGCATCTCCATCGCCACCACCACCTCCTCCAAAGCCCGAGACTCCCACGCCTTCACCACCACCTGCACCGGCGAAGACTGTGAAAGAACCGGGTTAGTAAAATGCGCCATTGCACAAATGGAGTGAGCAGAATTGTGTCAAAAAGGCTTTAAAAACATTCGGAGAGGGCAATAATAATGATTATAATAATAAGGACAATTGCTGTATTCTGCTGAAAAGCTGGGCTGTGAACACTTTCAAAATAGGTGATGCAATTTTATATGTTCATAGAAATGGCGAGAGTGTGTAGTGGATATGAGATATATTCAACATAAAGTGAAGATTGAGATGAGCTATTAAATTACTGCTTTGCAAAACCACAAAGGCTGCTTTTGGCACAGGGACAGGCACAGTAGAGACAGGGAAAGAAACGATAAATGTAAGACTAAAAATGTTGCTGGCTTGGAGTTTCAACACCAACTCACGTTGACAAAATACCATATCTTTCCAGTTTTTTTGTGAGGCTCAATTTAATCTTTGATCAGTGAAGTGATTATAAAAGACCAAGGGCTGAACCTGAGAAGTTTATTTTTTTAATTTTTGCTGAACCGTAACGGCTCGAATGGGACAAGGTGCTTTAAAATCTCCGAGATTCCGCTAGTAGAAGGAACCTCGATCTTCGTTCCTTCCAGCAATGCAGGAATGAACCTGCTACTCCAGCATTATTGGAAATGTAGGATAGGAATAATTTAGGCGAGTTGGTTGTGCAGGAGAAAAACAAGGCAAAGCAGTTTCAGAATGCTTTCTTTTTCTTCATCTCTTTGTTCTGTGCCATTGTCAAACTTTAACGAGGTAATTTTGTTTTGAAGAGAACCTTTTATCAGCCTAAAACGAATGTTAACAGTACTGACGATTGGGCAAGTTGGTACCAATTTGTGGTTCATGTATTGAGCAGCCGCTCATAAATATGATCAGCCTTGATCTGAGCACCAGTGTTTCCCATGGTTTGTGTGCCCGGCATTTGTCCTAGTTTAAAGCGTACCTGTAGCCTGTTTATCGTTATGTCCGAGCTTGAGCACGAACGGGCCGCACTGCCGTTACAGAGCCACTCCCAGTGCCCGTCAAGCAGAAGCCGACAGTGCCGCAGTTCTACATGGACGGCGTGTACCTCTCGGAGACTGGTATCCAGCTCATCAAGGCGCTGACCATCGAGCAGCCCAAGCGGCAGCGAGCACGACGGCCACGCCAGCCATCGGGGGGCCAACCTGCGGCTTCGCAGGGCAGCACGACTACTCCGCCGCAGTCTTCCTTATCAACTGGCCTGTTCGGATTCCGGGGCAGGCTCTCAACGGAAGACTCTGAGGACGGCAGCAAAGGTGCGCTCTTGAGCCAGCAGTCGCAATCTGTTTGGAGTTCTAACGTGTTGGGTTGAAACATGACTGATAACAAAGTAACTAGAGAAAAAGTTAGGATCACACAGCGTGTAATGCAATATAAAATGTAGGAGCAACATTAAGGGATAAGGAGGATGGCATGATAGCCGCCTTTAGTGGTGTAGTGGTTATGGTACTTGACTGCTAATTCGCAAATTGCGGGATCGAATCCCAGCCACAGCGGCTGCATTTTTGATGGAGGCGAAAATGCTTAGCCCCGTCTGCTTACATTTATGGGCACGTTATAGAACCCCAGGTGGTCAAAATCTCTGAAGCCCTCCACTACAGCGTCTCTGATAATCATATCACGGTTTTGGGAATTAAAACCCCAAGAATTAATACAGTTGAACCTGTTTATAACGAACCTCCATGTAACGAATTCCTCGATGTAACGAAGTATTTCTATTCCTCGCGGTTGCTCAATGAAGCACTTGTATTTGCGACCTCTATGTAACAAAGTAACAGCGGGAAACAACCTTGATATAACGTATTTTCCCCACGGACAATCTAGGAATTTCGCTCTGCATTTTGTTACGAGCATGCATCTTCCACGGCGGCCCCGTCGCCGACAAAGCGCCAAGCGGTGCACAGCGCATCAGGCGAGAGCACGCGCTCGTTATTGCGCGCAGGTGAGCGCGAGGTGCAAGGCGGGCGGGCGAGCCTGCACCCTACGAGCTGGCGTTGCTGCCGTTCTCGTCGCCCTGGGCACATGCGCAAGTGTGGACCCCCCCCCCCCCCCACTCTAAACAAAAATAAAAAAAGAAAACTACTTTTGCGCGTTCGCAGTGCAACGCTTTAGTTAGCGTCACATATGTGGGGCCGCACTACATATGAAGGGCGCTTTACCGAGTAGTTTTCCGCAGCATTTGTGTATATGTTCATACCGTTCGCTTTCGTTTTTGACGCCGTGCACGCATGCATAGTTTCACTGCACGTGCATGGTGTGGTCCCTGACGACGTTCAGCTTTGCTTTTTTTTATTACCATAGCATTTATGCCGAGAGTCCCGGATAGTTTATTTCCATCGCCACCGCAGTCATCATTCATCGTATATGTACGTATCCAATATGAAAACCCAAGAAAAAAAAGAAGCCGCCCGCGCTCGGCACCCAGCTCATCACAATGCGCCGACGCGCGCTTATCATGTACTTTGTCCCGTGAATAGAGGGTTTTAGGTTAGATGCCTGTGCACGCGGGCTTATCCTTTGGCAGGAAAAAATAGTGCCTTTGACTTTGACCGGAACGATTGCATTTTGCCGGGCACACAAAGATTACTTTGCTCGCTGGACAGGTGCCGTTTGCGAAAAGAGTGCGCTTTTCAAACACGGCGAAGTAACAGCTGAGGTACTTGTCAGTTCGCGCTCATATATGTACCTGTGATTACATTTCTTGCCTCGTTTTTGTTTAAACAGCGCGTTAAGTGTCGAGTGGTAAACGTTGTTAGTTTGCTCTCGTCCTGTGAATTGTTTTCGTGCGTCATTTGTGCGGGAGCAGCGCGTTGCACGTTTCGATCAGCTTGCCGTTCTTAGCGTTACATTCAAAGTTATTGCTATAGCAGTCATTAATTGCTTCTCCCTTGCGGCGAAACTGTGACTTTTCTTAATTTCGGACAACCGTGTCGTCACCGAGGGGATGTCAGATGAGGCGTTGATGGAAGCTCTCCGAGATCACGGTAACGACAGTTCCTCGCAGGCCGACTCGCCACGTGCTTCCGTCTTGCGCCGCGAGTTGGCAGGCTGGTAGCTTTCGCGATTTCTGATTAGTTCTGGTGACACGACGGCGCGTTGAATGCAATGCAATGAACGGGATAGCAAGAAATTGTAATGGTATATGAAGTAAGGCTGCAGCCAACTCTTTTGTATCGGATATCGTGGAACTCCTACAAAATGCTGGTGTGAGCAAATACGGCCTCTCCAGGGAGAAGTGTTCTTTTCACACAGTCACTTCGCATTGAAACCGAACCGATACTCGCCGAGAGAGCAAGTGTGCAAGCAATTGCTACCGCCTTAAAGTCCAAGTTCATTAATGCTACCGCAACGCTGATGTTAGCGCTTGCGATTGAGACGCCCATCCCACCCCATTTTGTTTTTTTGCGATGTTTTTTTTGTTTGTACTTTTTTAATGTGTCACACCCCCTTCCCCCCTCTGTTGCGGAAATCTCCCGGATTCAGAATCCTAGAATTTGGCAGGTATGCTTGAGCGAAATTACGAGGACGACGATGTTACTTCAGGAGAGCTTGGGCAGAGGCCTGTTCTGGGCCGTTCTTGTCCTCCGTCACTGTGAACTGAGCCACGCTGCCTGCTCATGCTCGGGATGCGCTGCAAGGTATAGGACATGCGTCAAAAAGAATGAATCGTTTCTTTTGTTATTTCTCATTTTTCTGGTCAATCACAAGCATAAAGACGTATGCCAACCAGCCTCTGTTGCCGCCTTATTAACACTACCTATGCCATTTATGATGTTGCTTCACCGCTCTTGCATTACATCAGCGATAACTTCTATAGCAGGATAGTAAAATTACGTTCTCTCTCGTCAACTAAAATGTTGGTGCGTGGGCGATTGCCATCATCGGGGGCCAGTGCCATCGAGCGCTGCACGCTCGTTTGTCAATGCACTTCATTGGAACAAGGGAACATATAAATGGAAGGATTATCGAATGTTCAATATCCATATGAATGAATGGCGATGCTTCACACAATCCCGATATGCTTAAGTTTGATTTTTTTATCGCATTGTTTATAGAAAAGAACTTCTACGTGGCACCTCGCTCGACAGACACTACAGTTTGAGGCTGCCATTGTTCGCGCCGTCTAGTGTCGCAACGCTATAATGCTTGCATGCTATCAGCGTCAAATGAAATGCAAGCGGCGGCAAGCACTGGCCTAGTCCGCGCCATCTGCAGTCATCATCACTGATAGGCGCCCGTAAGCGAAGTGTTATCAAACTGAAAGTGTGCCATGGAGCTATTCGCGTTTCGTTTGACGCCGATAGTGCCTCAAATCACAGGTGTTTATAGCTACGGACGACGGTGAGGTGTACGCTTCCACAGAAAAGTTGTACTACTTTGTCAGCTATCGAGACGACGCCGATGTGCACAGGCTGGCTGAAGCAGTTTCATTGACACCGTGTGGCAGAAGTTCCAAATCGTTTTTTCATATTATGTGGCTGTCAGTTGGAAAGCGTGGTCGTTATATCATTTTTTGTGGCACGACGATCACAAGCGGCTAAATTAGAGCGGTGAAACATGAAATTCACTGTAAGTACACTGCAATGCACTGCAACAATACACGCAATCCTGTGAGAACACCGCAACTTCTTGACACAACCGAGATGGCACCCAACTCACTTTTGCCAGACGTTCGAGCAATTTTGCATAAGGTCTATTGCAGTTGTGGAAGGCAGAGAGTTAGATGGATTGGCAAAATTAACAAGTTTGCAGGAATAAAATGGAATCAGCCAGCACAGGGGATAAACTGGGGACCATTGGGAGGAGCCTTCGTGCTACAGTGGACATAATCAGGCTGAGAAGGACGTCTTCACTGCACGTGTGCATGGCATTTGCAGAACCTCGACCATGATCTGTGCCATTTATCGTCGCAGGGCTGTTGTGTGCCAACTTTCGAATACTAATCCACTTCCCATTTTTCTCAACGTTTCAGATCTCATGGATGTGGATGTAGAACCCAAGATGGAGGTAGACGAGGAGACAAAGTTAACTTCCGAAGAGGTTGCCAAACAGGATGCCGAGAGCGAGCTAAAGAAGAAGCGACAGCGGAAACTTCAAAAGCTCGGTATGTGTGCATGCTTGTTCCTTGATGCAGTTCAAGGCATCAAATGCATGCAGTGTCCGTATTCAATCAAAATACAGTTGAACCCATTTATTAGAGACAAGTACTGGGCAGTAATTCTCATCTTTTACATGGAATGTCTTTTATAAGCAGGGTACCACGTAGGCACACTAATGTCTCTTGTACCTAACTGTCTGTTCAGGTGAGACGCTCCTCGAAAAAACTTTTTTATTTCTAGTCATAGACACTTGAAAATTTTATTACTGTAAAAGCTCGCTTATCCGGACCTCGTTAAATCGAAAATTCGTTTAACTCGGACTCGCGGCGCGGTCCCGGCAAAACTGTATATATTTCAATGAAGTCAAGTGCTCATTAATCCGGAGGGATTTAGCCGCGCACCGGTTATCTTGGACAACTCCGGAGAGAACCATCGGGACTCCAGAGTCGCGTGATCTCGGGGGCTTGAAGGCTCAAGCACCGCTTGCCGTAAACGACGGCAGAATCGGAGTTTTGGAGAAACCGAAACCGAGCAAACTGCAGCTGAATATGACGATGATGATAGTGAATGAGGGGGAAGTGGCTAAGTGGCGCTAGTCACCACCCGGCGGAAGCGCTTATGCCAAAGACGTGATGAGCCGACGCGACGTCGCCGCACCGTGCAGGAGGTCGCCGAAGCTCTCGCTGTCCTCGAGGAGTTCTGCGTTTGTTCTCGCGACAGTGAACGTGTGCACCACCACCTGATGGGATTAAATAAGATCGTTCTGTCAGAAATTCGGACGGCGAGGCAGGCAAAAATAACGCACCTTTTTAAGAAATAAAGGTTTGTCTGTGCCGTGTAAGTTTTCCTTTTGTTTTCATGGTCCGTTCGATAATTCGGAATTCGGTTAACTCGGACATTTTCTCCGGTCCCGTGAGATGCGAGTTAACGAGCTTTTACTGTAATATAGTTTTTTATGGAGATTTCAAATATGCAATCATTTTTTTGTGTAGCTGCTATGGTTATTGAGTTACGCCATGCACAATAGCAAAAAGTTACATGTTTTGCGGGTACTCTTTCATGTACTTAACTTTCAGTAAAAGCATTGTCTTTGATCTTATTTGACTCTTGGTGGTAGATTGTGAAGTGCAAATATTTATCCAGATATGTCACAGAAATATTGGAATCAAGGAAAAGAAAATCGTATTGAATGACTAATTATTTTCAATCTCCCTTGAAACAATAATCCAGATATGTCACAGAAATATTGGAACCAGAAAAGAAAATCTTATTGAATGACTAATTATTTTCAATCTCTCCTGAAACAATAACCTAATATTTTCACAACTAATTCTGGTAGGCAATGCGATTTCAAGCAGATATTTGCATTCTGCATGTGTTGAAGAATATGCGTACCGAGTTTCGTTATTATACAGTAAGTATAAGTGTCTAAAAGGCTGCCCGGAAAATGTAAAGTTGTAAAAAAAAAAATGAAAATGAGAAAAAGAAGTTTGAAAGTTTGGAAAGTTGGCATTTATTAGGAAACCATTTTTTTTTCTCATCGATTTGGGGCACAATAAAAAGCATCTTGCACTGAATGCTCGGAAGACCGAGAATCGCACAGAATTGTGAAAGTGGTCATGGCCTGCGCCTATAGCGCGTGCTGCAAGAACTGCCTTCAAGGTTTATAGCAAAGCTATCACGCGAGCTGCCGCTGTTGAAACGAGCGCTCGTCCCTTGGTCCCTAGCCGAAGTAGTCTGTCCGAATGAAAGTGTAGATTCAGGGCAATCGGTATTTTCACAGCACAGTTCGAGGAATGCCGAAAGCCCTTTGCGCTTTCCAGCTACCTCGGACGCCGAGTTCCCGTTCGCAGCAGATTGGGCATTGCGCACCCACCACAAGGGCATCGATTTTGCAAAGCAGTGTGTTGGCAGTAGCAGCACCTACTGGTCTACGTTCACTCTCGCAGAATCCGCTCTTCATTTCGGATGCACTGACGAATTCCACGGCAGCGGCTATTTCACAACCACTGTCGCCGCAGAGTTCGGTGTCAGTTAGGCCTATCCGAAGTCGGGGCGTTGGTCGGCGGTGACATCGGTGTTCGCTGCTTGTTTGGGAAGCGTTCGACGCTATTTCCCTCGATACTTGGGGCGAGTTATAAACTTTCGATTATCTAGACTGCGCTTTTCGGGGCTCGCCATGACGCAAAACTGCAGAGAAACACCGAACAACTCGATTGCGATGTCTGAGGCTTCGCTCCTTTGCCGGAAGGATATGAGGGGGAGGAGGCGGAGCGCACCGCCGACCAATGGCGGCCTCGCGCTGCTTGCCGCGATATTCAAAATGCGTAACGTATGCGTTGTTTTTATTGTTTTTGGTTCATTCTTCACGAAAAAACGAGACTAGCTACTAGTGGATTGTGAAAGGGAAGGCCTTCGCAGCATGCGTGCACAATTGCAAATGGCGGCCAACGCGTCATTTTTGGGACAGGACAATGCGAACTATGCCATTTTTGGCGACTTTCGCGCATTTCTCTCGTCACCGCTCCCTACTTCGAAGCATTTTTAGGTCATTTCTCGTGCGAATTTCAGCTTCATATTTTCAGAAGTAAAAGATTATAGTCCAAGGATGCCAATACAACCGGAAAAAAAAAGTGAAACTTTTTTTTTGGTGTTGACCTGTTAATCAATCTAGGCTTAAATTGTATCATATTAGCCTAATAATGGCTGTTATTCTTAGATCATGGTTTGTGCACCCTTTCGGGATCACCGACCCATGACATTGCGCTGTCAAGTAATTGTATTTATTGATTGCCTTACCTTAAAATTTCCCGTCAAGTTTCATTCCATTTGAGCTGTACTGTCGGCTTCAGGCGCTCGCAGGGTATAATAATTGTAGAAGTCAAATCTCGCGAATCTGCTAAACATGGGCATTGTATTCGGAGTCATGTTCTAGATTAGCTTGTGTGACCTGCACAGTGATTCACTTGACTACAAACACTGTGCCTTTATGCTGTAGTGTTTTACAATTTTCTAGAACATGTGTTTTTGACATTGACTGTGCAAACCTAGAAACTTGAGAGGATTTCCTAGTGAAGTTGTAGCCATGAGCATTTTAAATATTCAATGGGACGTGTATTTGGTTATAATGTTTCTCTTCTCTCCCTCTTTCTCTTTTTCTCCATCTTGCATTCTTAGAAACTTGAATAAATGTTGCTTGAGACAATACAGTGAGTTCCGGATAGTATAAGACTGGTTGGGGAGCAAGCAGTGTCGGGTGACATTCCATGTTACAGTGAGTGGAAAAAAAGGTTGTGGTGGTAGAAGCAGGCCAGGTGAAGAAGCGGCCATTCTCCTCCCCCAACTGCTTCTCCCCCACCAGCTAAACTCTCTCACTTGTAAGGAAAGAAAGGGCGAGGAGAGTGAAAAGAAAAGAACTAAGAAGCGACAACTTATCTTCACATTGGAGTGAAGGCTATGGAGGCGGAGCTTCCGCACATTTGTATTGCGCTTCAAGTAGTGCGGCAGCCTGCGGCTGATTTTGGTTTCACTTGCTTGCATCATTGAGGCATTCAGAAAATTACACACACAAAAACGTGAATTGTTCAAACATTCCTATTGTATTTTAGTGCCATATTATAAGTATATATTTTTTGGAGAACTAAACAGAGTGTTTGCGGCCGCACGCTGACCCCACTACATCTTGGGCATCATGTTTACTTTGGAAAACAGGTGTGCTGAGACGGTGGTGGTAAGAAATGGAAAGAAAAGAAGGGCATTCTTCAAAGTAGGAAGTAACTGTATTCTTCCTATGACTTCCTTCAAATGTTTGCAACCTTATGATAAAGCGGAATTTATTTCAGCAAGGCAAAGTGAGAAAATGATCAGTTAACGTAAGTACTATTTTTTTTTGTTTGGCGCAGTAAAAGGTATGCGCTTTGGTTCTGTAGCTTCCACAGTGCTGTAAAAAGAAGTTGTCACTGAGCACAGGAGAGAGAGGGGGTTTTCCTTCTTAGTTTTTCTTGGTCATGCATACTTGCGTTCCAACAAAGTATTGGGAGGCATGAGTAGTTTGTAACTAGTAACCACCGTTCTCTCGCAGCAACAATAAAATGTCAGCATTTTGGGTGGAAGAACAGCAACGGTGGTGGTGAAAAGGAGGAGAAAAAATTGGCACGAATCTACATTTTACACTGTAAATGCCGTCGAAAGACGATAGTCTTGCGTCTGGAGAGAGTGAACAAAACACTTATTTGATGTTCTACGCAAGAAAATCGGTGAATGGTATTCTGAAGGCGCTGCGTTAGAGTGCCTCGAGCGTGTAACAGAGGCGAACAAGCGTATCTAGGCAGGTTATACACGAGCGCCATCTGGCAATTATCTTCGAAAACGAAGGCGCGCGCGACCGCGGAGAAAGATGCGCACCAGTCACGGAGGTGATAAAGTGTAGAATGCAAAGCGACGGGCAGGTGCCACCACCGTGCCGTTGTTCCAAAGCGTTGGAAACACTTTCTTGGGCATCACGTTGCACTGTCAGCGCAGCACGTTAAACGCTACAGTCCTTTAAGTTACTTGTGTGTGCCTCTTCTAGTATAAAGGCAGACATACAAAACATAGACATGTTGTTATGGCGCCTCAGATATGCGCAATATTTGCTTTTTTAATTGAGAATTTCACAACTATGAATGCTAAACCTCGAGCAATATTGGTGGGCGTTGCGGATAGGGTGTGCCGTTTGGTGCCGTTTGAGGCATTGTTAGGGTGGACAAACAGACAAATGTACAGACAGACAAACCAAAATTTTTTCGTTCAAGGTCCCCAAGGAAGACTATCGTCTTTAAAATGAGAAAGGAATTGGTCATGCATACTCGCGTTCCAACAAATTATTGGGAGCCGTGAGTAGTTTGTTACTAGTAACCACCGTTCTCTCACAGCAACAATAAAATGTCAGCATTTTGGGTGAAAGAACAGCAACGGTGGTGGTGGAAAGGGGAAGAAAGATGAGAAAGGAAAAATGTAATAAAAAAGGTGTGAAAAGGTCTGGGTGGGTTCGAGGAATGTAGGACAGAGAAGCTAGAGACGTCCAAGAGTAAATGCTCCTGTTTCGAACTGGACGTAACTTAGGTTGAGGGAGGTTGAGGGTAATGCTGGTGTTCCTGTGGTGATACACTGATTTAGCAAGCATTAGGCATCGCAGATCAACAACATTTTGCAAAGTAGAGCCACTCGTGAGGGAACAAGAGAATGAAGTACAAGTCCGCGGTAACATCAGTTGGCACATTTCCGGTCAAGAAAAACTATAAACACTTTTCGCAAAGGGATGGCGAGCTAAACTGTTTGGCTTGCTACGTTTTTTCTGAGATGTTGCATTTGTCTTTTGCTTGATTTAGATTGCTGATTACCTGGGTAAGTATTTACCCGTTGGGGGGTCTTCTGTGGTTCCTTTCATGTTGTAGCCTCTGTTAATTTTTGCCTTTCCTTGTTCTTCATTAGGAATCGGAGGATTTGTCGCAAAAGCCAGAAGTCGGAGCGTCTCCGCCAAGGAACAGGATGTGACGTTGCCTTTGGCCGGAGGTAACTGCAACATTGCTGTTTGAAACGTGCTAGGAGCATAGCTTTTAATATTGGTGTAGCCAAAGATGACATCTGTGGTGTGTTTTGGTCCTGAAAGTACTAGTTTTGTTGCACACAGTTAACCAAAGTAAGACCTTTAAGATTGACGTCGGTTGCGACTGCAGCCATGCTCGGAGTCCATAAATGATACTAGTTTCACGAAGTGGCTGTTATAATGCATGGCCTGGCTTAGTGTACGACACTTAGCAGGGGAACAACTGTTGGTGTACCGTATATACTCGTGTAAGGGCCGCACTTTTTTTTCGAAAATTTTGCTAGGTGCGGCCCTTACACGAATCAGGCCGATTTAGTACAGGCAGTACAGGCCAAAGGTCTGTACTGTTTATGCAACAGTAGCAGAGTGCAAGAGTCACAAATGACATGCCAGAAATGTTTTTATTCGGATTCCATTTCGCTGTCCTCGTTCTCGGAGGAGCTCGCCTCGGCGTCCGCGTCTTCCCAGAGACGGTCATCTTCGGTGCCGTTCATGGAGTTCGAAATTCCCGTTACCTTGAAGCTTTTAGCAACTACTTCTACTGACATGGCACGCCACGCATTCAAAATCCATTCACACACCTGTTGGAGCGACGCCCGCTTCAGCCGTCCTGTAGGGGTCTTCTCGTGGACGCCTCCAGCCATCCATTCAGAGTAACATCGGCGAAATTCCACTTTGAATGGTCTGTTGACGCATACGTCGAGCGGCTGCAGCACACTCGTCAGGCCACCGGGAATGACGGCCAAGTCCGTACGAGTTGCGGCAACTCGGTTCTTGACGCGGTCGGTCAAGTGGCCCCTAAAGCTGTCCAAAACAAGGAGGGCTTTCCGTTGTAACAGCCCTCCAGGTCTGTTTGCCCAGACGGTCTTAATCCAGTCAACGACCAGTTCCTCGGACATCCAGCCCTTCTCTTGCGCACGTACGACGATTCGCTGAGGGAACTTCTCTTTTGGGAGAGTCTTCCTTTTAAATACGACGTACGGCGGAAGCCTCCTGCCGTCTGCCGTGATGCACAACATCACAGTGCACCTTTGGCGTTCTGCACCAGTCGTGCGCACAGACACACTTTTCGCACCTTTTAAATCCACTGTGGTGCTTTCCGGTGCATCGAACCACACAGGTGTCTGGTCCGCATTCCCAATTTGGGACAGGTCGTATTCATGCTCCCTCCTGAGAGCATTCACGAAGCGATGAAACTTAATGACGTGGTCTTCGTACTCGCGCGGCAGTTTTTGGCAAATCGTCGTTCGGCGCCGAATAGAAAGCTGGTTACGGTTCATAAACCGCGTAGCCCAGCCCCGACTTGCCTTGAATTGTGCCGGGGGTATTTCCATGTGGCGAGCGATGCTGAGGGCTTTGACGCGTATCATGTCAGTCGATACGGCGTAGCCGTCCCTTCGTGTGTCGACGACGTAGTTGACGAGCTCGCTTTCGAGTTGCGGGTACTTGCACTTTTTCCCGCGAAACGCCTTTCGGCTCCTGTTAGTAGCGGCGAGGGCATCTTTCTGATTCATCCAGTAACGCACGCGCTTCTCATCGACGTCGTACTTTCGTCCAGCTTCCCGCTTCCCGTGCTCCTCGGCATAGTCAATCACTTGCAGCTTAAATGCTGCAGTGAATGATCTCAGATGCCGGCCCATCGTCCGTCACGTGCGCTGGCTTCTGCAGGGTTCACTACAACCAACAAAGTGACACCGACGACACCGATCTGAAGTCGCGCTGCCAACGTATCGACACGATGCTAGGAACGATGCCAACAAAGAGGCCGCACAAGGCAAATATGGCGGCGCGCTGTCAACAGCGTGGTCGGCGCGTCGGCGGAAGTAGAATAAAAGCGGAAAAGCGTGCAGCGCCATCTGGCTGTAAATGAACTAACTACACTTTTCTGGCGGGACATTTTGAACTTTTGTTTTTTTTTTTTTTCGAAATATCCGCTTTCAAAGTTGGGGTGCGGCCCTTACACGAGGGCGGCCCTTACACGAGTATATACGGTATTCGGGAAAGTCAGATATGCTAGAAAATGATCTTTCAGTTCACCTATACGTAATCAATTTTATGCATAACAGCTTTTTTGAGCTGAACCATTCCATGATTTTCATGCTTTTTTTTAGTTCTGGTGAGATTTCATTAGAGTGACTACACTATACATTCGGGCGTAAGGACGTTGTTGGTTTAAGTTGTGCGCTGGAACTTATGTTGACCTGTTGCGCTTGCAGCTGGGGAGACAAGTTCAGAGGCAGCGTTGGCTGCGCTCTCTGGAGATGTGGTCGCCCCAGCACCTGAGCCAGCAGCTGAAGCAACAGGCACAACGGCAGAGAAGCCCAAGCGTCGGCGGCGAGTGAAGAAGAAAAACCCTTTGGAAGATAGCTTTCCCCTATACCTTCAGGTGAGCCACATCAGGCACCTTTAGCTGAGTGTTGCTTACGCTCAGACACACATTGATGTAGCGTCCCAAGACACGGCAGGGAACTGCGTAATGTTCCCGCTTTTGATGGAGTGTGTCTTGCCAAGACATAGTCAGCTTGGCTGCAGAGAGGCGGTGAAATTCAGTAGATGCATTATCACACTCCGTTCAGTTGGCTTCACAAGCAAAAAGAGATGTTTTCTACGCTCCGCCACTCACATAATTGTTCTGCACACGGACACTACAGCTCCTCTATAGGAAGGACGGGGCTTTCATATCGCAAAAAAAATGGCAAAAAAATCAATTTTCAGACAATCACATTTTCAATTTCTGCAGCCCTTCTTTTATCAGATTCTGTAATATCTCCACTAGAGACCGCCTAGAAGTGCTTTTAAAAATTTGTTGCACTTGCCAAAGTGGCGAGAATTATCACGAGAATCGCGAAAAAACGCCCATTTTCAAAAAAATTGCAGCTCCGCAACGGCACGACCTGTTGCCATTGCTTTGGGCTCGTTGAAAAGAGTGTTTTGCCGTGTTCAAATTCCGCGCCGTAGCTGACTCTTCCCCTCAAAAACAAGCGCGCAAAAAGCAAGTGTCCAAAGGTCGTCTCGAAGCCTCCGATTGGATGCGTCCGCCATATTGCTCCGGCACACCTCGCCATTGGCCAAACCGGGAGAGCACGTAGAGCGCGTCAGCTGCTTGCGCCTTGGGGCGTTGCGAAGTCATTGCTGTCAAAAATCATGCTGTTAAGTAGTAACGCGTGTGCACTCGTTTTGTGTGCATTGATAGACGCTCATATAGAATTGTGTTGTAGTTATCCCTGTCAGACCGCTGGAAGTGAAAGCTCAATCGCGAAGATGCGATAACGCCGCATTCGTCGCAAACATCGCATACAGGCATTTCAGACTTCATGACAAAAACCATCACGAAACCACTTTCTGTACTCGCAATCAAACACCATGTTTTTTAGAGCATTGAGCATCACGGCCAAGCTTACTGCTCGGAGTCATGGCTAAGCCTAGCTAGCTCTGCTCATGGTGCCAATATGAGACAGATGAAAACTTTGCGGGCAAAGGCATTGCACTAGCTAGTGGACTAGCCATAGTGTGCTTTGTCTTGTCGCAAGCAAACAATCGAATCGCTCAATGTCGGCTTGAAACTATGGTTGGGCATATTGCGCATCGACCCGAACCGCCTAGCCGAGCACGTCGCTCAGCAGCCGCGTGTCGGCCCCCCTGTAATACGAGACCGAACACGTTGCGCGCCTATTTGTGTGTGTTATTGTGTGTGTTATTTATGATACCTAATCAAAATTTTATTGATAATATCCTAATCACTAACACTAAATTCAGTAGTCTGCTAAAACTTTTCAGCAAAAAAATTAAAAAAAAAGGAGCTCTGTCACCCCCTGAGGTGTCAGTCTGGGAATCGTCGTAGTTAATTTCATAGTTCGAGCATATTTTGAAAGTTCGAGAGAACCATGTGCACTATTCTGACATACTGCCATAATTCGAGAACCAGTGAACATAACCTCAAGAAATTTTGTAGTAGTTCTTAATGCTTTTGCTGTTGTATATCTTAGAAAATTTGATTGAGATATCTCAATAAACAAAAAAAAAGTTTGTATCTGATGGTTGCCTCCCCCCCTTTAGTGTTTGTGTGTAAATACCTTGCATACGCAGATCTGACGGCACCGAATCGTAAGCGCTCAGCTAAATGGGTCTATTTACTACTGTAGAAGGTGTGCTAAACATGCAGGAAACATCCACTATGGCAGTCCCGCATCTATCCGTTGGTTACGAGAACCGTACTTGGTTTGTTTTATGAAGCAGCATTACAGTTGATTAGTCTACCTAGATACAATTCATTTAGGGTATAGTGATCTAGTCTTGCATGAGTATGACGCGTTACTAACGGGTTGCTACACTCTACTGTATGCTAGATTGGGAGGTCAAACTTCTGGAATGTCGCACCATGTTGGGTATCATAAGAGAGGTCAACGGCACTGTCGTTTGATGTGTATGAGCCTGGAATTAGAGGTTGTAAACCCTGGCCATGCGTAGAGCACACCAACAGTCTTTCTATAACCCATTACATTGGAGGTGTTCATTCACCAACAATCTTCACACGCTGTTTCACGTAGGAGGCGTTCTTTGGCCAAAGTTTGCTTGCTGCTAGCAAGACTGAGCAAGGTCCCGACATGCCGAGTGAGGATGACGAAGATTCTGCGATGGGACGCTCCGAGGATAACTCCATCCTTGTCCTGGAGACATCGCAGGGTAAATCGGAGGATGCCCGCATTCCATCGGACAGCGGCGCCCCTTCTCCTGCTCTTCACACCGTTGGTGGGAGCAAGAGAGAGAGCCCTGCTCTCCATGACGACGGTACCTGCACTCCCATCAAGGTGAGGACCAATAGAGAAGCCTATCTTGAAACGAATATAGACGAATATAGACTGTGTTCACTCAAAAATGGCAGACTGCATTTTGTAAGAGCCTTATGTCATATACATTATTTACTGAGGATGGATAAATTGTATAATTGAGGTGCATAGTGAACTTGTAATTAATAGTGATTTAGTCGAACGAGTTTGAATAGAGCTTTTTGAATAGTATGTACACTCATACCTCGATATAACAAATGCAGACACAGTCGAGCCCGCTTATAACGAACCTGAGCGTGACGCGGCATCCGTTGGCTGTATCCCGAAGTTCATAGTAAATGAAACACAGCTTTTAAAAAAAATTGCTAGTGAAAACACACTTTTTTTGCCCCCAAAAGTCCATGATGCACGTGTTTCAAAGAGTAGAAGCGATAAGGGCGGTCTCGAGTTCATTTGAAACGGCAGGGTGCTCGTTCGCCGAGGCCCGTGGCATAAGCTGCATGAGCCACTGGCTCCAAAGTTTCATCATTCTCACAATCTGATTCTTCCAAATCGCTCTCGCCACGTACTCATTAACAATGCCCCAATTCGTGCACGGTTCCGCAGTGTCGGCATCATCATCGGCCGTAATTAAACCATCGCAACAGAAGTCCCACCCCCTCTCTCATGTCGGAGTCGACGACGTGCTGCCACAAATCGCCGCCGCAGTTCGGAAGCTTCAGGCTCGGCATCGGGCTCTACGTCGACAAAGTCGGCCTCGCGAAAACAGTTTCGCGCTCATGTAGTCATCACCGCCCCCCACGAAATATTCACCATCTCCACAGGTGAATACCGGGACGCCCGAAACGGCAAGTTGGCTGCCAGGGGGTCAACAGCTATGAGCAAGTGCTCCGCAACGCGGCACCTAACGCGCGGATTACGCTCAAGCCAAGCGGTCACACTTTCAACGTTTTGTTGAGCAGCAGGAAAAAGCGTGCTAGTACTCCCGTCCGCCATCATGATCACACACGTAAACCAAGAGCGAGCAAGACGCGCACACGCGACACGTGCCAAAACGAGTGGAACAGCTCTGGGCCCGTTTCCAGTCGGAAAACGAAACTAATTCGTACCAGCGTGGTGGGCGTCGCGAAGTGGTGGAGACGGGCGAAGGAGTTGGTATCAAGAGAGGAGAGCAGGCTTGCGACAGAAGGGCAAGGAGTTGCGATAAAGAGAGGGGATGGAGGATGCGGCGGGAGGGCGACTTTGAAAACCAAAACACGCGGGAAGGAAACAGGTTGGGTAGCTTGCTTGAAAGGTCCGCAAAACTCGCACGTAGAAAAACTTGGAAAGAGTTCCTGCATCAGCAGAAGTGGAAGCATAGCCGCCTGGATCGGTGCGTGCAGCGGTGTTCAAAGAATCGGCGGCCGTGGTCAAAAAATCGTTTTGTTGCGCCGGCGGGTTTACATGGCCTTCGATATTTTGCGATTCGTTCCGTGCAAATTAAGAACCGTTCTCGTGCTTCCGCACGCGCGCGGGAAGACATGCTGAGCCGAGTTCGAAGTAAGCGAGAACAAGTCCTAAACACGAAATGAATCGCAAATTATCAGAGTCGGTGGGGTATCGTATGCGCGTGCACTAGACGCAGACTATCGAATACAGTCGGTGGCTGACAATGTTGGCAAATGGTCTGTTCACTCCAGGCCGGCGACACCAACGACAGTACCAGCGATCGAAAACAGGGTAGATGGCCGACCAGTCTTCAAATGATCAGTGGCAGTGTGAAAACACAAGCCTCGTCTGGCGATGAGGGGTGCTCAGAGTAGCGGGGGACAAAGGACGGAGGGGTGCGTAACAAAAAGCAGTCGGGGCATGGAGGAATGAAACAACTTTCCTTCCTCCGTGGGTTGGGGAGAGCGGCAACTAGAGTACCGTGGAGGCAGGGTCAGCATTTAACAATAAGAATGTATGGGCACCTCGCCGATGCCTGATCGGTGGTCGAAATTGGTTTTCTGACTAGGTTTGCTGCAACCGATCAGCAGCGCCCGGATACATTCGTTGTAAGTGCGATTTTGTGCCATTGAACCAATGTATATTTTCATGGTCACGCAGCTATTGTTCGGTTTAAGCGAAAGTTCATTTTAAGTGGGGCCGTTATAAGTGGGTTGACTGTATATCAAATTATTGGTTGTAACGAAGTGAATGAAGAATAGTCTTCACAGATACGGTGTTTTAGATAAATATATACAACGGCTTTTTGGATATAAAGAAGGTATTTTGACAGCAGATGTGACTGTGTTATAGTGAGGGTTGAGTGTACTGCATATCATTAGAAAAAAGCATTTCTGTCATGACCCAGGCAACTTGCATAATGTATTTTGTTATTTAAGACTAAACTTGTGCAAAATTCACTTTAGCTCTAAATTTTTCGTTTATTCTGTGCGGATTAAGTGCTAGATTATATGGTATAGGGATACTCAACAAAATTTTTGCGGCCAGGATTTTCAGACAGACTGAAAAATTGGGTGCTGAAATCGTTATACCATATTTACTCGCATAATCTTCGCACTCGCGTGATTCTTGCAGCCCCAACATCGGCTAACAAAAATGCGATTTTTTTTTCCTCGAGTAATTATCGCACCACAAAAATCGCCAATGATGATGATAGCACCCATTAGCCTAGCGCCATCTCTTATGCATCATGCATGCTGATGAAACCCATTGCGACCGTGTAAATTCCACGAAGACTCTCCTGCTACGCTGGGACCAGGTTAACAGAGGGGCCGAAAACACATCGGCCAGGGAAACACCCCACACACCCTCCTCTTCTTAAACCCCACGCACCCGCAACACGCCACCCGGTTTCGATGAGTTGGGGGCAAACTAAAGTGAGCCAACATGTAAATATCCAAGTTTAAACCACGTGAATGGAGCAGGTCATGTTTTTCATTCCTCCATAGAGCAGGTGCGGAACACGGCTTGCCCTGGCTCGGCTCGACTTACACCGAACTATTGGGCGCTTGCTTGTGTGTGTGCGTGTTTGAGAGTTTGAGGAAACTCTGACGCGCATTAAGGAAACTCTCATGCCTGGCCAGTGGACGAACAGACCAATTATTTATTTTTATTCCTGTGGCACGTGATACGCCTGTCCTGTTTCAAAAGGGAAGAGAAACAATTGCTATCTTGCTAGAACGGAGCTCTAAATCAATCCAAACCAAGCCACAAGTGGCATAGTAGCACTTGTGGCACGGCGCTAGTGTTAGTAGTGCGGTCTGTGGTGCGGTGTTCTGAGGTAGCGCAGTAGTGATCCGTGACTAACATCGTTCTTTCTGCGGCTACGTGATGAGCCGATACAGAAGCTATACAGCTGATTTCAAGCTAAAGGTCATCGACCATGCTCTGGAACACGGCAACAGGGCCGCCGGTAGGCACTTTGGCGTGAATGAGTTCTGTGTGCGCTACTGGCGACGACAGCACAAACAGCTCAAAGTCACAAACAAGTCACGCAAGGCCTTCCGTGGGCCTAAGACTGGAAGATACCCACAGGTTGAGGCGGCCCTACTGGAATACATCAAGAGTCTATGCGCAGACGGGTGTGCCGTTTCGATCGAGCTGCTGAGAAATCAGGCACGCATAATTGCCCGGAAGGAAGGCATCCCGGCGTGAGATTTCCGCGCGAGCAACGGCTGGGCCTTACGGTTCATGCACCGAAGTGGACTCTCGCTCAGGAGACAGTTGACTTTTTGTCAACGGCTACCTTCGGCGTACGAAGATAAGATCATTCAGTTTCATCGATTTGTGATTAGGATTCGGGAGCAAAAGAACTTCCTGCTCTCACAAATTGGAAACACGGATCAAACTCCACTCAACTTTGACATGCCGCCGAGCACATCTGTGGAGAAGAAGGGTGTGCGGAGTGTGCATATTAGAACGACATGTGTCTAGAAGCAGAGGTGCACCGTCATGCTCGTCGTAACAGCGGACGGGCGGAAGCTGCCCCCATTTATTATTTTTAAGCGGAAGACCCTCCCGAAGGCCAAGTTCCCCCCTGGAATACACGTGCGTGTACAGGAGAAAAGGTGGATGACCGCTGACCTTATGGTCGACTGGGTAAAACTGTTTGGGGACGCCACCCTGGAGCACTTCTTTATTCGTCGCTGCTGGTTGTCGACAGCTTCCGCGGTCACCTGGTCGACACCGTTCGGGCGAAGCTGGAGGAGCTGCGGACTGACCTCACTGTCATTTCAGGCGATCTGACTTCGATGTTGCAGCCTCTAGACGTATCCTTGAACAAGCCGTTCAAGGATAATGTTCGGAGGCTGTATTCAGAATAGATGGCCGAAGGCGACCATGCAATGACTCCCGGGGGCAAGATAAAGAAGCCGTTGGCGGAGATCCTTTGTAGTTGGGTAATCGAGGCATGGTCCATGATTTTGCCAGAAATTATCGTCCGCAGCTTCAAGAAGACTGGGATCTCCAACGCCTTGGACGGGACGGAAGACGATGTGGTCCACAAAAACGACAAGAGAGAGCATGCTGAAGCTGGCGATGAGTCCGATGACGCTGCTATGAGCGACGTATATGGCAGTCTTGACTCGGGCTCCGAGTAGTTCGCCCAAGAGCCGTATTAGCTAGTGACTTTAGTCTGTGCAAATAAACTTTGATTTGGGTTGAACATGTAGTCTTATTGCAAAGGTAAGCCTTGTATCAGCACTTTTCGAAGCTTTTAGTTGCTGGTGGAAAAACTGCAATTTGCGGCCGTTTTCTTTGCGCTTTTTTTTGCGCTGTACCTTTCCGCGGAAAATTTTCCCAGCGTAATTATCGCGCCCCTAGCTTTTCATGGGTTTTTCGGGGAAAAAAAATGCAAGGATTATGCGAGTAAATACGATACAGAACCTTTGTTTCAGACAGAGACAGAAAGTAGCGAAAAATAATAGATATAGTGCATTTCTCACAAAGTGTGGAGTCTGAAGGCCGCGTCATGAACTAGAGGAGTTGGCGTGTTGCTGTTTACGTTACCAGAAACAGGCGGGCCAACAATCCCTGCTCTGCAACGCAGGGATGTGTCGGAAGGTCCCTTCACTGTCCCGGAAACTGGCACCTTCTGGGCGTCTGAAGCAGATAATTCAAATATTCTCAGGTGGCAGTTGTCGTGGTCACATTTTCTTCGTATTTTTATAGTGATTTTCTCGCGGTCATCCAACCATACACAAAAAATGAGATGCTGTGCCGACGCTATCTAAACACAGTGGTGTGCTGTAATCTACAACTAGTGCATACAACAAACACTACGATTCGGCATCACATCAAACGCTTGATGACGCTAAATGAAAAATGACAGATGCCGTACCGAGGTCTTTCGAATCCGGCGGAATGCTGTACAACCTTACAATTACTTATCAGCCAGGTGACACAGAAAAAAAAAAATTCTAATGGAATTTCTTTTTCATACACATTAAAAAAAAAAAAAACGAGTGCAGCGGTAGCCAGGAGGGCAAAAGTTAGCCCTTTGTAAGTGATCCGGTAATAAAACAGCGTTGGGACGGCATCATTTCAAAGAAGAGTTCTCGGACCTGAACGGTCGAAATGCGACTCTGCAAAATGGTCACTGCAAAGTCTGCCTTTCAGTAGTCCCTATGACTGACCCACTTCTCATATATTTTAGGCCTCGAGCGTGGGAAACTGCATGGCAAAAAAAAAACAACTAACACCTTTAGCACGCCTTGTTAAAAAAAAAAGGCAAATACCACGATTTCGCCGCAGAATGCGTAAAAAATAAACTATAATTTTGAGGTACTCTTGCGTGAAATGTCTTCTGCAACAACATTTTCTGTCAATTTGTACAGTTTACTGTGCTACAGGCAGGCGTTTTATTTAAAAAGAAGAGAAAAGCTCTCGCGCTGGCAGCACTCGTACTGTTCATGGCGGTAGTTTCCGGGACAGCAACGACGGGTTCCGGTGGCTCGCGCGCCGTCCAGCTCCCCTAGTAGAGATCAGTGGTCTCGCCTGGCTGAGCCCCTACTGTGGTTCCTATAGCCATTACAAGCGTCTGTGAACAATGATCTTTGGCGGTGGAAAGCCCCTGAAGAGGAGGGGGAAGAGGGATCTTGTCAATGACTTTGTGGAGGGGTAGGAGTGGAATATAAAGAAGATACGGAGAAAGAGAAATAGCAGGATAGGACAGCCTGCATCAGCCGTGATGACAAGTGACTTCACGGCTGATGTTGACCCGCAGCTTTTGCACACTGACAATCCTTCAAAAATACAGCCAACTGTTTATATTTGCTGCATATTATAAAAGCCTTAGTGATATAAATCTTGTGAGATCAATGAAATTCGTATCACCAGAAAGTGAAAAATAAGTGCACGGCAAAAAATGTGTCATTTCTTTTTTTCTTTTTTTGTGTTTTCAAGGCCGCAGCAAAGTCGCGAATAGCTCTGAATGATTGCCAGTGAATTTCTTTAGGCGTCAACGATCAAAGCTGCACTCATGAATGTATGGCCAGAGTATGCATGTGTAAATAATGAACCAGCTGTGTTGTGACCCGCGACAGCTAGTAAGCTCTTCCAAATCTTGGTGTGCTTTTCCCCGTGACACGGGAGTACTGTGGCGAAAGGGACTAAGGAGCGCTTTGACGCGACAGATGACGGCCAGAAAATTCCAGGTTGTAATGCAGGATGGCCCGAGCTTCTCGGGCAGCCGAGTTTGCTCCGAGATCGCTTGTGGTAGCCGTGGCATGAATACAGTGCGGAGTTAATGATGGCATCGTTGAAAAAAAATGGCTACATTAACGCTTGTGGCGTTGAAAACGCATGTGGGACATTTGCGACGATTATCAAAAAAACACCGTGTGCAAGCACGTCATGCGTGATTGCCGTGCTGCATTTTTGCCGACTCAACACACGACTACCACAGGGGAGTTCGTGGGCGTATGTGCTGTTTCGCCCAGGTTCTTTCGTTCCACCTGCAGCATGGAAATTTCCACTCTCGAAGACTGCAAGGCTGCACACGCAGCATTCTCGTGCTGCTCGTTTCGCTTCTATCAAGTATTGTGGATAAATGTAAGGACAGGTGGTCACCAGGGGAACTCGCATCTTTTCGGCAACGCGGCTCTGATTAGATATGTTGCGAGCGCGGTGAAATTGAATACGAGACATAGGGTGGTTTAGAATAATGTTCGCATGTGTTTAGTTGCGGCCGCCTTTAATTGCTAGCTTTAGTTGCAGGTGCCATATGAGCTTTAGAATAGCGTTTGCTCCCCCTAGGGAAAAGTCTAGGGACTTTCGCCCCGACCGCAAACACAAACGCACAGAAGCTACACACAGCATTTGCGAGGGCTGCGATTGCCGCCCGCTATTTCGGATTTTCTGCAGGCGGGCCGCGAACGCGAATGGCAGCTTGCATTACGACGCATGCACAGTAACAGCAATCGCACCACAATGGCTCGTGGTGTGCTATTCTAGGCATCCCTTATAGTAGCCACATCATGACATAACCTTTACTTCTACATGCGTTTGTGCATAGTCTGTGCTATAAAGCTGGTAGATGAACCATGTGCTCACTGGCGTTGCGGCGTGAGCACTGCTCCTCGGCAAGAGCAAAAGTGGTGGGCGGACTTGATATTCACCGCGGGCGTCTGTCAATAAAACTGATGGATGCACGAACTCGAATACAAACTCGTTGATTCTGAGAAGGCCCGATTTCAACTCGTGACTGTGATGGTGCCGGTGTGACTGCCAGGGGTTTGATGCGGTGAACGCTATGCGGCCACAGAGTGAGCACCCCTGCACACATGCGACGCACTTTTTATCTTCCTTTGTCCAAGCACGCTCTTCTCCTGAAACGCTGGCTGTGTGTCACAGCAGTCGTGTGCGACGCGGACCGTGTGTCACTGGCACGCCTGTGCGCGTTCCTTGCAGGGAACTCGGGAGGGTTCCCACGCTCTTGTGAGACGCAGACAGCGTTCTCGTCGGCGAGCACAGCTGATGGGCGTCTCATGCACTGCCAGTCCCCAGTCATGACAGGGTGCACTTCTGCACTCAGTGGAACGGCAAACAAATCAAAGGCTTAGTCGACCGTTCTTGATGTGATGACTGGTTCCAACGTAACCACTAAAACACAGCGCACTGAGGGGTGGATTCGACTTTTTCGTACTGTTGGCTCATTCATAAGGGGGTGTTGCCGGAGCTCGGGAAGATCTCGAGTTTTGCGAAACTCGGCCGATCCTTCATAGCACCCCAGAACTGTGGTCCCAATGTTGTTATTTTATTATTGCAGTAGCGTTGGGGACGTTTTTTTTTTTTGAGATTTACAGCCGTGCCCACTCGAGTGCGTCCCCAACAGTTGTGCATGATGTGAAGTATGAGGCCTTAGCTCCTTTGCTAAGACCGTCCTCGTCAACCTTTCATAGGATGTCTGAGGCACGAGAACATGGCTTGTATCAATGTGGTAAGCACGTGTTCAACACAATACAAAGGCAGCAGCATGTGTTGGGGAAAAAAAAGAAAACACTGACGCCATTTGCGACCTAAATGCGAAGGCTTATGGAGGCGCATCAGGTCCTCCAACGTTCGTGCACATAATCTTGTTGGCTACGACGTGTCGCTGAAGGCTTATTCTGACCGCCATAAAATAAAGCTACCTTTCTTATGCCGTAATTCTGACAAATTGGCGACATGGCGTGCATGTCTGCACTTGCGTTCCTGTGTCCGCACATGCTTGGCGTGTCTTCCGTGACAGCGCAGACGGCATTCATTTGTACCCATATGGTTGCGTATATTCATATAAAATGTCATGGGGGAGAATTGACTAGCTGCAACTATGCTTTATTACTACAGTGCAGGCCGATGGGCCTTGGCTGGAACCAAAGGAAAGTTCGTATCACTGCAAAATTCCTGTGAGTCCTGAGCATATCACAGAGGTTTTACTGTGAACAGTTTATCAAAACTTTTATGTTTACTAAATAAAATTTCGATGTTCTTACTTTTTCTTTCCAATTTTTGTGAGGTATTCCTTTAAGGTTGTGTTAATTCTGTGAAAGTGGCAATTGCACAAGGCAGTCGGTGTGCAGTTTGCTGTATATCTGTACCATCAGTTTTATTTGACTCCGTTCTGCCATGTTTGCTGGTGATCGTGTTGAGAAAGTTTGTAAGATTAGATCATAGCACGTTTGAAGATGTTTGGGGGAAAGTGCTCTGCACACGGTGACTAACAACGATGCCCATTTGTTTTGTTCGATTTCTCCTGCAAGACTGGAAGCGACGATGAGGATTTGGGGCTGAAAGACATCTTGCCTCATGACCTTCCTCAAGATGACGAACTTATGGATATGCTCATGAATGAGGGTGACGATCTCTCAAAACAAGGATCTGGTGAGAAAAAGATGTTGTACTGTTTTTTGTCTGCTTTTTTCTGTTTTTGTAAAATGGTAAGTATCTCCTTGCTAAAGCAAGAGACCTGCACCACTCTATTGCATGCTAGACACCTGCACGCAATAGGTCAGCGCAGGTTTATACTCAGCTTTATTTTACGTTCTTTGCATATCCAATGTGTGTGCAAGCAGTTACATTATAACTTAGCTGTATTCATTACAGAAGCTTCCTGCGTCATGCCCAAGCACATTGGGGACTGACTTTATGTGGAGCTTTACTCTGTGCAAATTCTACCCTGACTTCTGTTTCTCACCCTTTGCTGTAACTATACTACACATTGCTATGTTATACTGTGGCCTCCGAGATGGTGGGTGCATGTGTTTCTCTCCGGTCATTTCATTCGCACGGAAAGAGAATGTTTCCAGAGATGGCCGTAGCCCTCTTTTTTCCTTCTCACTGCGGCACTCTGGCAGAGAACCGAAAACACTGCCGCCCTGTTGACGTAGCTTGCATGTAGGGAGGAAGAAATGTTTTCAACGAGCTGGCCCAGGATCATGCGCGAGAACTAATGCGCCACGACGGTCTGGTGGTTCGAGAGGTGCAGGAATATAGTCAGCAGAACATAAAGTTGATATACAAACTCTAGAAGAAAAGCTGGGCCGTAAAAGCCGGGCTTGAAAAGCTATAACCACCAAAGCGCTGACGTCTTGGAACATTATCATTGTTGCCATTACAATACTTGAAAGAAGCAGTAAATATATCAGTTTAAAACACTCTAATTCTCGCAGTATTCAGAAGACTCCTATTAAATGAAACTTTCTGAAGTAAGATTGCTGCTTAAATAGAACAACTGCCACTAGTATGTTTGGTTTACTACTTGAATATTATGCCCCTGTTTTTCTCTCAGTAAACGTAACTCCTCTTAAAGGAAACACATTTTCCCAATCCCTTCAGGTTTCACTTAAAAGAGTCTACTGTGAATCATAAACAAGTGTGTTCACATATTACAGTCGAACCCCACTACACTGCAACTGACGGGGCGTGGGAAAAATTTTGTTAGGCCAAATTTTTCTTGTAGTGAAATCGAAAAAATATAGCTGATTTGAGCTAGCAAAACAAACGGAACGTTTATTCTCAAAATTCAAAAAGTGTCTGCTGCTTCCTATTCTTTTCCAGCAGCATCACGACGTGATTCTCACCCATGCATAGTGAGGCCATGGTGAATAGCATGCATGCACAGCTTTTCCTCTAGAGTCTGTATATTAACTCTATGCAGCAGAACGACCCACTTCTAAAATTCAACGAAATCACCAAACACTACCAGCTTGGCAGAAGAGTCTATCTTTTTTCTCACCTAAAACTTAGCAGAAATCGGTCAGCTACTCTGAGAATGTTACAGACGGGGTCTTTCCTGTCGCGGGGATTCCTCAGTAAATAATACTCGGACAGTGATTCTGGTGGCCCGGCTGCAGTGAAATATTTTGTTCTTTGTTCTTTGGCTCACCTGCTCTGGTGATGTCCTGCGTTGCCTAACAGCCTCCTCTCCAGCGAGGCCAAATAAGAGGAGGGCATAAGAAGCACTATACTCCTAATACAAGCCCAGGTTATACAGGGGGCCTAGGAAAGGGTGGAGCACCATGGCATTCTGTCCTCTACGTGGGCGCGACCAGTGGTTAGACAGGCCCTTGTCTGGCGGTCCTGTCAGTGAGTCCTCAGGATTAGTTAAAGTTCATTGTCTGTCGGACTGCGCTTTTATATAACCTCCCGCTCATGTGGAAGTGTCGAGTAAAGTGTACGAGAGGCAAAGTCAATGTTGGGGCATATTTATTCTTTTTTTCTTTTTCCTTTTTTTTTTTTTTTTTTTTGCTGTAGATGTGCCCTACCCATATTAGAATTGCGATGCCTCTGCAAGAGATGTGTATGTGCTGGAAACCTACTATACTTCGAGGTTTGTGGGCTGTATAGTATGGGGGACACTGGCGAAAAAGAAAAAAAAGGACAGCTCTATCCGCAAGTGAAATCAGAAGAGTGTCGCTTCTACATTCACATGTTACACTAATAAATGGGTTCCTTTTTCTTTCTTTTCATGGAACTAGCACTGCTTTTCATTGTAATGCCATTTCGAGAATTCTTGCAGACATGCTGATGTAATCACAGATGGCACGAAAGCTGCACTCGCATAGCGCACCACGCTTCACATTCATCCACGAGGCTTCCTCAGTTTTTCTTTCCAGCTGCCTCCCGTCGCGCCACTGAAGCAGGAGACAGGGAGGAGGGTGCAGGTGGTCGCCGTGCGTCTGGACTATGTCTAAAATGAACGTTGTTGATCCTGCAAAGACCAGGGTCTGGTTACTAGCGTGTCTTGGTTATATAGTCGCCCATTCGCACTGTGAGCTTTACAGTATTCAGTGGATATATGTTGGGCAATGTAAGAATTAACAAACTTAAATATTTTTTGCTTGTTCAAGAAAAACGCAACACGCGTTCAGTGTTTAGTTATGAAACACTGTGCGCTACATAGCAGTGAAAATTTCCACTTTTTCTTTTTTCTGCAGTCTGACTCGACCAATACATGGTTTTCTTGAGAAAGACACCATTCTGCTGCGTGTGCAACCCTTTGAGTTGGATGCTGTCAAGAGTACAGTAAATGAACACGATAGTCATATTACCATTGTGCTATCAAAACATACCATATTTACTCGTGTAATGAATCCACTTTCTTCTAGAAAAATTGGAGCAAAGTTGGAGGGTGCTTTTACTACGCGGGGTATATTTTATGAAAACTTCTTCGGGAGAAGGAAAAATACGGTAACGCAAAAAAAAAAAAAAAAAGTTAGGTCACTTAGCCTTTCGCAATTTACATAAGCGTACACTGTTTGGAAACAGTTTTTTGTTGCACTTTACTCATCTTCGGTGGTTGATGGCGCTATATTTTGCAAGCTGTCCCTAAGCCGAGCCGCCCGCGCACGCCAAAAGAAAGCTTTGCGACTATCTTTTCTCGCAATCGTTTAACCACAACAGTGGTATCTGCTGTGATATCGAGGGTCCCCCAAAAGCGTGCACTCATGGGGGAGCGGGGAATGAAGGGACAGTTAGGGTGAAGGAAAAAGAAAGGCTAAAAAAATGGGGGGGGGGGTGCAAAAAGCGACTTACCCCGTCCGTTTCCGTGGGCAGTTTGGTGACCTTCTCTCATCTGCGATGTCTGTACACTCGCAAGGCTCGTGAACCTTGCTGTGGCGCACAGATAAGACAGGTGACATGCCACGCACAGATAGAAAAGCAATTAGCGCACCACGTGGCAACAGGCGAGGGGGGGGGGGGGGGGGGGGGCAGCTGAGGTGGTTGAAGGGGGTCGGAAGAGTAATAAAAAAACGGAAGAGAGCCAACAGGTGAGGAGGCACCAGGTGTCAGCGTAGGGGATTCGTTTATCACGCGAGGAGGAAAAAAAACCAAAATTTTGATGACTGAAGTTGGGGGTGCGTTTATTCCGCGAGTGCGTTCATTACACTAGTAAATACGGTAATCGAAATGCAGATGACGAAAAAGGAGGCGGGTAAAAACTAAAAAACGTGTGGAGTAAATGTAGATCAACTAATCGAAGCCTTCGACAATATTCCGGCAAAATTACTTCGCATTTTACTTCACTGACATGATTAGGGCACTCAGTTATCAAAAGCGGAACTGTGCTTCTGTTGACCACCTCATAAATATTTGTATGCGATAAAATAGTAAAACGATGTGTAAAAATAGGAGGGCAATATGATCAATGTCGATAATTAGCCCAATTTTCACTCATACACATCTCCAGAAAGGAGGAATGCCAGAACGCCTTTATATTTCTCAAATCGGGGTATTTACCACCGACAAAAAGCGGACCGTAATAAAAAAAAATTAAAAGTAATACTGCCACAGACGAGTTGGTACGTCTTTACAATGATCTATATCAGAGACATTGAGCTGTTGCCACGCTTTTATTCGTAAATTGGACCAAAATAAGTGCAGTAACAAAAAAAAAAGTACTTGCTTTCAGTGCAGCCAGAAGATTCTGGCAGTGATTCTTGCTCGTACATGAAAAAAAAAAGCATGCGTGGGCTAGAAACCTGTGCTCTCTGCCATCTCCCGCGGTCTCTGTTGCCGCCGGAATCCAAACTGAATGCGCCTTTTTGCAGTAGCCTGGCGCGTGACGCTATACTTGTTGGTTTCGCTGGGGAGAGCGCCGATAGAAACGGCCGAAGAGAAACACGGGCGCGTCCACCATCTCAGAGGTCATGGTTATACTATGCAGCAAAACATCGTTAGTTCAATGTTACAGTTAATTTGAGCTGACACCCTGGTGCCGGCACAGACCTCTGTATTTCATGGGGGGGGGGGGGGGGGGGAATTTCTGATAATGCTGTATTTGCTTGATTGAACGAGCTTTTTAACAGATTTTTGCTACCTAAAATCTGTGCCCTCGTGTTACAATTGAAGGTCGAATTAACTTTTTTTTTTCCTGGATGCAATGAAAAGTCACCCCTCATGGTATAATTGAGGTCATGTCACAGTTGAGTAAGTGCGATACAAACGTGTCGGTATCCACAACGGCTGATTCAAACTGGGAGCCCCTGGTTCTCATTGCTTCTTTCAGAAGTTAGCCCTCGACAATCACACACAATGGTTTGCTAAACCAAACCAAATTTACTAGAAATGCAAAACATCAGCATTTCTTAGCTGATGAGAATTCGGAGGCTGCATTGGTGCATCTTGGGCAAGCTGCATTTGATACTCACGGAGTCCTGACGGAAAAAATGCAAGCAAATGGGAATTACCGATTGCTTCTCATTTCGACGGCATTGACTCAATCATGTAACTAGGCGTGTTTTGGAGCATAAATAGCATCGTATGTTTCGACAATAGGGCTCACTGCTCTCAAGAATGCACGTTGTTGCTTGTTTCTGGTAAATCACTGACCGTTGAACTGATTCTGTTTGCTGTTGGAGCTCCACAAACTAAATTGACAAAATCAACTAACATTGACATGTAGTGGCACCTAATTAGCGATAACGTGTCTAGAGGTGTCTTTGTCGGGTTCTAACCAAGCATTGTGGTGCGCTGTCTGTTCATTCGTGTGCCAGCACGCTAATTCGAACTCCACTTAATTCGGACAATTTCATAGCCCCCTTTGATTTCAAGTTGACAAGCTTTCTCTGTGCATAGCTGTGCTGTGCTTTACCTTCTCTACATCTCTTCTCATTCGCACCCTCTTGCTGTTTGATAATTTAGACTAGTTTACGGAGGGGTTTCAGTGCCACCATGTTGGGCTGTTAACCTTGGTGTTTTGCACCTTAACAAGGAAAGGAATACGTAGTGTTACGGTAAACGTATACGCATGAAAACGGTTGGGTTGGTGCACACGATATTTGATAGCCTTATTCATTTGCATCGCTATATTCAAAAGCAAGAAAGCATAGACCTAATATAAGCCCAAGATGACGGCACCCTAGGAAAATATTCTGTGCTATGGGACAACTTTCTGTGGAAATGAAGTCTACGGAACCAAAGTGGGCGTGTGCCACCGCTGAAGAATATAGTCCCACTAGTGCATCTGTGTTTTCCGTGTGAAGATAATAAAAAAAACATTATTTTTTTATGGTATGCTGTTGACAAAGAGATGCTGTAAGAGCCAAGAAGATATTAACATTTGTTTTCCTTCATGAAGTTCAACTTTGCATTTTTGCACGTCTGAAAACCTCGTACGTTTCGGGTGCACTTCGCAGTCGAAATGGCGTCATCTTCAGGCGAGTGCTTGTCACTCTCCAGCTATTCTGACGACTCGACAAAGGAGCTTGTGTCGAATTTCACTCACATATAGCTGTGTAAACTGACGTAGCAAATTATATGCAGTGTTAATATTTGAACACGGACGGTATTCGAAAAGCGAGTCGAGCTGGACTTTTCAGCGGAGGACTACATGTGCTGTAGCTCCAACCACGTAGCTTTCTTTTCATTTCCACAGAAAGTTGTCCCCGAGTATAGATGGCCTTGCCTACGTGACGCCATAGATGGCTGTGCTTGTTACTGTTGTGGTGTACGGTGGATGTGTGCCACATCCCAGGATGACGTGAACCGTCCTTGTGTGAACGTTTGACGACAGGGCTCGACGATGTTACCCTGAACGAGCACTCGGGCGCCGGTGTGTCAGAGGAGGAGGGCTCAGCTGGTGTCAAGGACACTGACCCACTGTCCGGCAACATTGACACGGTTCTGCTGAGCCCTCACTTCAACCTGGTTGACAGCATGGTGTCTGCTGGCTCAGGTGTGTGAATAGCCAGGGTTGTCTTTGCAATGTTGTGTGTAAAAATTTCAGCTGTTTGAAGAAGGGTAAAGGAGTTATGAAGGTGTTTGACCGAGGCTGTCTTGTAGCTTTAAAACTGAGTGAGGTCTACTGGATGAGGGTCAAACAAAGAATGAAACGATAGTTTGAGTCGTACTAGTACACTAGAAAGAAATATGGCCCTAGTGTCTGTGGGAGCTTCAAGGCATAACACTTTAGGGAGAGCATGGGAATGCTGAGTAGTGTGTAGATCTGACTAAGCCTAGTTCTTTCGGCTCCATGCATCTGTGTGGCCTGCAGCTGCTCTGACGCAAGACAGTGTTAGCAAAAGTTCAGCAACACCATTTTTTACACCACCTTGATGATTTTAGGCTCCACCACCAATTCAAAAAAGCTCACAAGGTTCGCAAGTAGTCATATTTTTATTCAAACGAAAAGCCAAAGTCACAAATGTGTTTAAAAGCTGCAAACACGAAGATTGCGCAAATCCATGTGCTACACGCCATTCCAGAGGAGAGTGAACGATCTCGGCACCACAGTTCCCTCTAGTAAATATTGTAGGAATCTCTTTGGTTCGAGTAACATCAATAACAGAGCAGGGCAATCTTGTCTCTCTTCTTGCAGCTATGTGTAGGCCTTGCTCCCGTGATCTCGCACTCAATGAAAGGCCTTCTGTTCAGCTAGCTTCGACCAGTATGGGAGATGAGCCATTGGCCCTTGAAAAGATGGGCGTGTAGCAGATGTACAGCTCCTTTGACATCATGCGTACTGGTGGTGGTGTTGTAGCTAGCAGGAAAACCACTTTAGGGTTAACAACTCGTTGCTGTTTGTGAATACTGTGCACTCTCAGTAAATGGAAATTTGTTAAACGGAGCTGCTGCTTTAACAGAACAGGTGCCTCTAGCACAATAGGTTTCATACCAGATTTCTGCACCTATGCTCATCTCTCAGTAAACGAAACTCTCCTTAAACGAAACACATTTTTCTGATCCCTTCAGGTTCCGTTTTAACGAAAATCTACTGTACTTGATGACATCTTCATTTAGCACTAAAAAAATACTAGTACATGAGAGATATTAGGATGACATGTGTTTGCCTTTTCTTGCGCTAACTCAACCTGTTGTCAAGCTACGCGTTTGATTGGCAAGAGGGTTGTGAACTTGTGGGGCAAGTATCTATGCAGTATGCATATATTAAAAAAAAAAAAATTTTTTCATGCCTTGATGAGGAAAAGGCAAATAAACAGAGCATTCTAGCTAGGAAACGATAGTGAATTTCACAGCACGCAAACATAGGAAAAAAGTGGAACAAAAAACTGCACTCTTTTCTACTCTGTCCAATTTCTTTCCTGTATTCGCACGCTGTGAACCCAGAACAACTAGCCCAAAATTCTACACATGTAGTAGGAAAGTTGAATTACACTCAAACATCAGTATAATGAACCCATATGCAACAAGGTATACATTATAACGAAGCAAATGAAGAATATTCTTGCAATAGACATAGTGTTAAGAATATACCTTCGCGCTGAATTTTTGGATATAACGTACTTATTTTCTTGTAAGATGCAACGTTGTTATGAGATGAGGTTTGAGTGTATTCGGATGTGCTGAACCTGGTGTGAGGTTCAGCCTGCGTGCCGCTCCAGCTGGGAAGGTACACACTGTGTGGCAGTTGAGTTGTAATTAGCTAGCTGTGTCCGTTATTACGAATTGATTCTTACGACTCGATCAAGATAATTGTAAACCTACTTCGTGCATAACGCAGGTTGTCGATGTAATCCTGTTATGCAAGGACAGCCTGAAGTTAACGCAGTGACGTGTAGATGCAATCTGTAGACTTGGTTCTTGTGTCAAAGCCAACAGCCTAGTGGTGGCGCGCACGGTTTGCACTGCTCAGCATAACACTAAAAGTGTTGTTGTTTAGTGTTCTTATGACTAAGCGTAGAAAGATCTTAGACAGGAACTGGGTGCTGGATCTGGTTCATTCGTTGAAGAATCATTTGTGTGCCCTGTCCATTTAATGAAATGGACAGGGCATGAAATGGACATTTCCATTTTAATGAAATGGCTAACATCTCACACTTTCACAAACTCAGAAGCGTGTACTGTGCTTTCAGGGTTACCACACATGGACAGCAAGGATGTTGAAGATGTCTTCAAGGGCGTGCTTAGCCCCGGGGATAGTTGTAAGTAACACATTCCTTTGCCGTGCGCTATATTGCTTGGCTCTTGCAGTGCTTTGCGGCGCTTATTAGAGAGGCCTTGAAATGTGCAATGAGCCAGTATTGTTGTGTGAGCAGCAGTGCCAAAAAACAAAGCTGTTATAGTTTTATTTCAACGAAGGAAACACATTCATTTCGAACTAGAGTGACACGCAATGACTGTTTTTGCAATCGAAAGTGACGCTTCATGACGGGGGGGGGGGGGGGAGCAACATTGGCCGGGCATTTTGATTAGTTTGACGCAGCAATTTGCTCGTAATATTCGTATGGTCCCAAATAGGCCACGCTACTGTGCGCTAAAAATTGTAAAAGCTCTCTATGCTTCCTCAGATACAAAAAAAAAAATTGTTTTTAATTATGAAAATTGGAAAACAGACTGTGTCTCCTGGTGAGAGTTCCGCTTGAAAGACTGAACACTGCCAGTAGCAATGCATATAGCAGCTATACAGCAACACTGACTGTTGATGAGCAAGTTTAATACATACGGAGCATGATACAGTGCGCCAAGACGGTACAGAAAACGAAAAGAAGCACGCATACACAGCGCTGTCTATGTGTGCTTGTCTTTTTTTTTTTTGTCCTGTCTCTGCACGCTGTTTTGCGCTCAGTATGTACCAGCCGCCAAGAGTTGTCGTGTTTTATCATAAAATTTTTAGCAGCACAAAACAAGAAATGGCACATTGGAAAAGAAATAGGTCTTGCCACGTTGCAGATATAATTGCAGTAATCATTTCCATATTAATTTAAATTGACAAGCATGTTTGTCTGCACATGCAGGAATACTCGCGTACATTTCACTGAATGACTTGAGGCTAACACTGGCTTTTGCAATGCTAGCGTTATTTAGTAAGCAAGCACAATTGAACAAATGCATCAAATTACCTTAGACTTCTTTGAGATTGTTTTACGTAATGATACCAGCAGCGGCATACACCAAGGTGGAACCATATTACATGTCTAGTCACTGTGTGCTATGGCAAGAGTCGGTACTTTGCTTGTTAGAACAGAAACAAGGAGTTTCTTGTCTTGAAACACTCTTTCTTTGAGCCCGTTATTGACAGAGTCGGTGTCGGGTGTCCCAGGTGGACCACCTGAGAGTGTGGGCTCCATGGGTGCGTCAGCAGCGAGCATGTCACCCCTGCCGCAGCAGCACGGTGCCTCGGGGTCACGACCTGCACCCGTGATGCAGAACCCGCTCACTCCGGCCAGCTCCCACAGTGTGGGCTCACCCTTCAGCATGCCCTCCCCTTCACCTTTTCCCATGGAGTACGGCAGGTGAGGAATCCTAATTGACCCCATGTACAGTAAGGGAATGCCAATTAGTGTAAGACCTTAAAGGGACCACATGAAGCTGTTTTATATAGAAAAACTTGGAATATAAGCAGTGACACTCAATCTAGTCCAAAAAGTGGGCACAAACCACCTGAATAATTGTGTTTCCATGCTCATCAACTGCTTCGAGGGAGGCAGATTAAATCGTTAAAAATATTGACGTCAAAGCATTTCACTTTAAAATGATTCTCCATTTTTAGAAAACAACTTGTGTCTAGCAAGCATTTTTGCAGCAAAAAAAAATGAAGTATGAGACTGAAACTAGTGTTAAAAACAAGCTCCCGTCGGGGATCTTGTTATTACAAAATGGCTATGGAGCATGTTTTGTTGCGAGCTCATGTAGGTTCGATTTGTGCATAAGTGCAATTGTATGCATCATGTCTTACTGTAATAAAGAGCCGTCTGTGATGTGATGCTTTCATTATAAAAAGTCGCAGTATATCCATGGAGTGAATGATGATGAGTGGGGCGAAGCCCTGGAGGGTTTCACTGCTAGACCGTGAACCATCCGCGAATATTACCCACTACAACATCAAAGACGTGACAAACACTGTATATATTTATACAAAAAATTTTGTTATTAGTAAGTGCTACCTATGCGTCGCTTCCGTTCCCCCTTCATTACAGTGAAACCTTATTAAACGGTAGTACAGTGTAACCGAAATAGCGTAAGGTTGCCCATTTACCTGTCAAAAAAAGAAATCTTCAGGGAGTGCGATGAAAGAACAAACAACATGATGTGATTTATTAACTTCGCGTGACAAAGTCTGTTATTTTCATTAAAGACGCAGTGGCCTAGCGGCAACGACAGCGCCCTCAAACTCACTTATGCTGCGAGCGAGCTTTTTCACCGGTCCCCTCTTCTCGGTAAACACCCTTGCATGACGCCGACGCCATGCACAGCTTTGGCCACTGTCGGACCTGGAACACCTGTGTTGTTGCTTTCCGTGTCATCCTCATTGGCGACACTTCGACAACCGAGGCAACAATGGCTTCGTCGGACATGTCCGGTGATGTCTGCACATCGCTGTCTGCGTCTCTTAAGTTGGAAAAGGGAATGCCTTCTGTAATGCCCTGCCGCTCCAGCACTTCAGCTAGCAGATTTTTGCAAGCTTGGTTTACGATGTCTGAAGTCTGGTCGATGGTGTCACTGGCATCATCTGCGTCACCCGCACACACACTGAAGCCAGCACGCTTGAAGCAAGTTTGACCTAAACTGAACTGTTGTTGCTTGAACCTGCCGCCATGAGTATTCGAGCAAGTGAATCGCGCCAATCAGGTCGATAGAGAATAATTTGCCACATTAAATGGCGAAAAGAAATCTGCGCAGCAGACTCTTTTTGTAGAGCTGTTTTACAGCTCGAACGACGTTTTGGTCCAAGGGATGGGCAATCGTTGTTGTGTTTGGTGGCAGCTTCACAGTCACAGCCGTCAGGTTGTCCAGGGCGACATGCTCGAAGCGTTGTCTAAAATAATAACAACTCTTCCTTTCTTAGTCGCAAAACGACGATCGATGAGGCGCACGTACTCCTCAAAGAGTTTTGCCGTCATCCATGCTTTGGTATTGCTGCTGTAGGTGACCCCTGATGGCAATCGGGCGCCTTTGAAACATCTTGGCTTCGCTGACTTTCCAATCACGAGGAGCGTAATTTTGTCGGTTCCAGTCATGTTTAGGCAAAACGCTACTGATATTCTGTCCTTTTCATGCCGCTGGTGCACGTCTTGCCTTTAAACGCGAGCGTTTTGTCTGGTAGCAGCTTAAAGAATAGTGCCAATTCATCCGTATTAAAGATGTCATCACGTGCATGGTCTTCCAAGATGTTCTTCAGCTGACCATTTTGCCACTGCTCCGCCCCATCCACGTCAGCAGCAGCACCTTCTCCCGAAACAGTCTTCGTGGTAATGGTATGCTTTGCCTTAAATCTGGCCGGGTAGCCAGCCATTGTTGCACACGAAGTTGTCATGGTTGAGCTGAGAGGCAAAAAGCAGGGCCTGCCCCATGAGCAGTGGTCGACTGATAGGCAGATTTTTTGACCGTGCAGCTTTTAGCCACTTGACCAGTGCCTCCTCTACATCCGAAAACGACGAACTGCGTAGCCGACACCTTTTCGCAGTGGCAGCAGGACTGCCAAGCAACTTCTCTCTGGGATTCCAAATTCCACACACTGTGGTCAAAGGCAGGTCCTTTTTGCATGCCAACGCCGATTTTTTCGTGCCATTTTTTAATGGCACAAATTATGTCCAATGTTTCCTTTATTTTCAGCACTCGATGCTTTTGTCCCAGCTTCGGCATGACGCAAGTACGGGCAGCACAAGCACACATACACAACACGTGAAAAACGATGCTCCCACAGTGCTCACGTAGAATACGGAACAACCAGAGAACACACATGCACAGCTTAAAAGGAACTAAGAAAGCAAAGTAAGCGTACACTGTTTTTGCCTGTTTGTGCAAAGCACCATCGCATGGACAACCCCAGAAGCCTAGCCAGCAGAGTGCCAGCCGAGTGCTGAACTTCCAATTTCGGAGGCCACATACTTCTTGTTGTGGAAAAATTCAAGAGATGGCACTCATCTACACAGCCGCCATCATCATCAACACAAGCAAGCGAGATATGATCTCTGGGGCTTGCTGTTCTGTTGGGACGCCCAGTGGCAGACGACATGCTGTGGCGAGTGCGCAACAAAAATGGGAAAAAACTACTTATTAACTGATACATAGACGATAAGCTGGTACGGTTTATGCAGATACAAAATTCATCATGTTCAATGGCCGCCGAGTCAGAGATTTGACTTTACTACTTTTAAAACGAAACTACTGTTTAAGTGTGTACGGTTTAACGAGGTTTCACTGTATGACGGCTTTATAGTCGGTGAAGTGATGAATCGGTGATGGGGCGTAGTGGGATGTTTGCGAGTACAAGTAGTGGGCAGTTTGCAAAGGTGGAACTTTAGGCGGTCACGTACATACATACAAGGGATGGACTGACCCATACCTTTAGGAGCTTCACCCCTAAAAGGACAAGTTAAAGGATAGGTATTTGGCATGCCAAAGATTGCTGCGTCGCATTGTTATTGCGTGGTGGAAGCTATTCTTTGTGAATAGCACAAACAAAGAGATACCTTCAGCCGCATTTTGACCAAGAAAAGTTCTTACGGCTTGAAAATAGGGGTGAAATCCGGACCTCGAGGACTGCCTTGGCAAATCTGTCAAGCAAATTCTTGTACATAACACTTGCCTAGGTAACAGTCCTCGAATTCGTACACAATCAATGCGTATACAGAAGTGATCTTAAAGCCAGGAAAACTGTATCAATGCACAAAATAAACTGTGTGGTGAATAAATTTCCCAATTTATGTAGGCCGTGCATCTGCCGGGTGGGAGTGTGCTTTTCCCTGTTTTTTTTTTTGTGTTTGAACTGATTGATGTCTCGCGTGTAACTGTAATTGCTGTTTGGCATGGACACAGTCCTCAGCTATCTGAGCCGCCCCCAAGTCCGTGGATGGATCCAGATGCCGACCTGCCATCCACGGGAGGCCATAAGAACATTCTCAAGTGGGAGAGTGATGAGGCACTCGGTGCTGGGGCCACCATCTCTCCTGTTCTCTATGCTAACCTCAACTACCAGAACCTGCGCATGGAGTACCCGAGTAAGTAGTATCCTGTGGTGCCTGCTGGTACACCTATTTGTGCGGGGTACTCCTGTTCGTGCATGGAAATTCGAAAGAAGGACGTTGAATTAGTCAGCATCACGGGGGCAAAACATGCAGCTGCTGAAGTTTTGGCACAAGATTGAAGAATTGAAAACACTAGTTTATGAGTTTCAATTGGCTCGGTGTTTTACTTTGGTGCCTCGAGTACCCTTTTTGGTTGTTGCAAAAGCAGTGCTCTGGCAGTATATGTGGCCTAACCTATTGTATGTCTTTGTGGCTTCAAACAGGCTGGCCCGATCGATCCAAACAGATCGCAAAGATTTGGAGGAACTTACCTCCCGAGAAACGACAGCCATATCTTGTAAGTTTCTGGGCTTTTGTGGTAGTTTGCTATGCATGCGTTGCCATACCTTATTTGCATTTTTTGTGCATTTTTTAATGCTTGGATGGACACTGTACTAACAATAACAAGCATTTGGCGCTAATTTTGAGAAAGTACTCATTTACTCGTAAAATCTGTTTTGTTTTCTCTTGCATTCACGTTAGGCATTTTTAAACCTGTTTGTAACAAATGCGATAGAACTTTTGCAAAATAAGGTGGGCCATATTCCACGTGCAGTGTCATGAGGTGTCCATTTTAAAGTATGGTGCTTCTACTGTTCAGCTAGATATGACAAGAAAAAAAAAATTGAAAGGCCCATGTTTTAGTGGTAAATGTTGCATTGAATTTGGTTGTGATGCATCAGATAACTATTAACTATGCTTGTTAATCATTGGAGCAATTTTTTCTATGACATGGGCAATTTGATAGTGTTTGTTGTTCAAGTAAACCATTTTTTTCCCCAAGGTAAATGCTTAAACGCTTTGGTTATTGTAATTGCTCTGTAAATCATAATTTCAAGCAAACCTGGCATAAATTTGGGAGAATGATACCCCTGTCACACGGGCACTTAAAAGTCTTTTAAGTAAGCGGTCTTTTTCCGAAAAGGATTTCCTGACAGCAGACACACGGCACAGAGCGAACTCCTTTTCAGAAGCGGTCTTTTTCGTAAACGGAGTTCGTCGATCTCTTTTACGGCTCCGAATAAGTAGCCTCGAAACCAGTGGGCGCCAGCAATTTTCGAGTGGTGGAAAAAAAAGAGCGATTGCTTATTTTTCTGTCACCAAAACTCTTTGTAAAAACAAATTTCATATCCTGCAGAAGGTGTAATGAACTCTTTTAATGGTTATTTCCTTTTCTACTCTCGTAAGCAGCTACAACGCGTCGGCAATATCACGTGGTGACGCTCGGTCTCGCGCCGCGCCATTTTGCACAAGCGAGGAAAGCGTGGCAGTCGTGTGTTTGCCCGTCATTCAAGTGGTCAAGCTTGTATAGGGCAATGCCGACTCGCTTCTCAGGAGTGATGGTTTCACACATGCTGGTGCAGTGTCTTTCGAGCTCACTGCGCAAGCTCTCCACAATGAAACGAAAGGTGGACGGGTACACTCGAAAAGATTGCTTGAAGTTCTGCTCACCGAGGTAAGGTACAGTTCTCTCGAACCACCTCTCGTTTCGTCTGAAGGCCCAGATCGATTGATCGCAGGCCTTCTCCGACAGCTCCAGTGCGCACAGCAAGGAATTGCTAAACAGCAGTTGCTGCTTGATCCTCTCCTTGGCGGCTTTTGCAGCACCTGCCTCGCTTTCCAGAGCGAGAAGGCAGGCCAGGAGGCTTGCGATCCTCGCTTTTTCTTCCGTACGGTCGCCCATAACGTGTCGAGAGCAGTCGAGAGCAGCGAAAAACAAATACGGTAAATAAAAACCCAGTGGTGCCAGACGGACTTGTGCACGTCGCTAGTTATGGGAATGCTTCCTTAACTAGTGCAACAAACTTTCATATTGGTGTGTCTTCATCTCTTATTCTTAAATTTATTTGAAGAAACGAGCAGTGCAACAAGTGTTTAATTTGTACGTCGTGATACATCGTTTAATTTTCATTGCTTCTCTTTCAACTGCTAGCGCCACGCTTTCGCTAGCGTCCTCGAACGAAAACACTAAAAGGAGATCGTTGCTGCCGTGTGTATGCGCCGCAACACCTTTTTGTTAAAAGTCTTTCAACTTCGTAAAAGACCGCTTACTTAAAAGACTTTTTGCGCGCCCGTGTGACACAGGTATGAGAAGTTTATCGAAGCACTCAACTTTTCTTTACTGTAGCGAACTCTTTTGGCTGATTGGCTCCATCTTTATTTGTATTTGCCTACCATTTTAGTCTATTCATCTTCAAAATTTCTTCTAGTAAAATCAGCCAGCATTACTGTACATTACTTGCATATTGAAAATCGCACGAACTTCAGTTTTTATGCAATGTGCCGTGTACTCTTGTTATAAATGCGAGCACAGATGACCATGACCACCAGTGACCTTGATTGGCACTCCTCTGCTGCACTGTATGTCCAGGAATCCTTTTGCTTCTGTTTGCTGGCCGTTCATTGACAGCAGTTGTACATTTTCCTTTTGTCTTTGTTGTCAGTGAATTTCCTGCTGCTTCCATCGCCGCTTAAATTCATTGTTTTTTCTTCATCAATCCCTGAAGCCTCTCCGTCCACACTGACATTTTTGGAAATCAGTGCCAACATTCGATGTGTGCTGCCATTCCTTTGCACAGCAGTTAACTCCAAATCTCCGCTCGACTGCTGAATCGGAGATCTTAATGCGTGCCCTCAATTCTGCTTTCTGCACTTCTAGTTTCTCATTTGGGATTCTCACCTCGTGACATTGTGAAACAGTTTACTACCGTTACACCACCCGCTACCATTTGAAGCTTTTGTATGCACAATTGAAACATTTCGTATGAATTCCGGTAGTTTTTTATGTTGTGAAAATTTAATACAATTTATGGAATCTGCATGTACTTCGTAAAATTAAACAGGATACATGCGAACTTACTGCAACGTTGTAAAGAAATATTCCATAGCGATAATAGTGATGGAGCAGACATGAAGTGGTTTGCACGGTACAAGGAATGCAATGAGAGCACCTCCATGCACCTCGGCCCGGTGGCGATGTTGATGGAGGGGCGTCACAGCAATACCTACAGAAAAATGATACGAAACTGCTCCGTACTGCTCTGAGCACATTGAAAAAGCTGGGGCCCTTCTACCTGCCTGACTCTGGAGTATGAAGAGGGTGAGAGAAGAGTGGGTTAACAGTACTAATGAAATTTGGTATACTAAAGCATCGGCAACTTTACCTAAAGCCATTTCCATAGAACACAATGTACTCAAAAAGAAAAAAAAATTAGGGCAGCTTTGCAGTGGTGGGTGCAAAGTGCGAAGGATCAGCAGAGTTGGCACAGCCAAGAGAAGTAAAGCCAAATTATAGAAAGGTGTTATTTAGCAAGGTCATAATTATCAAGGTCTTAATTAGCATGTTTTAATTAACCAGGTTTTAATTACGATTCACCTAAATAGCATGGTCTTCACTTGCAAGGGACTTATTTCCAAGGTCTTAATTGCACCCCATGCTGAACCAATCGGCACAGCTTACAAAGGGAGTGTTTCCTTGGAACAGTGGACGGCATAATGTCAGAAAAACCTCTGTAAAACACAGGATATTTGTCCGTAATATTGATAGGACGGCGTTTCACTGCTGCCGCATTACACAGCTTTGGAAAAATGTGGACTGAGAAGCTTTACCCATTCCTGTCACCTCACAATGTCTAAACATTGCTTCGTTTCTGGTGTGTGTTTGTTTATGTGTGTGTATGTGACTGCCACTACAAGAAAAGGGCGGGAATGCATTTGTGACCATCGTGATTTGGTGTGTCCCTCTTTGTAGCAAAAAGCGAGAGAAAACCGGGCGGCCAGTCGCATTCAGAAGTCACAGGCATGTATCGTCTGCTTTTTTGCGTCCTCCTCTTTCTTTTTTTGTCTCTCCTTTGTCGCTCTGCTAAGGTGGGCAAACAGTGAAAGCCTTTTTCGGAATCTGCAAGAGGTGGCTGTGCTTGCAAGATGCGCCACTATGAGTTTGCTTTATTCTCCTTGCATGTGTGCAAGGCCTAACATTCGTAACTTGGGCACAATGTCACAACACTAAGAGGACGAGCTTTTAAAAAAATGAAAGTCTGATGATATGCTTACATATTGAAATTTCACATAGATGTAGCATTTTGTGATGCACAGTAGAACACTATTACTTTTATGAGACCATAAAGAAAAAGAACGCAACACTTGTAAAAACATTAAATGTGATAATGATTGCTCGAAACGATGATGGACTACACCATTATCCCTTGCTCTTCATCACTGACGTGGCACTGATGCATAGTTCTTCATACTGGCGGGAATAGGAACATTGTGCTTCTCAAGATGATTTTAACGGATGTACACCACGAAGTGTCATGTAAAATATAATTGTTCATGATGAATACGCATATGCATAAAGTGTTGCTTGTGTATTTTTACCACGACATTCTAAAGTATGAAGGCCAGCCTAAATAAGGTTTGCTAAACACGAGAGGGATAGTTTTCTTAAATGCCAGGGACTCTGTTCGTTTGCCATAACACATGAAGAATGTGCAAGCTTTTATGTATAAGAGCTCTATACCGATTGGAAGACCATATGCATTTTTGCATTTGGAAACGGGGACCCATTCCTGTAAAAATGTTCAGTAAGCTAGGTTTATCTGGCGCTGAAACTTTTCTTGACTAGCATTTAATGTTATCATTGTTTTATTGTTGCTGCCCATGTTCATTTCCACATGGTACTTTCAGTATTTGCCCACCTGTCAATGTTCTGTTTTCTGTTTCTCCCACCTTGTAGAGTAATGCTGTGTTTGCTGCTTTTTTTGTTTGTTTTATGCACCAGCTATGTTGTAGACTTCTGTGATTGTATCTGCAGCACTTATAGTATTTTCTTGCTGCTTTTTAGGCGAGGCTTCATGTTCTTTTTTTTTTTTTTTTTTACGGCTTTGCAGATAAGCTTTATAGCTTTTAAGCTCAGTAGACAATACTGTCATGTTTCCAGCTGGGATAACTTCATATTTGTATTTTCTAGAACCAGTACAACACATTATACTTTAAAACTTAAATATTTCATAGTTAGTATTAGCTTTATCACACGTGTACAATTAAAAAAAGATCAGGATAGTGAAAGAAATATAAACCGTGCCTTGGGTGTTGGGTATTATTTCTCTGTCCTTGACTTTCCTTTGCAACAAAAAGGTCACACATAGGTTATATTTATGTGCAATTTATGCTCAGTAAGTTAAAGTATATCAGTGTGCAATACATTACACTAATCTGATATTGAAAATGTTCTAAAGCATTTAACTAAACTCTAAGGAAAAAGAACACAATCATAGTATAAAGGGATAGATTAGTAAAATTTGCATGTGCGTTCATTTAGAACAAGCAAATGTAATGCAGGATTTTTACTGTATGGAATATAGTGGAATAGTATGCAAATATGCACAAGGCGAGTTGTAAAAATTCACACATTGACTTTGCCTGTATGTCAATTTGATTTTGCATACTCCTCTGTGTAGTCAGTAGAGGTTAGGGGTCTGATATCCTAGATACAAAATCAGCGATTCTAGTGTGTACCTCAGCATACAGCATGCTGAAAGCTTTAGGTTCTCGGAATGTTGCTTTGCAGAACCACTGGAAACGAGCTCTTTCATTGCAATTTCATTCCGCCTTCCTACGCATTGCATACCGCATTTGGTCGTGCATTGAGGATGCCTTGAGTTGCATTGCTGTTGCACTAAGCCTTGTCTCTGTAGGAAAATGAAAAATGCAGCGTTATACTACGGCCACTCGATAAAAAATAAGGCACGGCCTGTTGCAGCGCCCTGAAATACACAAGCACAAGCAGGAAAGCTGCATTACTGCATTGACAGCTCCCTTTGTGTTGGTCTAGTAAACGCACAGCCACACACAGTTAGAACAAAAAAAGAGAAAAAAAAAAGAGAGATAGGGTTGTGGCGCTCTCTAGCTGCGTCATTCATGGTGTCTTTGAACAACTGCAAAGGATGTAAGCATCAAGGACTCTGGGTTTTTGTAAAAAGTCACACCAAATGTTTTTAAAAGTCCTTACGATAAGATAAACCTTCCAAAGAAAGTGGTGCATTGAGAAAAGTATTGCTGAGGTCCCCTCAAATAATATGTGGGAAGAGTTGGAGGATACTCAAGAAAACTTCCATCACAAGGATTGGTGCGTTGTGGCAAGTGAGCACCGTTTCGATGCAGGCTCTTGTGGAATTCACGTCGCTATGCCGTGCCATTGGGAATAAAAAATAATGTGCTGTACTGTGCAGTTGTGCCCCCATCCACCAATGATATTTTTGCACTAGTGCACATCACTCTATACATTACTCGTTACACTCAAACTTCTTTATAAGGAAGTTGCACCTTGCACGAAAATAGGCTCAATATGTCCAAACATTTTTTATAAAACTGTATTCTTAACGCTATAACTATTGCAAAACAACTCCTCGTTTACTTTGATTTATTGATGTTTTGTTATATCCGGGTTCATTATGTCGAGGTGTAAGTGTATTAGTTTCCTGAATACCACCAGATAGTGTACATTGTAAATGATAGTGCACATTGCAGATAGTGCACATTGTAAAATGACTTGGGAAAGAGTATTTGCACCATTAAGATGCATTTTCGTTTCTCACTGTCTTGGTCTTATAATTAACCACGGACACGTTGTTCTTTGATAGTTTAGCAATCGGGACTATAAATACAGCGTAAAGCGCAGCCAGGCATGTAGATAGCCGTGCGGTCGGCACGCACATGCTGCGCCTATTCAGGCGTCCATTTTTCATTCATTGTGCGTCGTGTTGTCACAAGCGAAAAATGCGCCACGCAAGTCTAGCTTAACGGTGCTCATAAGAGACTGCACACTTATGGCACGACATGCATCCACCCTGCTGCTTCCAGGCATTTCGCTGAGCTCAGCTGGCTGCTTGCTCGTGCAAAGTCTTGTCTCCTGCGCAGTGTTGCTTAAATTATTCCCCTTTCATGCACGTGCGTCAGCAACGCGTGTCTGTTTTGCATGGCAGTCGCAATATTTGTGCTATCTGCGCAAAAGGTGATTGTGGCCGTCTTGAAAAGCCTCTCACAATGGGCGTAGAATGCGGCTGGTTTTTCAGAGCTGGACAGCTTTACAAGTGCACTTTGTGTGAATGAATTTGTTCGCAATCGTTCACGGCCCCTCTCATCCAGACGACTTTTCTTGTCTTGTTGTTGCTGCCAATTTCGTTGTTGTTTCATTGTGCCACTTTACTCACTTGGTACGATGCCTGCCGTACCCAATCTCTTGCCACTCTTCGGTACTTGATGTGGCCTTCAAAGTTAGCACCTCGACAGTGTTTGATGTGCAGGGCTGAAGTGTAGGCGCAGTGGCGTGGTCCCCTGCCACATGATAGCACCATGGCCTTCTTGAGAGAAGAGTGCTGTTCCATCACAATTTTCTATCACAACGCCTAAAGATACAGTCGACTCCTCCTAAACGGAACTTGAAGGGGATCCATAAAACTGTTTCATTTATCAGAAGTTTTATTTAAGCAAAGTACACTTATTTAGTGAATCAAAACCTTTGTTCAAATTGCACGAACCTCACCGTACTCATGAGGATGAGTAGAAGAAAAAAAGGAGTGAAAGGTGGTTTGTTTGGCAAGCTTGAGTTGTTTTTTTCACAACGTACGCACCCATGCCCGACAAACTAGCCAGAAATTTTGGACAAGCCTCATTCTCAAAATAGCGCTGTAAAAGTTCAACAGCCTCTTTATCTGATCGGTCTGGTGGCACCACTGCACTGGCAATATTGTCATCACATTCATCACTGGAAGGTTGATCCTCATCTTGCACTGCAGCAATCATTTCCTCAACAGTCTCCTCACGACAGGTACGAACATTTTCATCAATTGATTCGAATTCCTCGAAAGTGAAAGGGGCAGAGGGTGCGATCTCACTGAATGCTGCCTCAATGTCGGCATCGACAGGGCTTTCTTCTTCATCAGGTACTGCTTCTTGCACTTGAAAGCCAGCATGATGAAAGCATCTGCGTATTGTTGTTGCCTTCACTTGCCCCCAGGCACAGGCCAAAATGTGGATGGCTGCCAATAAATCTATGCTGTAGCATTTCCCACTGTCTGCACAAAGCAGCAATCGATGGACCAATTGTCTGCGATAATGAACTTTAATGTTCTGAATAACCCCTTGAACCATCGGCTGGATCACTGCCATTACATTGGTTGGCAAGAACTCCAGAGTGATGGCTTGGAGTCTTTCAACCTGACCGTGGGCTGGGTAATTATCCACGATGAAGACAACCTTCCTGCCTTGCCTCGTAAATCTTTCGTCTTCCTCCCGTAGCCAGTTTTCGAAAATGCCCATGGTCATCCACCCTCTTCCGTTCGCATGGTACGCAACGGGCAGGTGTCGAACGTTTTTGAAACAGCGTGGGTGCCTTGATTTTCCTATTACCAAGAGCTTCAATATCTCATCTCCTGCCTTGTTTGCACCCACCAGCACAGTGATGCGATCTTTACTGCGTTTTCCTCCACTACAGGCCTTGCCTTTGAAGGTGAGAGTATTTGATGGAAGTGCCTTATAAAAAAGACCCATCTTGTCGAGGTTTAAGTTGTCTCGTGGCTCAAAGCTCATCAAAATTTCCCTAAGCCGCCCTTTTTGCCAGTTGGTTCAAATGTCCCTGTTGACTGCAGCACTCTCACCTGAGATTGCTTTGAAGACTAGGCTATGGTGTGTTTTAAAGCGGCTGAACCATCCGTCGCTTAGGACGAAGTTCTCAACACCTACTTGCATGGCGATCTCTCGAGCTTTCTGCTCGAGAATTGGTCCGCTTATGGGCAAATTAGCACTCCGTGCAAGCTTGAACCACAGAAAAAGAACTTTCTTTAGTTGTTTATAAGGCGTCGTCCACATCTGTTCAGATGTAAAGGTCCCGTTGTTTACAGAGCCTTCAATCTTTTCTCTGCCTTTGAAGATCTGCGACAGTGTCGATTTCAGGATGTTGTATTTTTTTGCCACTTCCATCTTGGGTAGGCCGCTTCAATCGGGCTCCTGAAGACTTTTCAGCTATTTTTCAAACGACGGTGCATGGTGCGGCCACTTCCTTTCTATCAGGCTGAAATAACACCGTGATCCACCGCACTTAGCCACACAAATAGGCCTAACACACAACTGCCTCGCCGACTCGGCTCCCACAGCCACCACAAGCGAGAATGGCTACTGGATTGGCTTGTCTCTAGGTGCTGTCATGGTTGTGGGACTACCTTTGGCCTTAGCGAGTGGATGCTGTGTTTAGAGTTTGTGCCGTTTAACCGTAGGTTATCAATAAGCACTGTTTCGATTAACCGATGAATTTTACTGCGCAACGCATAGAAATCCAGCCATATAAGCCCGTTTAGTTTCGTTTATGAGGCATTTTCGTTTAAGCGAGTTTCGTTTATTGGGAGTCCACTGTATCTTGCAGTTCTGTTTTTGTGTGTATGGCTCTATTATGTGGAAGGGCTGTGCAATATAATAAAATAGTAGGAAGCTTTTTGACAATATAATATATAACTTGGATGTCCACGATGGCACTCACAGGAAATGATTATTGCCAGGTTTGCTTACTGTGTTCATTGTTCAAGAAATATCACATTTTGAGAACAGTTCTTTCGTGCATGTGGGGGGGGGGGGGGGGGGGGGGCATTGAGTGAGACAGCCACAGCCGTGACAAATTATCAGCATATTGAGCATTGTGTCATACCATTCATACGTCCATTCATTCATACCATTCATTCATACCATTCATTGTCACCTTCCGGTGTAGTACTGGTTTTCGCAGTCTATACTTCTCGGCGGCTGCTCGCAAGTGCGTGGCCGTGGTGCACGCTTTGAAACTTTTTGTGTTTGCCGACACTGCAGTCCCGTTTCCTATTCGACAGTAATTCTTGATGCGGACTGTGCGGAAGTCAGTCACATTTTTTGTGTTGACATAGTCAAGAGCTGCACACGCTAGGTGGCAATAGTTGTAGCCAGCAGCTTCTTGTTCTGGTCAATACTGGTCAATACTGAGGGGCCTGTAATTAAAAATCTGTCACGTGCCATATCAAACGATGTGTTGTGTCATGATTAACAGGCCCCCAGCAACACATCACAGCAGCCCTGCTACGGTAGTCTAGTGGCTAAGGTACTCGGCTGCTGACCCGCAGGTCGCGGGTTCGAATCCCGACCGTGGCGGCTGCATTTCTGATGGAGGCGGAAATGTTGTAGGCCCGTGTGCCCTGATTAGGGTGCACGTTAAAGAACCACAGGTGGTCGAAATTTCCAGAGCCCTCCACTACGGCGTCTCCCATTATCATATGGTGATTTTGGGACGTTAAACCCCACATATCAATCAAACACATCACAGCAGACAAACGCGAGTCCAAAGTCTTTGTGTCAGTACCCCATTAATGAATGATACTGCATGAATTGAAAGCTTTGCGTATAAAGTAAGGGGGACTTAAGTTCAGCATATTGAAGAACAAAGTAGTTCATTGTTACACCACATGCAAAGAGATGCGCTGAATGTTAGAGTCAACTCTATTAGTGTACTTTTTTTTTTTCATATAATTAACAAGTTATAAGAATGGTCACTGGGGTACATTTCTCTTATTCTGGGTCGTTACTTATTTTTAAGTGCACTCAAGTGGATTTGCCTGAGGGCTGTGCTTTGGAAAATAAAGGAGCTTTTGCCCAAACTGTGGTCATGGCGTGCACCTTAAACAGGACCCCGGTAAGGTCGCGCGCGAGCAGAAGTCACCACGGGAAGTGGAGCAGGAGCGACAGTGGAAGCAGATCCAGCATGTTCGTCAACAGCAGCAGCAGCAACAACAGCAGCAGCAGCAGTCTCAACAACAGCAACCGCCACAGCAGCAACAGCCACAGGGGCAACAGCCACAGCAGCTGCAGATGCAGCACCAGCTGCCGCCACACCTCATGGCTGACCAACAGAGGCCTGCTGGTAAGGGCGGCATCATTTGAATTTATAAATTGCATTCATTTACTTTAAAAGGGTAAAAGGAGCCAACAGCTGTGAACTTGGGTTATATAGCACTGTACTCTGTGTATATGGCATCATATGATGAGAGAATAGGGAGTGATTTCCAGCTGAATCTAAGAATTGTAAATTGCAGCCTGCATGATGCCTTATAGTAGTTGGCTCACATGTTCTCAGGTGTCTCACCTGATTAACCATGTTTTCTGAATACAGTGAAACTTCGTTAATACGTACCTGCAGGGCACGCTCTAAACTTACTACAAATTAACCACCAGCTAAAAATTTGCATCTCCGGACTTGTGCTATCGCCGCCAACAAAAGAATAAATGCAATACCGCAGTTTTAAAATATTACCTAAAGTGCTCGCCACAAAGCCATTTCTTTTTTTTTGCCGAAGTACAGAAAAGATTTTGCCACTCTCGCCCAACCGTGCGATAGCACCCGGTGGCGACGCCAAAGAGCATTTATAAACTACTGTGGGGTTCGGCATATGCAGCTTGGTACATTGACAGAACGGACAGCGTGCAGTATGAATAAAACAGTGCAATCCTTGCTGTACCGTGCGCGTGTTGGCATCAATGCTGCAAGGTCTTGGTGTCTGCGATCCGCAACACTGCTAACTGTTACTTTAGAAAATAACCCAATTTTAGCATTATTAAGTGTCCATTTCCCTTGCATCGTAAACACCCTCATGTGTCGGTTGATATCGTGCCTTCCTTCCACCAATTTTTTTTGTGTGTGTTCTGTGCAGTGGGAAAGAGCCATCAGTTAATGCTGGGAGAGACCTCTCCAGCGGGGTCCCTCTCGCCATCTGCTCCCTCACCAACTTCTTCACAGCTCATTGGAGCCACTGCTCAGGTCAGTACCCACAGATAAATGTGTCATCTAGATTATGAGCGACCGTTGCAAGGAAACTGTTGCAGCAGCCGACGTTTCAGCTACTCCACTTGTCAAAATGTTGGAACTATATTCCCTGTTTAGATATTGGTCATCACTGTAGGCTTCCATGTTTTTTTTTTTCTTCAGAAACTTGTCTGGACTAGTAAATCCTTACTTGTGTGGATGCCTTGGAAGTGCCCTCTTAGAAGAAATATTAAGAAAGAAAATAAGTGTCCAATGTGAGGTGTCCTCTAAAGGTAGGCGCTCACAGTCTTGGATTCAACTCTAATACGACGACACCCAGATGTGACTTGCTGGTATTTATATTGCGAAATTAGCTGAGGAGGTTGGTCCGGTGTCTTTTGAAGTGTTAAATGCAACTTGGTCTTTCAAAGTGCATTGAAGTTCACAAAAATGGTTCTTAGATGGTTCTAAGCCCCAAAAAGTGCAGAATTCCCTTTTTCAATGTCTTCCAGATTGCCAAATCTCCTGATGCAGAGTGTTCCCAAATGAATTCTACTACCCCTAATATCGATCCAAACAGCAAGTCCTCAGTAGCATCATTGTTCTTAGTGTTCAGCAATCTCATTATTGTTTAAACAGTTTTCAAACCTCCAACAGTTGAACTGATGTTTTATACTTTGATAATACCAAACATGTAAAAAAAAAACTACAGTGGAACTTCGGCTCTACGTCTTCCCAGTTTCGCGACGACCCACATTTTACAACGAATCGGCTGGGTACCGGCAAAGTTCCCATGTAAATAATGTATTAAATACCTTGGTTATACGACACAGTTTAACGCTGATCCCGCATCTTACGCTTACCTTCAGATTCCGACTAAAAGAACAAAAACATTTATTCAAATCAAACGTCGACCAGATATTCATGAGTGCAAATAATGAACTTGCGTTTGCCCAGGCTGAGGATTGGACAAGTAGAGAGTGAGACAGGATGTCCTAGAATGAAAAATTTACTTCCTGAAAGTTCATGCGCTTCTACTTATGTCCCGATCGTGTGCGTACGTATCTGGGATCGTTACATTTAACCCCAGTTAAATGCCATAACTGCTGCTCGTTCTCTTCATCGGTTACAGAGCCCACTGTCTCCTGCGCAAGCGCAACGCTCACCCGGCCCTGTGCGTATGCCTTCAGCGCCCGTGAGCCCTCTGATTCAAGTGTCTCGAGTGCGTCCCCCTATAGACCCCAGTCGCCTGCCTCCATCGTCGCCTGATTCCTATGGCCCTGCCCCTGGGCCACCACCTCCTCCACCACTGCCGGGGCAGTCGGCTGGTCCAGAACGCTTCCTCCAGCCACTCAGACCACCCGGAATGGCCGCGCCACCACAGCGAGGTCCACTTATGCGCCAGCCTTCCCAGGATGAGGCAACACCACCGCCTCCGCCACGAAGCACACCCCCCCACACACCCTCGCCTACTTCCAGGGCTCCTCCTTCCATGGACCCATATGCCCAGATGCCGGGCACACCAAGGCCGGCTCCGATGTCCGATGGGGGCTACCATCCTGGATATGTGCGATCTCAAGCTGCTGCAGCGGCGAATGCTCCGAAGATGACGAGACCTGCAGCCACTTCAGATCCATATGCTGTGCCGCCTGGAACACCTATGCCACCGGCATCTATGTCAGAGGCACAGCAACAGCATCCCCAGTACTCTCCACAACAGGGTTACGGAACAAGTCCACGAGCAACTCCACAAGCCACACATGTGAGTGGATGTAACCTTTTACATGATTGATAAGGTACAGGTGGTGTCCTTTGGTCTTGCACGGTAGCAGTGCTTGTATTTAGTGCTTGCCATAGTGAGGTCTATTACAGTGGCATTTCATAGTGTACTCACTCGTGGTATTGCTTCAGAGCAGCTATTAATGTCAGTGCAATGTAGGGGCTACTAAGGCAGGCTTTCATGCAGCAGTGTACTCAGTCTTGCAATCGAGTAACAATCAGAGTATAATTATAGCTTCAGCACATGGTTGCCCCGCCGTGGTGGTCTAGTGGCTAAGGCGCTCGGCAGCTGGCCTGCAGGTCGCGGGATCGAATCTCGATTGCGGCGACTGCATTTTCGATGGAGGTGAAAATGCTGTAGGCCCGTGTGCTCAAATTTGAGCGCATGTTAAAGAACCACACGTGGTCAAAATTTCCGGAGCCCTCCACTGCGGCGTTTCTCAAGATCATATGGTGGTTTTGAGACATTAGACTCCATATATCAATCATTCAATTCAGCTCATGGTTATACTAAAAACCCATTACAGGCTTCCATGGAAGTGCTCACAAGTCCGACGCAGCCGCAGGCCTCCCATCAGCAGCAGCAGCAACAGCAGCACCAGCAGCAATCATCGCAACAGCCTCAGCGGTCGCCACAACATCAGTCACAGCCAATTCAGTCTCCTTCAGCGTCACAAGCCCCAGAGCCCTTCGGAGGCTCGACTGATCCTTATGCAAGGCCTGTGGCGACGCCGCGTGTGCCGTCTTCTCCTAGTGCGGGCACTCCTCCGAGTGCTGTTGGAGTGCGGCCTGAGGAGATGGTCATTGGTGGAGAGCAGCAGGTGCTAGCAAGACAGCAGCTTCGGGACTTGCTGCAGCGCCAGTTGAAAAAGGAACAACAACCGGGCGCACCACCACAGTCACCCCTGGGGCCTCCACAGCAGAAGCTCCCGCAGCAGTGGCCGTCGCCACAGCAAGCCATGCAGCTGGGTTAGTGCTGCTTGAATGTTATGAACTGTGCACATTGTGTGACAGTGTTAATGTCACCCGTCAAATTTGTACAGTGTGGACTTCTCTAAAATATGCTGGCTGGCAAGTTGGCTTGTGCATTGGTTGTTGGGCTAGTGAGCGCAACTTGATGTGAACGCAAAAAGAAAACGGTCAAGGACAGCACTGTGTCATTGTCAGTTTTTTTCTACACCATGAAAATATGCAGCCCTCGTTTAATTGCTAAGTAAACCTGTTTATGAGTATATGTTATCCAGTCTTTATGTACAAGCGCATTGTTAAATTAATAATTGTGTAAAATGACAGCTGTGGACATTCATTTGCGCTAGCACATGTACCCTCCAGCTCCCTAGCTTTGGCTGCATAACCACGGAATGCTCAATTGGAGTGCCTGAAGGCACCTTTGTCGCAATATGAAGATGTGATGCAGTGAAGCTTATTGAAAATCTGAAGGGATCTCTGTCTATTAGACTTTACCATATTCGTCTTTGAAAAGTTCAAATAGTAATGTTTAAGTGTGTATCGAATCAAGTAGCTAACGCTATTAGAAATATTTTGAATATTCGTACTCTCTACTAAGTTTTTTCCTGAATGTGGTTCACTATGTGCATGAGCACAGCAATTTTAAAAACTGAGACATCTAACTAAAAATGGTGACTGTATGGTTTTGTTATGAAATCTAAGAAACAGAATTTTAACATTTTGTCGTAGCATTCTTTTGAATGTGCACTTTCTGTCCTTGTTTCTGCGTAGGCATGGCACTACAAGGGAACCGAATAGCCATGGGTGGACCTGGAGAACTAGGATTTCGCACTCCACTTCCACCTGGAAGCATGGCTTCCCGTAAGTTGTTGTTGGACACGATAATTTTATGCTTCATAGAATGACACTTTTATGTGTTGTTTTTTCCCAAGGGTGCCTCCTAAGCACCCTGGCCATAATGCTGACGTTTATAAGGAACACAACTTGAAAGCCGTCATGCCTTTACAGCTATTTGGACGCATATTGAGGAGTCTTGGGTGGTGTAAATTAACTTACTACAGTCGCAGACTGTTTCGGGGATTCCCGCTGAAAAGTCCAAGCTGTTGAGAGCCGGAAAAAGGGATTTAACGGAAAGAAAAAGCACTTTCATTGGCCCAGTGGCTGAAAAACTTGTCAATGCACATGTGCACACAAGCATCATCCCAGACAACCAACTCTGCCTGTATATCAGCTGGTGTTTGGCCATAACTGTAGGTTGCAGTGCTGTTATGGCCTGTGCTAAATGCGCGTTTGGTAACATTTGGGGGGGGGGGGGGGGGGCTTAATCGCAGTCACAATTCACCTGTGCTGGTTCGGGGACCTGAGAATCATCGCCCAACTTGGCGAAAACTTCTTAGCAACATCAAATTGAGGTCAGCCGTCTATCATCTTGCGGCTGTTTTCGTCATCATCAGTATCTTGTAGTTGCCGTGTTTCATCATTTCGTACCGAGGGCGCAGATGGGTGGCGTCGGTTGGAGCCGTGTTAGTAGATCAGGCCTAGCCGCAGTAACAGCTGACAAGCAAACTCAAATGCTGAAGGGGAACCACTTGAGGCTAGTTCATGCTGCAGCGCTCATGGTCCTGGCTTCATCTCTTTCGTACGCCCACCCACTTGAACGTCACAACGACCTGACTCTGAGTGTGGCTTTACTCAGCTTGCAGTTTGGTCGTGGTAGCCATTGAATGGATACTCTGTTGGCTAAAGCTGAAAAACAGCTTTTAAATGTAGTCAAAGCACATAGTCTTCAAGATAGGCAATTCTTATTTCTGCATCAATTCTACACTGGCATGGTCTCTAGCCATTGCCAGTGTGGCCGCGCAACCTTTAAGTTCTGGCTACCTACCAAAAATATTGTAAGCATTGTAAACAGCTGGTCATAGCCTTTGACGCTGCACTATCGGCCAGCTGGAGCCCGAAAAAATTAACGGCGCACTGTCGGGCATACGAGTTTTTTGTCACAAGTTCATATTACTGCAATAAAATGAGTGGTGGTGCTGAGGTGTCCGAATGAACAGGCATGTTCGAATTTTCAGTTGAATAAACGGTCCGCAACTGCAATCCGTGCTGCAGTGTCTCTTACTGCGAGTGTGCAGCTTTGGAAGGATATATGTCATATATCTATGTGTTTTCTTAACCTTGTACAGATAAACCTCAATGTTGTATTGAAACTCGGCCTCTTTTGTGAAGTATGGTCTAATGTAAAAGGGGTTACTCAGTGGGCCTACAAAGTAACCCCTTACTCATCTGAACAGTCGGAAGAATGGAGCTGCAGATGCAAAATTTCAGTGCTAAAAACAAAAAAGTATTTTTTTCAACCTGAAATGTGGTACTAAAATAGAATTTTGTGCAGTTCAACACTGCACCTGTTTATCAATTCTTCGTTTCTCAGCTCTTACGTTTCATGAGTCCATGTTTCTTTTTATGGTTTCATGAGAAACATGTCAGTGGGGTTTTGCTGTGCATAGCATTCTGTGGTCGAGAAGTTGTTGAAATGTACATACAGTGGATTTTCTTTAAGATGAACTCGAAGGGACCACTATAATTTCTTTGTCTTATCAGGAGTCCGTATTATGATAAGTGCTCCCCGAAACCAAATGCTAACATGCCAAGTACACTAAAAAAATATTTCTTGAAAACACTGAATGAAGTATACTTATAATGGGGAGGAAGGGAACAATGAAACACATTTATTTGGCTCAACTTGATAAAAACTATGATTTTCAGTAGAGTACTTAGACTAATCTAACGTGTACTTGATTTTGCAAATTCCTAATAGATATGCTCATGAATAATTGCTACTATGTTTTAATGACAATACTGTAGCATGACCCTATATTTTGGTAATTATAAAAAGATAAAAATGAAGAGACAAGCACAGTTTCCCTGCAAAGAATGGAAAATTTATTCTTCTGACTGTTCACCTTTTGATAGGCTGTTTTACTGGCTTTGCTATCACTTTTGGATGTGCCTTCGTTGCATACCGCTACCTTGACAAAGCCAATATATACAAAGTTGGTTATGAAAGTCTGCAAGCTTTCCTTTGAGGTTTGGATATTTTGTTATTTTCAGCCCGCAGTAACTTTTCCTGAACGACATTCAGCTGAATACCTGACACAGCTATATTTAGTGTGCAGAATTAACCTCTCTTTTTAGGGCACTTTCATGATGAGCATGGCGCATCACAAGTTGTGGCATATCACTGAGAACAGTGTCATGCGCTAACCCTAAATCGTGCACAACACACCGCTACGATTGCCACTCTCTCCAACCAGGCCGAACCCCCCTCTTCCCCACACATGCAACACCCACAACTCCAAGTCCCAATGATGATGATGGTGTGTGATGTTTGTTGGTGAGGTTCGTCGCGCCGCAGAGCGTGTGACGCGTTGCGGATGGAGGAGACGGTATCTGACGTTAACAAACCACACTACAATTGTATTTGACAGCATACACACACGAAATACATAAAGCGGCAGCGTACACTACTAGTCAATTGTCTCACGTGGCGGTGCTTGGGGACCAGGAGGCTGTGGGCTGGTTGAGTCCCTGTGATGACGTAATCGTCGTCGGGTAGATGTCCGGTGTGGCAACGACGTAGCAGCAGCAGGGGTTAAGGGCCGAGTGAACGAACCGTCGCTCGGTAGCCGGTAGCCAGACAGGGCTCGTCCGCGCCAGGCCAGGACCTTGCGACGCTCGTCTCGACGGCGGTGGACAATCTGGAACCTCGCGCGTAGGTGCGGGTTCTCCGAGAGCAGCAGGCCGCGTCCCAGGTCTTGCCAGGCGAGGACCGTGAGGCGCTCGCTGTCCCGAAGACAGGCGCCCTGTGTATGCGAACCTCGCGCGTAGATGCGGGTTCTCCAACAACCTGCCGCCCGTTCTGCCGGCGTTCCAAAAAAAAACTGTCTCGCCTGCGCGCGCCCTTCTTAATCTTCTCTGCAGCCCGAGCTCCTTCGTTTTTCTCGCCTTCCAGCGATCGGCCACTCCGTCGTCTGCTCTCGCTTTCCCTGCTTCGTCACATTACCCCCCCACTTAAGAAGGTTCTTCGCTGTGAAGAACTTGCAGCTGCCACTGGATCCCTTGGGACACCGTAGTACACGCGCACTCGGAGCACTGCACTACACTTCCGAGCCCCGCACACTCGACACACATAAGAGACACAAAAGTTGTCACCAGTGTTCAGGGCCCCGCACACCCGACACTCTCAAAGGTACTCGCAAGACGAGATGAAAGTTGGTCCGTCACGGTAAGTAATGTGCACCGAAAAAAAAAATTCCATCAATTATACCCGACACTGCGAAATCCTCAAGCCGTGTAGCGATGATGTTCATGCGCTTGGCAACCGGCTCATATAGTCTGCTCCTACATTCTCACTGCCTTTTATATATTCAACGCTGAAGTCGTACTCCATGAGTATGAGGCTCCAACGTAGAACACGGCTGTTGATGTGTTTGGCGGAGTTGATGTAAACGAGAGGCTTGTGGTCGCTTTGTAGTATGAACGTTCGCCCGAACAAGTAAATATGAAATTTCTGGATGGCCCACGTGAGTGCCAGGGCTTCGCGCTCGATTGTCGAATAGGCAGTTTCTCGTGGTTGCAGTCGTCGGCTAGCGTACGACACTGGGTGTAGCATAACACCATGCCGCTGCATAAGTATGGCATCATGTAGTGCCCCCTCTTGGCCAAGTCCCGATGATGGTGATGACGCCGTCACGTAACGGTCTCTCTCGCTGCTCTGCCTCAGTGAGGGCCCTGCTAATGAAGCTTATTGGACGCAGTTGAGCATCACTCTCGGCTGCCTGCAGAAGCACCGCTGCAATTGTGACTCTACTGCCGTCTGTTTCCATTACGAATGGTCTGTTGAGGTCTGGCAAGTTTACAACGACATCGTCGGCCAGGGACTGCTTAAGTGCTCTAAAAGCTTCCTCTTGCTCCAGCTCCCACCGCCAACGTTGTTTTTTCTTAAGGAGTTCTGTGAGTGGACGTGCAGTGAGAGAAAACTGAGGTATAAACCCTCTGTAATAGCCTGCTAGTCCCAGGAAGGCCTGCAGCTGTTTGGGTGTTGTTGGTTGAGGATAGTCCAGCACAGCACGCTCTTTTTCCTTGTCCGGCCTACACTGCCCGAGCGATATTTCATGGCCAAGGAATTTCAGGTATTGACAGCACACGTGCACCTTCTCTGGGTTAATGGTCAGCTGTGCTGAACTTATTCGCTTCAACACCTCCCGAACATGCTCAAGATGGCCCTCTAGGGTCTCCGAATACACCAGGACGTCATCGAGAAACGCCATGGCAAACTGCTGATTGATTCCCTCCAGTAGTTGGTCCATCAGGGTCTGGAACGTGGCAGGACCTCCGGCAACTCCAAAGGGCATTCTCGTGAACTCGAAGGTTCTCCGATGGCAAATGAACGCTGTCTTTGGAATATCCTGCTTTTGAACAGGGATTTAAAAAAACCCTGTGAAAGATCAAAACTTGAGAACCACCTGGCTCGTTCCAGCTGTGCCAGCAACCAATCAGTCCTGGGCATGGGGTAGACTGGCACCTTAGTGCGTGCGTTCAGCTGGCGGTAATCCACAGCCATGCGGTAGCCACCAGATTTCTTCTCAACCAGGACTGGAGCACTGGCATGCTGACTCTGGCTAGGGTGGATGAGATTCTGTGCCAGCAGATCTTGAAAGCAGTTGTTCATGATGGCCTGCTTCTTGGCATTCACTAGTCGCAGTTTGCATCGAACAGGTGGGTTGTCTCCCGTGTCTATGCGATGCTCTGCCAGGGTTGTGCAGCCGGGAGTGGTGGTGAAGATTTCACTAAACTCTTCTAAAACGTGTTTCATGCGTGGGTCTAGGTCCGACGACTGGCCGGGAATGATCACATTGCAGGCTGCAGCCGCCTCCGGCACACTGGCACACACACTGGCATCGCCCTCAGCAAAAAATGCAGCACAGACTGTCTCCAAAATCCTCCACTGCCTCTGGCTGTTTCTTAACGGCCTTGACAAAGGGCACAATTCTTTGTGGTTCTGTGCCGACAGTCCACCCACCAAGTGACACGTGCAGAGAGATGCCACTCGTCGTCAGGAAATCCCTACCAAGGACAATGTCACGGCACAGGTCAGGAACGCACAAAAACTGCTGTCTGCGGCAACCGGCAGCCCACTCAATCTGACACTTCAGAGACATGGTTGACTGCGACCAGCCTGATGCCAAACGCAGCACGCGTACGTCTGCCTTCGGTTTGGAGAAGCTTGGGCCGCCGCGGCGGCGTGCGGTCTGAAGAAGCTTACACTTGAGCCTGTGTCTAGCAGGGCCTTGAACGTCGGCGACCTGATATGGACGTTCATAAGGGGCTCTTTGCCACCGGCTGTGGTTGCTACTTGGTGCGCACTGCCGTAGGTGCTCGCTGGGGCAGCACCTAACGCCACTGGTTTCCCGGGCACTGTGCTTGCAGGTGACCCGACCGCTGGCAGCGGAAGCAAACGGGTGGCCCCGTTCGTCGACCCGTGGCACAGTTACGAGATATGTGGCCGAATCCACCACAGCGATTGCACTGCACACGCATTGCTCCACTCGTGGGCTCCTGCCGCGGCATCGGTCCCGGCCCGTAGGGTGAGAACGGAGGCACTGTGTCGCACGAGTACTGCCGGGGGCAGTATGACGGGTCTAGCGCAGCTGGATGCAGTGGCCAATGATAAGTCGGCGGTACCGGTGGGGCAGCAGCAAACGAAGCGAACGACGTCATCGCCATAGTGTTCGGCTGCGGCAGTGAGCGATGGTCGGGGGCCTGGCTAGGGCGGAACGCCAGATCTCTGGCTACTTGGTTGCTCGGAAGTGGCGGTGGACTGTACTGGAGGCGACGCCAAGCCCGCTCCATTAGGCCGTCGGCTGCCTTCACCAACTCGGCGAGGTTGTAGGCATGCCCCTCTGCCAAATCTTGCAACTGAGGGTGCATCTGCCTCAGTACGCGCTGCACCTTCTCGGCTTCGGAGACCTCTTCCCCGATGCGGTCGTAAAACGTAGCGATCGCATAAATAAACTCCTTCGAATTCTCTTCCGGGTGCTGCATGCGCTGTTCGAGCTCAACCTTCAGGCGAAGCTTTGCGTCAATCGACGAGAACTCGAAGCGGAAGGTGGCAGTGGATTGCTCCCACGAGTCCAACCCGCGCACGAACCGCCACCACAACTTCGCGCTGCCCCGCCGCGGTGGTCTAGTGGCTAAGGTACTCGGCAGCTGACCCGCAGGTCGAGGGATCGAATCCCGGCTGCGGTGGCTGCATTTCCGATGGAGGCAGAAATGTTGTAGGCCCGTGTGCTCAGATTTGGGTGCACGTTAAAGAACCCCAGGTGGTCAAAATTTCCGTAGCCCTCCACTACGGCGTCTCTCATAATCATATGGTGGTTTTGGGACGTTAAACCCCACAAATCAATCAATCAATCACAACTTCGCGCCGCCCTCGAGAGCAGTCGGTACCACATGAGTCAGTCTCTTATCGGCGGCGACCGCCATCACGAGGCAGAAGTTTTCCAGGCGTTCAAGAAACTCCTCCAGCGACTGCAAGTCTGTAGCACCGGAGCAGCGAGGGAGGTGCGCAGTGGCGAGCCGAGGCGCAGAGTCGTCGATGGCCTGAGGGACCGCGCCAGTGTTAGCGTTCACAGTCCATGCTCCCACGTGCGGAGCTGTGGGCTGCAGCGTCGCCATCACTTGATCGCGCACAACCGCCGTGATTCGTCCGCGCTCCATGGCGGAGCCGTCGGTGCCCAGCAACAGCTCTTCAACGACACCTTGGAGCCTAGGCATGTCGTCCGCTGCTGTTTTCAGGCCTGAAGCCATCCTGGATGGGCCCCCACTTGTCATGCGCTAACCCTAAATCGCGCACAACACACCGCTACGACTTGCCACTCTCCCCAACCAGGCCGAACCCCCCTCTTCCCCACACACGCAACCCCCACAACTCCCAGTCCCAATGATGATGATGGTGCCATCATGTAGTGCCCTCTCTCGGCCAAGTCCCGATGATGATGATGCCGTCACGTAACACCCTCTCTCGGCCACCCTCACAACAGATATGACGCGCACAGGCCCTATGCAAAACGACGCGAATTGGCCACAACATGTGCTCAGGCGCCATTGTGTGACGATGAAAACAATGCATTTGACTCCTCTGATGGGAGTGCTAGTGCCGCATATGCGGTTTACAGTTTTATATGATTACAAGTGAGTGAGTAAAAACTTTATTGAACATGTCCGGCGTCATTGAGCGGGCTGGGGCTACAAGCACCCCGGCCTAGGTGATGGCCTCGAGTCCTTGGACCCGGGCGGCATCCTGGGCTTGCCGGACGGCCCACAGTTGATCGGCAAGGTCGTGGCTGAGCAGAGCCGCCTCCCATCGCGCCTCGCGGTTCGAGACTGCCATGTCTACCGGGTTCGTAGGGGACTGCTGCGCGTTGCCGGTACACTTCCACAGCATGTGCTGCAGCGTCGCTCTGGCTCCGCACGCCTTACACGCGTCGGACGTTAAATGCCTGGGTAGCAGAGGCGAAAGATCACCGGATTCGGGTACGTGTGTGTCTGTTGTTGTCTTCAGGCAACCTGCTGTTTCTTGTTTAGTTTGGCGTGGGGTGGTGGATATTTGCATCTGTTCAGTCTGTAGTGTTGCGTGATGTCTCTGAAAGTTGTCATGCGATCCCCCCACGTCCATTCCCGCATCGCTGTCGAAGTGTGCAAGACATCGGGACTGTCGGCAGGTGTCGCAGCTCGGCGTGTAAGTCCTCGAGCCGCGGCGTGGGCAGTCGCGTTGCCCGCAAGCGGAGGGTCCGTGTGGGCGGGGGTCCATACGAGGAAACTGTCGTCTTTGCGGCAGATGTTGCGTTCGTGAATTTAGAGAATGCGGGCCGCTTCGCGGGAGATCCGGCCGCTGGCATAGTTGCGTATCGCCGCCTGCGAGTCGCCTATTATCACCTTGGCGTCCGTGGTGGCTATCGCGAGGGCTATGGCAGCTTCTTCGGCCGCCTCCGTCTCTTCCGTGCCTATCGTCGCATTTGTGACGCAAGTTCCTACATGATCCGTGATCGCGACCGCGAAGCCGCGGTGGCAGTCGTAACGGGCCGCGTCCACGTAAACTGTGTCTTTGCTATTGCCGAATTCCTTTTCAAGGTCTTGGGCGCGCCTGTTGCGCTGACCGATGGGATGTGTCGGGTGCATGTTCTTAGGCAACGGCAGAACGACGATGCGCTCGCGAATACGTCTGATTACAATGCACAGAAAATATTTGTTCCCGTTTTCACTTCCATTTGGCTTTTTTCGCCACTTTTCCTTTGCGTTTTTCCCTCTAGCTAAGCTGTTGTGTTCTTCTGTTCTCTACTGTACTCCTGTTGGGGAATTTAAGAACTCAAGAAGAATATGAAAGGACGAACGCTTTTTGTTGCTTTCTTTGCTGTTAAGGCTGGCGCTTTCATCACCTACAGGCTAGTTATGAGGGACATACCAGCTTTATGCGCTGACCTTTCTTTCCCACCTATCAGGCTTTCTCCCTCCCCAACTTGCTTTCGATTCGCTTTGAGTCTTTGCACCAGAAAGTGCTTTTTTTTTCCATTTTGATTTCCCTTGTTCGCCAGAATCCCCGCCATTTTCGGCCACTGCAATGGTTCGCCTTTACAGAAGATGCCTGTTATGCAGTTTGTCTTAAGCAGATTTTTTTTTTTTTTTTTTTTTTTGCATTGAGTCTACGGGAAACCAAAGAAACACTCCCGTGTTGTTCGTCTGAAACAAAAATTTGTCTTAACAGAGTTCGACTGGTAGTTTACTGTATTTCTTTGTGTCGCAAGTTTTGTTACGGTAAGTTTTGGCGTTTAGAGGATTAACTCGACTTGATATTTTAGCTGTGCACTTCATGCGCGATGGATTTCTCTTTGAGGATTAACTCGACCTGATACCTTAGCTGTGCACTTCATGATCGATGGATTTCCCTTTGGTATCAGAAAAAAGAAAGGAAACAAATCTGTACATCTTAGTCTCCATTTGTCACGATGAAGAGTAAGTTGGTCAGAGATTGGCCAGTATGTTGTCCTTCTCTAACATTTCATGTGACAGTATTGGCGCTGTTGTGGTGTACATATGACTGCATAGAAGGAAAGCCTTCTGCATCCCAGCGACGGTTGTCTTGCACGCAGGCATGGCATCCGTTGAGCAGCAACAGCAGCAATTGCAACTGCAACTGCAGCAGCAACAGAAATCCCTGCCCCCCCAACAGCAGCAGTTACAGTCGCAGCAACAGCTGCAACAGCAGCAGCAACTGCAGTTGCAGCAACAGCAGCTACAGCACAAGCAACTCGCACAGCAGCAGGCACAACAGCCAGCCCAGCAACTTCATCCTGGCCAGCCGAGTTTCCCGCACGGCAGCATGCCGTCTGAGCCAAGAGACCTCCAGCAACAGCAGCCACAGCAGCCAGGAGCTGTGCGACCGCAGCTCAACGAGCTGCGGCTCCGCATGATGATGCAGCATCGGCAAGAGGTTTTACGCCGGCAGCAGTGGCCGAATCAGATGCACCCACACCAGCAGCAGCAGCTGCAGAGACTTCCTCTGAACCGCCTCGAGCAGTTTGAGCAACAGCGAGCGGCAGCCATGCAGGCGCAGCACTTAGGCATTCCGCCACAGCACATGCAAGGTGAGCCTCGAGTTTACTTGGAGTTTTCGTCTATTGTGGGGGGTGGGGTGGGGAGCAATGTGACACAAGTGTTTCACTTTGCCAATGTTTGTTTGTGCTCGTTATTCACCGGTGCCACGCCACTGCCAGCACAGCAAGGCACCAAATGGGAGCCTAGGTGAACACTCGCAAGGTTACATGCTTGCGTGATTGTAGTCCTACTATACTAGGGGGCTTCATCTTTGCATTTATCATTATATGTTGGGTTTTCGCACTTCTTACACTCGGATATTATTAACTGACGTGGGGATATGTGTAAAATAAAAATTCATCAAAAGGGTATGCTTGCTGGGGTCTGTGTAAAATAAGTGTCACTATATTCAAATTATTTAAAGACTAAAATTAAGGAAGTGTGAACTAAATAGCTTTGCTCAGTATTGCACTGTTTGTCATGTGTTCTGCTTAGGACCAATAACTGCAGGAGCGGGTTACCAGCATTTTGTCGCACCATTTGTGCCACTGAGTTTCCCTCTCATATTTTTGCATCCATGAGCAACATTATGAGGCCCCTTTGCCTCACTGTGCAACATTTGCTTTTTCTTGCTATTTCATTCACAACATAGCTAAGAACTTACAAGCGCTTTGCAAGTCTGTTGATGTCTAAAAAAAAACGTCTGTTTTACATACAGGAGACCATTGGCAGCACTAAAGTCTGAAATGTTTGTGTTTTTGCTCCATAACTCCTTTGAAAAAACAGTTGTCACTGCAGTCAAGTATGGTGTTGTTTTCTTGTATGTGTGCCTGAGCTGACATTGCCTGTACCCCTCTGTAGGGCCCAGATCAGCCATGTTCCGACCGCCATCCTCGGGATTTCCTGACGGTGCTATGCTGTCCAAGGAAGGGAACCTTATCCAGGGTGGCACCTTCTCTGCCCAAGGCGCTTCACAGCAACAGAGCATGGTGGGAAGCATTATGTCAGGAGAAGGCCAGCCAGGTCAGAGTGGCATGCCCGAGCCACCCCAGCAGCCTCCTCAACACCAGCAGCCACAACAGCAGCAATTTCAACAGCAGCAACAGCAGCAGCCTCAGCAACCTGTCCGAGCTGGTGGTATGAGTAGCACTGATGCTGCTTCGTCTGCTGCTGGCGCCAATGCGGGCTCGGAGACCCTGCAAACGCAGCCAGCCAAGAAAAAGACGGCTGGGGACTTGGTGAAAGAAGTTGAGGCACAGGGCACTGAAGAACCTGATGATGGTGGTGGTGACATGGAGGATGATCTGGACGATGACGAACTGCTAGGTGAGTTGAGTGGTAATAGGGGCTTTGAGTGGGGGCTTTAGTGGGCTTGGAGACCGATGAACCTTGTTAAAGTTAACAATTGTTTGTATTGTCATATAGCAGTACTAATGTTAAATAGGTTTAGAACACCCATTTTTGTTTGATTGCATAGAGTTTTCATTCTAGATTATTGTGATATGTTGATTGTAGGTCTTAGTGTAAGAAAAATTATGCTCTCTAATGGCCACTAAATGTCTGATACCTTAAAAAGCTACATGCTACACTACAAGAGTAATTACTAATTCCATATTAGAAATCTACACACAAGCATACATAAACTCTGCATCCTTAATCAAAATTGATCAAGAGTTACAACAACAACAAAAAATAGTTTTCAAAGCACAGTGTTGCGCTGGGAGAACTCTCTTTAGTTTGCTTACATTATTTCTTTTTTCGCTTTCAGGTCTTGGAAACGATTTTAATATTCTCGAGTATGCTGATCCGGAGCTGGATCGAGCCTTTGTAGGAGAAGGAGAGAAAAGCAACATCCTCGACGAGCACCTTGACTTGGACGACAAAGAAGACGACCTGGACGAGGTGGGGCGTCAGGAAACGGACACAAAGGATGACGATGCAGCCATGCCTCAGGGAGGTGGGGGTGTCAAACAGGAGCCTATGGTCAAGCAGGAAGAGCGCAAGACGGAGGACCATAAGCCATCTACTTTAGGCTTTTCGACGTTCTCGACAGAGGGCGGTGCTTCGAACCAGCAACAGCAGCCTACGCAACCGCAGCAGCAAGAGCAGCAACAGCAGCAAGGACAGTTGCAGCAGCATCAACAGCAGCAGCAACTCATGCAGCAGCAACATCAGATGCCCAAGATGCCCATGTTTGAGAATCGCCCACCCATGAACGTGGTGCCAACAGCTTCCTTCACTATGGCGGGCCAACACCCGGGCCTCCGTGGGATGCGGCCACCACCGCCTTATGCGGGTGGTGCTACTGCCATGCCGGGCGTTCGCATGATGGCCCACTCTATGCCGGGACCTGCCATGAGTCACCTGAGGGGATCCCTGGCGGGCATGCGTCCTCCGGTAGCGAGCGTGCCCATACCGGGGCCGGCCATGGGCGGGTCATCGCCTGGGGATCATCGGCCCCTGTTGCTGCAGGAGCAGCCCTTGCTCCTCGAAGATCTGGTCGAGCAAGAGAAGAGGGAGCAGCGAAAGCAGAGCGGAGAGGCTGCGACAGCGTCCCTGCTGAGTGATGTGGACTTTGAGCGGCTCAAGGCCGACGTGCTCTCGGGCCCGCCTGATGACAGCATTGGAGCGCCAGCACCTGTCATGCCCCAGGCTGCGCTTTTGCCGGCGATGCCACAACAGCATCCGGTGAGTGGCACATTTTCAGTAGCCATCCAGATTCAAAACATTTGCAGTATGTGGATTGTAGTTATGTGAGCTCTGTTCACGGTTCTTGCTAGCAAAATGGAAGTTTTCGAGTGGTCATGTTTAGTTTTTTTCCTGGTGCCTACTTCCAGCGTAGCTAAGCAAAGCTCATGTGAGGTGTTGACGGTAATAAGTTGGTGATGATGATGATCCTTGTTACTCTGGCGCACACCCCACAAAGGGGGATCGGCCAAGAACCAGGCGACAGGATCTTTAAGTAAAAGGCTTATGGTTTTACAAGCACGAAGTAACTTCGGACTGAAAAAAAATATATATGTATATAGAAAGAAAAGCCAAAAAATCGAAAAAAAAGTGTATCTGAGCAAAGATCGATGCAGGCTGTCAGATGTGATTTGAGACAGAGGTAATGGTGGATCCAAAACGAATGATATATTAAAAAAAAGGCACTCTAACATGGCAATCACTATGTTTTAATTATGTAGTCAAATACCCCAGAGCAGACGTCCCTGTGGCTATAACCTAATTTAATGCTGCCAAACGAGAAAATTACTGCCACATTTAATTCTAATCCTAATTTTTCAAGTGGATGGGTATCTTTCCGCTGATAAGAATATCGGCAACAGAATAAAAAGAATGATCTATCGTTTTCATTTCTTCGCATACCTGACATACAGGCGATGCCTTTAGACCAACTTTACGTAAATAATAACTTAGTTGTGGAATTCTACAACGCAATCTGGTATAAGTAACTTCCAATTGCCGCGTTGCGCACCACTGTCTATTCTATCGGCATCTTAGATGTGCGAAATGAAATTTATCCTGAGTAGGAGTTGGTTTCACGCTAACAGAGGTTTCTAAACCTTATTGCTGTCGCGTAAGCCGTATCAGGCAAAGTCGGCATAAGGGGACCGCTAAGAGATACTGTGGCTAGTGCATCCGCCATCTCATTGAGATATATGCCACGATGGCCTGGTACCCATAACAACTGAAGTTATTGCAAGTTTGTCGGTATGTGTTGTTGAAACATATGCATAAGTGTTAGGTTGGCTCCCGAAGACAGAGCAGCACATACTGAAAAAGAATCTGTAATTACGACTGCTTCTGATTCGCCCAAAGGAAGTTTCCACAGTGCCAGTACAATAGCAAATAATTCTGCTATGAGTATTGGTGTGTAATCTAAAAGCCTAACCGAAAAGGACCAGTCAAGGGAACGCGAGAAGATACCTGCCCCAGCCTTTTCATTTGATACGGATGCATCAGCCGCAACTACGTTGTTTATGTTCACGTGTGCCAAGTAATCTTAAATCCGATCACTTAAATACTTAAATGGCATTTGCTTCGCGTTATAGGGGTAAATATTCTCAAATTCTATCTGAAGGCCTAAATTAATGTTACTTGTTGAGAAAATATGTTTGATTTTGACGTTCAGTGGCTCTAGCAGCGCTTGAACAAACATTATCTGTGGGTAGTGGAATCGCGACGAACGAGTTTCAGAAAATAAGCTTGGCTCTTTAATAAAACCATAAAACGATTCTCTTTGGGGCGAAGTGTATAGATGTAGATGGCACGGACTCTCTTCTCTGTCAACTTCTAAGCACATGCCAGTTTTGTTCCCAGAAGAAAGTGCAGATTGAATCGGGTCAGTTTGTTTACTGAGCCTGAGCTTGTCATAGTTCACTTAATTTCAACATTATGATTTTTAGGTTGTACTGTAATATGTGTCGCATGTAAATAAATGGGTTTTGCCTTCTTAAAGCGACTGACAACCAATTTTTATGGTGCCATTTTTTTAGCGGAACGGAAAGCTTACTAGTCTGTGAGTCTACTCACAAAATGGCAAAGCGGAAAATGCCGCGAAACATTTTTAATCAGAATTTTTGTATCTACAGCAAACATGAAGTCGTATACTGACATACAGCAAAAAGTGAGTGCTAGAGTGGTTCATGGTAAAGTGGGGTGGTTTGCTGCGCATGCATGCCCTCCATGCACATGCGCTGCGGTTCGACTTGGTCCGCTGGTGGCCACGACGGCAGCGCCGATTTACACGGTGCAATTTCGTTTGCATCGTAAGCAGTGCAGAACTGAGCGAGGCTGCAAAATCATACATGTACTCTAATTTTGATGACTGGTGCGCATGACAGTCTCAGTTTACGCAACTACATACAGGAAAGTGATCGATTCCATTTTTCATAATCCCGCTTCAATTCTCTTTGGCTAGGCTGGGCCACATGACCGTTTTTGTTACTTTTAAGTACAATTTAAGAATATAAATCTTACTCGCAATGCGAAAAAAATGCTAGAATGTGTGGCTATATTTTTTGGTCTTTTCATTTCTACTAGGTCTAATCACACCTTCTGGTCAGTTGTCGGTCCGTTTAAAAACATTAGTGTCAAGACAACATGCAACAAAAATAGTCTGTTTGGGTCTGCCTGCCTGCCAAAAGCCCTCACATCGCAACACCCATGTTTGCTAGTAGCCGACACACAGTGTGGCTTTGCCGAAATAAACTTCATAAGCAGAGTGAGAAATTCGTTTCATGTTTCGAGCACTACATGAGCAAACATCTCTCATATCTTCAACCATGGCCTCCTTAACTAACTCGTGACGTTGAGTTGCCGAAATTAATTGAGAAGGCCATGCTTCTTGCAGGGCTGCTGTTGCAGATGACGCAGCATACCGAGAACGACGTCACCACATTCGTTCGGTATCTCAAGAAGCCCGGCAGCCACCACCTCTGTTTTTGGGCTAAAAGCTGCTAATTGCACTCATTTGTGAGAACTCTCACGTAGCTTTTCAAATTCAGCAGGAATCAAACTGTACTTGTACGATTCAAAGTCTTTTCTTTTTTAAGTGTTTCAGCTTCCCTTGTATACTTTTTTTTTTTCGAATAGCATTTCTTTTTTTAAGCCGAAATGGGCTGTGAAGCCATCATTTATTGCATATCATTACCACCAACACCACCGCGCACACGTGAGATTTTTTCCCCCAGAAAAATTGCTGGCAGCTCGTTGTTCATTCATTACATTGCAGCAAGCACATTGCTACATTGGTCGCATGCACAGTGTAAAATGAAAAAATCACTATCATATCCACAAAACGAATGATGTTAGAGGAGCTTGCTTGGAAGTGCATGGGGCGTTTCTCGGCGAGACTGTTTCTGTAGGAAGGCTTGTTAGCGAGTCAACACTTTATGTGTACGTCGCAGGCTGCGTTGTTGGGCACGTTCTGCGGCCGGCACTGCACAGTCTTGGCCACGTCGATCGGCACGTTAGCCACTTGCCCCTTTATGCTATATTGGCCGCTGCCGTAAGTCAAATGTTTTACGCTCACAAATGGCAGTCATGGAGCTATCAGACGTTCTTCAACGGGGTTGAGAGCAAGTAGGTGAGGGGCCTTGCAAGGATATTCGTACTCGTGCGTAACACTAATTGTAGGGAAGTTTTCACATGCTGCCGTGCCTGCGAAGCCATGAGAACGTAGTACACGTAATCGCGGGGAGGTGAGCGCATGGGCCATAGAAAACTGGCGCGCCATATAATGAGCATTGTTGGAATCACCGGAAAGGCGATTGGAACGGCGGCCTTGAGCGGCGATCACAGAAGTGTACACTGGTAATATTGGTGTACACGTCGGCTGCCGAAGGAAAAGCGCGAGTATAAGAATCCTGCCGAGCAAGCTTCTAAAAAACTAAAGTTTTCCGCAGCTATTGCAGACTTCATCCTAAACAACATTAGTACGGTATAGTAGGTTGTAACAGTGGGAAAGCTGGTGCATAGGTGGCACCCTACCCTGTCTACTCTTGATTTTCTTCCTCGTTCTCAGTTGCAGCGAAGTTATTTCATTAAGAGATTGCAGCAAGACTGTGATAAGCACACATGCCTTTCTGAAGGCCCACGGCTGTTTTGGCTGTTCGCGAAGCTGTTTATCTCCTTTGTGTCGCACCTTTGTGGCGCTTCATGTTTTGTGCACGCTGAGGATTGAAGGAATTATCCGGGTTTAATTAAAGTATGAGTGAATTAACGAGATTTTGATGCAATGAAACAATATGTGTGCTGCCTTGGACCGGAGAACTCTTCTGAATTATGCGATTCTCCAAATAAATGGGGTCAAATTAACCAGTCTTCATTGCATTTCACTATGGGTGCAACTATTTGCGAGGATTATGCACCTACAGAGTATTGTGGCTTTTAGTATTATGTTTTTATAGCATTGTAAAGGTATTTACCACTTGGGATGGTTCAATAGGTCAATAAAGATGGAAATAGGGCAGTAAGGTTAATGAAAGTGCATGAAAATTTTAAGCAAGCATGAAAATGGGCAACACAAGTTCTAGCCATCATTCCCATGGCAGGTGATTGATCAGTGACAATTCCCTAATTTCTTTTGAGAATTCTGGTAGGAAACTTCGGCTAATACACAATACGCTGAATACAGCTAACTGTCCAGTGTGTGTGTTGTGCGTGTTGCAGGTAAACCCAGGCCAGCTTGTGGGCAATCCCGGCCAGCGTTACCTCCAAATGCAGGGTGGTCCAGCAGGATGGCCCACCAGTGGCATGGTGGCAGGTCCGGCTCAGGCGGGCGGGCCGCACCTGATGCGCCAGCTGCCTGTGGGGCCAGGAGGGCCCATGGTGTCTCCGGGTGGTACTATGCACCTGGTGCGCACCGAGCAGGGCGCCATCCGTGTGATGGGGGGCCCTCCTCCCCACAGGCCACCAGATCAGCTCGGACATGGTAAGTGACGGGCCACCAGTTGTGTGTTGCACACTTCAGAGGCATCGTTATTTTAACCGCCGCACTCTATAGAAAAGTCTAGTGGAAACCACTTTGATCTCCGGCATTTGATGCGGAATAAGTGAAGTGTGAAGAGCCAAAATCAGTGCATTATGATATTGAAATATTTACATTGAATGGTAGACAAATAACGTATATAAATGACACGAAAGTAAGGCTGCAACAAATTTGTTTAGTCATGGTGAAGTGTATCAAGTTTTTGGATACATTGTGTTGTTTGGCAATCATCTATATCAAGCTGTTGACTCCATCCAATCAATTTTGGGCCATCATGTGAGGACTGAAATCACGAATGTTTGGTCCCATAAAAACATAGTTGTGGTTGTTATCTTCGGTTGGTATAAGGTGAACTGGAGTGTATTGTATACTTCCTTCTTGACAAACTTATAAAAGATTTACCCTGTAGTTATCTGGGGCCCTAAAGACAGTGTTGCCACAGTAGAGTAAAAACATTAAGGGGGGAGGTGGCATTGAAATTAAAACTTTTTTATTTGTTGACCTACAGCAATGAAATTTGGCATGCATACTCGTAAGTGTCTCGAATAGGGAAATATGCAGTTTCATCACGATAGCTTCAGTAGTTCTCAAGTTACATAATGCTACACGATCCAATTACATGGTCTGCTCGTGGAAAGCCTAGCGCTGCAACAAAACATGCCAGGAAGCTGCGAATGGTGTTGATCTTTACTCAAAAGAAAGCTACAGGGTGTTGCGGGCGTAATTATTCGAAAGTACACAGAATATACCAGTTAAATTTATGACCCTTAAAGAAGTTCTCAAGATAGTCTAGAAGTTATCTTGTTTGCGGCAAGTATCATCACAGTTACCAAGCTTCAGACAGTGCCTCGTTTATGCTCCAGGCATAATTGGCTGAAACGGGCTGGGCCTAAACCTTTCAAGCCTAGGCCGGGTACGGGCCGTATTTAAAAACAGCGGGCCGGGCTCGGGCGGGCCGGAGCATGAAGTTCTCGGGCCGGCCTGGGCTCAGGCCGGAAAAATCGGCCTGGGCTGTGCCTTATTGGGGCTCTCACACAGGGTCAACGCAGCACTGCATCTTCGTAGTAACACTGCTATTGATAACAGAGCACACCTGCCAAGTCTCCCAGATTGGCCGAGAGGCTCCTGGATTTCGACCGCTTTTTCCGGTTGTACGGTTTTCATGAAAATCTTCCGGAAGTCAAAATTTTTGTGCGTGATCTGGCCGCATTGACAAAGAAGCAGCTCAATTCGCTCCAGGCTTGTCAGACCTACCCCATTTTATTATAAATAAGTATAAAGGGCATTCATGTAAACGTACAGTGTAATCTCAGTGATGCGAAACCACGGCAGATACAAACTTTTGAAATTTGCCAGCCAAATTTTACTATGTTCATTGGGCCTCAACTCGAATGCTCCGAACTCATTTTCTAATCGCGGTGGGTGATACGAAATTTAGTACGGAAACCGTCGTACAAAGGCTGAGAGCAGCGTACTCGGAGCTTTGGAAGTACACGTGTGACCGCCGCACAGACTGCCTTCTACATTGCGTGTGATCGTCGTTGCCACAACCGCTGTGGACAAAACAGCAGTCGCTGTTGACACGATTATGTGTGGCGACGACGTAACCGACAGAACCCCAAATGTGTGCGCTCAACGAGTCAAAGCAACGCTGCTTTCTGTAAACTCTGCAAACAAAACTGCGGCAGATGCTATCGTAGATGGCATAAAATGACTCAGTTTTGAAGGCGCGTGCGCAGCCAATCGCATGGGGATTGTAAAATGAACTACCGTTTGCCGCTACTGCCGCGCACAAAACCACGGTTGCAGCGACGCGATAGCGATCTACGGGCTCCGAGGGCATGCAGCTGTGCGGTAAAGGCAGTAAATACCTAAAAATTTTTAAAAAGTTGCAGTTTCGCTGCAAGGGCGAAGCAATAAATGCGACAGCAACAACTTGGAGTGTAACGCTGAGAACGGCAAGCAGATCCAAACGTCCAGCGAACTAACAACGTTTACCGCTTGACACATAACGTGCTGTTTAAACAAAAACGATGCACGATACGTAATGACAGGTATAAATGAGTACAAACTAACAAGTGTCCCAGTTGTTATACCTAGCTATGTATGAAAAACGTGGTGTTCTTTGCAAAAGTGGCTGGTGCAGAGAAAAAAGTTACTTTTGCGGGCCCGGCAACTAACACTGTCGTTTCAGTGAAAGCTGAAGGCACACAATTCCCTCACCAAAGGATAAATGTGCGCGCACAAGCATCCATTCATGGGGCAAAGTACACGTGAGAGACTAGCGCGCGTCGGCACATCGCGACGAGCTCGGTGCTGAGCGCGGGCGGCTTTTTTTCTTTGAGTGTTCATATGTATAGATACGTATACATATACTGGGAAGGACGGGGGCGGTGGTGACGACAAAAAAAAACAGCCAGGACTGTCCATATAATTGGTATAGCACAAAAAAGGGGCCAGTCGCATTTTGGCGTTCCTGTCAAAAGAAACTAGTAGTGAGCAGAGGTTTGACACGCGCTTTTGCGGCCGCCAGCTGCGCCGTCCCGTCCGTTCACGTGTGTCCCAGGAAGACACAGGCAAGTTGTTTTGACCTAAATAGATTATGCTTGTTGTGTTGATCCTTTGAGACTCTCACCTTAGTGAAAAATACCCTTGTGTGTTCGGCCACTCCTAGCCACTATAAGGCCGCAACGCTGATGTTGGCGCTTGCGATTAAGGCCCTTCCCCTCCTCCTGTTGCGGAAATCTCCCGAATTCAGAATCCTTGAACTTGGCAGGCATGAGAGAGTGCTGGGATAAAGGATTTAGAGTTTTGCATAAACTTCTTAAAATCTCGTCAATGAAAAGAATGCCAGTGGACCAACTGTGTGCATGTATGTTCCCATTGCTGTATGTGCCAGGTGCTTCTGGAAATAAATAGCAATTTGGTCCACTCTTTCTTTTTGGTACGATTTTAACATTGGCCTCGTACTTCGTGAAAGGATACTTGCGATTTGTTTACAATGAGCCACACCACATCATTATGATGTTTGTTGCTTGCAGTTGGCACCCACGCTGGCGTGGCGGGTGGCGGAGGAGCCCTGGTATCGCCAGGTGACGGAGGGGCGGCACAGGTGCCTTTCCAGATTCAGACCCTGCCGGCACCTCCGACGCCGTCCCTGTGCATTGGGCAGGACCCACCACCGGGTGCAATGGTGGCCGCTTACGAACAATGGCTGGCCCAGCAGGATGCGCTGCTTTCCTCCCAGAAGAAGACGCTCGAGGGCGAAGTGGGCAAGCTGCGCAAGGCCAAGAAGGCCCTGAGCACCAAGCAGCGGCAGCTGGCCAAGACTGGCCAGGAGCTGCCTCAACAAAACGCCCTCGAGCTTCAGCGTATTGCTCAGCAGCAGCCCGGCATGCAGAAGAACCTGGATCAGGTGGGTGACTCTTGGACTTAACAGCTTGAAAGATGTTCGTTTCATTTTTTTTTTCTTTTTAAATTTTATTTTGTTGTCATTGTTCTATTGAATGTTTAACACAAGACATGTCTCATTAAACAGCTTCTTGTGGCTTCAGAGAGGCTTGGTCTTCAATAAAAAAATGCATACCTGTGACCCCACGAATGCTGTAACATGCCACCTGCGCCTGAGCATGTTTGTTTCATGGCATTGCTTGGCTATCAAGGGCTGTTTGTCATGGCCTCTGCCACTGTCGTAATTTTTCCTGCTGGCCAAGGCGTCAGGATGTAATGTGAAGAGCACGTGGGCAATGTTGCATTTAACAGCTTGCGGATAGTTCTCACTGTTGGGAGTAGTACCGGCAACTGGTGTATTGACTGGTTTCATTTTTCAGCTGCGCAAGCTATGTCGGCAGCATAGCATGGTGATGCAGGAGTACCGCGCCAAGCAGCAGAAGTGGCAGCAGCACATGCAGCAGCAACAGATGCAACAGCAGCAGTTGCAACAGCAGCAGCAACAACAGGGTGGCCAGCTTCTGCAGAGTGCCATGATGCCGCAGGGCTCTCCCATGCACCACATAGCTGGTGGGCCTCCCATGGTGTCCAGCGCTGGGCCCACCATGGGGCCTAGCATGTCTCCCAGCATGTCGCCGGCCATGTCGCCCGTGATGTCATCCGCCATGAGTCCCATGGTGTCTGGCACCTCACACCAGCATGCAGTATCTGTAAGTGCATGTAATATTACATGACTTGCACTTCATCTTCGTTAGAAACGAACTGGTTTTCTGACTTATTGAGGACCTGACTAACAAGGTTTATTGGGACTTTTTTACGGCACCAATCTTTTAGGCAATATCTTTGGTGAGCATGTTTGTGTACAGTGGACTCTCAGGGAATACAAATACCTTAAGACAGAACTTCTGCTTAAATTGAACTGCCTTGATGCCATTGGTATTGTACCTATGAAATCTATCTCATCTCTCGGTCAGTGGAATTCTCCAAGAAACCTATTTTTGTCGTTCCTTCAGGTTACTTTTAACAAGACTCTACTGTAGTTTAAGGGAGCAGACTGGTCTTGGACATTTTTTGTTTATTTCTTCAGTGATCTCGATCAAACCGCTCAGAATTGTGCAGTTTTTCCTGCTAAATTCAAATATTTAATTAGTTTTCCTGTAACTCATCTTGTTCCTGAGATAACTTAAATTCACCCTGTATTGTTTAAGGCTGTCATAGAAAAAAAAGTGCTTAAATAAAGGGATATTTAAGATACGCCGTCATAGACTAATGACTATAGATTGAAAGTATGCACGAGTTTTTTTGTTTTTAGGCCTTTCTTGGTTATTTTACAGCAAAATGAATTATTCATTTTTAAAAGCAGTTGGAATCGTGTTATAATGTTAATAAGTAATATATTAAAAGGCCTGTGCTCTAAATTCTTCTCCTATACTTGCATTTTACACACATACAGGTTTCCATTGCAAAAAAAAAAAAAAGAAGTTGTACTTGCCCAAGCTGCAGAGGTATTGAGGCCTCAAAATTGAAGTCGTAAATTTACTTTTTTGAGAAAAATGGCAAAAAACTGTACACACACAGCTTTTTCAAAAAGCAACAATCGTGGTACACATGTTTTACGATCCTCGTAAAGGTGTTCATAAATTTGTAGCAGAGCTTCTAACACAGGTGCTGGCAAATTATAAAGAAGCCTCAAAGTCGGTTCCCCATTTTTTTGCAGGTTCTTCATGTTAACAGCACCGAGAATCTCGACAGTTAAACTGACATTACAAAAAGATTAACACTTCCTGGTGTGTGAAAATTTGCAGAGAGATATAAATATTCTTGCAGAAACCAAATATGTCAATTTTAAAAAATGAATTTTTGTCACTTTTTGGTCTCAAAGACAGTCTGCCCCCTTAAGGGGAGATGCTACTCGAAAAAGGTTTTTTTTTATTTCATAACCCAGCTCCTTGAAATTTTAGGTGTTAGTAAAGCTTGCAGTGCTGATTTCATAACTGCAATTATTTGTTTGATAGCTATAGTAGTTCCGGAGTTACTACAACTTTGATATCAAAATATAGTGTTTTTTGTGCACATAATAAAGCTTACTAAAAATTTTCACACAGAATTGCAAAATGGCTCATTCTGCTGCACTTGAGCAGTACAATACAGAAAAGTACCTCAAACAGAAAATTTATTTGCTACATTAAAAAAAAAAAATTAAAAGTACTAAATGCATATTTTACATCTATCAGTGTATCAAGTTGTGTAACAAAAAATCTGTGATGTATAATGCAACCTAAAGTAGATACTTGTATTCTAGAGTGGCTGATTAAGCTCTGTGCAAAATTTCATCAAGATAGGACTATTTTATGCCTAAAAAAGATTGTGCACAAGATGAGAGAATTACCTCAAAATGGAAATCGAGAAAAATGCATTTGAAAGTTGTAAATATGTTTACTCATGATTACACAGTGCGATTTGCACAAAACTTGGTGATATCATAGAAGGGACACAGCTAGAGCACCTAAAATTGTCCTGCTCCATATGTGGATCCTTCTCGCCGCTTGAGAAGGGAGTCATCAAGGCGCGCTTTCTTTGCCACGTTCCGCCGATGGGCCCTTGCCTCGGCTGTTTCACACGCAGACATTCTTTCGATTCTCCTCTGGTCGCGGGATTGGCCCAGGGTGATCAGTTGATCTGGTGGGACTACACCAAGCTCCTCTAGCACGTGTTCAAAGCTTGAATGTCCTTTATTGAACCACAACACGGCCATAGCAGCTGCAGTTTCCACTGTTGTCCGGGAGGCAAACTTAGTCTTCGGACACAACAACCAGATTTTGCTGTTCAAAGATTCTGCAGCGTTTTGGGTCTTCCCTTGGATACAACGCACCAGCAACTTTTCATCTGTGAGCCGCTTGTAAATGGGAAGCACAGCCAATCCTTGAGCCTTGGTCAAGATTGGTGTGTGGTCGGGTGGGGCCTCCCCAAGCGCTTCAGCTCGCCTATGCTTGCACCAGGAAGTCGCCCCTTCTGGACAGTATCGGTGGCTGCCTGCTGTGTTGCTCGATGATGAATGGAAATATGAGGCCCAGATGGCACGATGCATTTTCAGAATATCACCTCTGTTGTTTGTGATTGCAATACGGTAATAGTTCTGCAGCTTCTGAATTGTGCCATCTGTCAGCTTTTCCCCTCGTGGAAGTCTTGTTGGCAGTTTCCGAAGTGCAGTGCCTAGACGCTTGGCCACATGGTTTGTGCACTCCTCCTTGTCCACAACAGCTTCACCATATACCTTGGCCTCAGCGACAGCGGTATAAGCTTTGCTGTCCCCATCACTGAGGAACTTTGTGAAGCGCAATGGTGTTGTGTATGAGGATGTCCTGCCCCATATGCGCAAAGCTGCCTCAGTCTCCATGGCATGAGAGGAGCACTCTGTATTTTTTTCGCAGACAGGTGTGTGGAATGCTTGCCATATTTCTTCCTCATCACCCAAGTCCTAGTGCCGGCTACAGGCAAGGCAGTAATTCGATAGCACTTCAAAATCTAGGCACAAACCAGTGTCCACAGACACAGCAGTGCCGATGCCATTGTGGCTCTTGTGCCCTCTTTTTTGCCATGTGCCATCATACATGACAGCAACATCAGCCCCATCCACTTTCTCTTTAGTTATCATCCGCGCTTTCGCCAGGTTTTCTTGCACAGCTTTGGTAGCTGCAGCATGAACTTTTTTGCCAATTGCAATAAAAGTCTTATGATGCATAGGTATTGGCAGTCCAAGAATAGCGCAAAAACGCGACAGCTGTTCATGCCCAATGCCTATTGCACGCGCAGCCACAACTACCTTCACATTGACAGCGAAGCTGTCACGCGAGCTGCCGCTTCGGTAGCTCCAGTCATCACCGGCATCGGTGGGCTGTCTTTCCGGCAGAACACGCCGCGAACTATGCGCGGCAGAAACCACTGACTCAGGACACTCACTGTTATCACAGTGCAGCTCGAGGAACGAAGAGAGGCCCTTACGTTTACTTGCGGTGTCGCGAACGACGAGTCCAGCGGTGTGGCATGTTGGACAAACAGCACGGCTTACCATCGATGTCAGTGCGCCGATGTCACAAAATACTCCGCTCACAGAGCCACAAACACTCTTCGTTCTTTCGCTTTCGAACTGTTCAATCTTTTTTTCTGATGCGCTGATGAACTTGATCGCGGCGTCGATTTCGTCAAAGTTCCCGCAAGCCGCCGTATCCCCGCTGCCTTGATTAGGCCTAGTGGCCCGCGGCTCGCATTCTTCTACCGCTGCTTTGCGCTTCGGTTTACGTCGACGCCCTTGGTACTTGTTCTTGCTTGCAAACTTTCGTGCTCGGAAGTCTCGCTTCTTCGAGTTATCCATGGTGAACTCGGAAAAACGTAGAAACGCACGGCAAGTGCCGATCGTCGCAAGCGCTCAGCGAGCGAGGCCGATCAGATGTAGCCAATGGCGGCCTCGGTAGCGTACCATGTGACCGGTAGAGATGCGCGAAGCGGCTGCAGCTTGGCTGCAAACCGACTTGGAAACGACTGTTTTGTGAAATTCCTCACTAAAATACGAAACTAGGGGGACGCCTGTACACTAGAAGGAGCCTTGATCTACACCACCGAACAAACCCCGATGGCGGACGTCATCGTGTTGCCGAGTGGCGGATTTTCAAAAATAGCCGTCGGATGCGTGAATTCGCGACTTCGGCAGCTACCTTCACTAGCGCAGATCGACTTTTTACCACTTTCTCGTTTGAATTCAGCTATGACCTTTGGGGAAATGATAGTTGAATGATCAAAAGTGATTTTAAAAGCAATATCTCAAAAGTGGAAATTTTCGCAAAAAACGCGATTTTTCGACCCGCATCTCCCCTTAAATAACCTTTATCACTCTTGCATTATCTAAATTTCGCTCTGTCACGCTCTCTGGAAGATGGGTTACTGAACATTGCAACTGAAGTCTGCCTTTGGGACTGCTCTGGATGACTGTGGCACTGACGCTCGCCATTTCAGGTGTCCACTGGGGCCGGAGGCATGGCTTGTGGTCCCCCTCGATCCCCCATGCCACCGCCCTCTTCCCCAATGGGAGGCCCCTCCCCTTCCCCAAGGATGCCGCAGCCACCAACGTCCCCTATGGCCTCTCCCCTCCACCAGATGTCGCCACAGCTGCCTTCACCTCGCACCCCAAGGCCACCCGTCCACTCAATGCCGCAGGTTAGTAGAACTGCACTCTAACCTTTGCTATGCATTCTTTTTCACTTCGAGAGAGTAACGCAAAACTAGGCTTTGACATCCTGCGGCCGAACGGGGACAAAAACGTCTAATAGTGAATTCCAATGGTAGATTCTGAGTAGCCAACGAGTGTTGCACTGAAGCACTCCACTCCAGCAGAGGTTGACCAAAGGAAACTTGCCCCTGAAACACAGGTGCTCCACTGGGCCAAATGACCTGGGGGAATTCGTGCATGTCCGGTGCCGGAAGCTTCCAGCATTCCTCACATTTCGTGCTGTTTACGCCTCCACAGGCGCATGCCGAGAGAATAGTACAGACAAGCAGCTTGTTGCATTGGTCACATGGTATGCCAACGCTGCACATGTAGGAGGCACTTTTTAGTTCTTGTTGAATGCCACTGATCGCATAGTGCATCTGGCTCTGCTTAAAATCTGTCACTGAAATGTACAAGGAAGACTACCGACCTGGCAATGAAACAGACTTGCTCTGAATAGAGCACAAAAACTGCTACTGGATGTGCTCCGAATGCGGCAGTGGGATGCACCGTAGTAAATCTTATACAATATGCTGTAGCCATTTATTCTACTTATTTTAGCTTTAGCATAGCTACATTGAAATAACAAACTGCCCCCCCCCCCCCCCCCCCCAACCCTATGGCAGGTTCTTGGCATCACCTGTGCTGTGTTTTTGGAAATTCATCACTGGTTGTGTGCCTTTTGATGATTGAGTGTCTGGGTTTTCTCATTGCAGATATGAATATGCTGATAACAAAATTATGATCAATAGCCTTTCAAAAGGGAAAGAATAGTCTTTCAATCATGCATTTTCTGACCATGCTGACAAGGGGCCTTTTCAAAAACTGTTTTTCGCTTGCGGCTGTTTTCTTCAGGATGAGCCCAGCATCATGGGAGATAGCTTCCAGCTGCGAGAAGGCATGGAAAAAGGCCCTCAGCAGCAGCAACAACAGCAACAGCAGCATCAGCAACAAATAATGTCAAGCATTGTGCAGGGGCTATTGACACAGCAGTCGCCACTTCATGAAGGTATGTTGCTGTATGGAAGCAAATTCATTTTTCCTCAGACATGCAGATTTTGTTTTTGCTCATAGTGTCAAACCACATTCAGATGACGTAAAGGTACATTTGGTATAAGCCATTATTTACTGTGGATGTCTGCAAAAAAAGCTTTAATGTAGCTTGCTTAAGGGGGGACGCGGCACTTCGGGACCGAAAATCAGCCAAAAAATCGAGTTTTCGCGGACCTTCTTTTCGCGTTCCCGACATCATTGCGCACCTATTTACAAAATTTCATAGCCGAATACCATCAACTTTTATCGTTATTCAACTTTAAAAAACCGAAAACGGGCGTCCTGCCCTTTAAATTGAGGGCGAATAGCGCAGGTTTCGGCTCTACGATACGCGGGAACTACGCGCTCGATCGGCGCCATTTTGGTCTTGTTTGAAAGAACGCGTTTTCAGCTGTTTTTTTTTTATTCAGTAAGCAACATTGAGCGTTTCCCCGGCTCGAAAAACGGGGCCTCAAAGACGAAGAGCCGCGCTCACTGCCATTGGCTAAACGGCGCACGTGACTGAAATGGCGCTTTCCGGTTGGCTAGAAGCTCGCGGCTTGCGCCTGCATACGCGACCCGACGCCATTTTGAAAGGGTTACCGCTGTGACGCCTCGAAATCGGCAGAGCACTCTGAAGCTTCTGATCGTATCGCCATGCCTGGAAACGCAAAAAAGTATCGGACCGTGCACGCATTTGGTCGCAAGAAACGCAAAGGTCGTGGGAGAAAGTCTACAAAGTCATCAGAGCCCTTGGTTGACTCCGACGAACGATGTGTCGACGCTCCGCGGCCGTTCAGCGATGGTGCGACCGAGCGCGTTGCCTCCGACGACGATGACGGTGAAGCGAACTCCGGACGACTACGAATCGACGCCAAGGTGGTGACAAACGCCGAAGTTGAAGAAAATCATGCCCGGGAGAAAGCGACGCTCGACCGGCTTTCATCGGCGCCAGCAACTGCATGGAAAATTGACTTTTTCACCGCGAGTTGTAGCGAGGCAACCGCACAGGACTCGGACCACGCTGCTCCTTATCTGCTTATGCATCTAGATATTCTAAACGCGATAATGGGTGCCTTGTGTTGCAAAGCCTGCCACGGACCGGCTACGATCGTCAGAGGGGATCGGGACTACGGACTTGCCGTGAAAGTGCTAGTGCAGTGTGAAAGGTGCGGCGAGATCGCGAATGAATGGACTTCGCCCCGCGCGAACGGCACGAAAACGTGCAATCCGTTTGAAGTAAATCTTCTCGCTTCGAGGGCGATGGTGGCTACCGGCAACGGCCAAACGAAAATGAACGATATTTTCGCAACAATGGGCATCTCACACCGCGGTATGCACCACAAGACGTTTCAGCGGCATTTGAAGAACACGCTGGCACCCGCTGCAACGCGAGCGGCTGAGTCCGCTATGAGCGAATGTGCAGAAAAGGTTAGAACAATTTATGATGACTTGTGCTTCGGCCACCGGGGCAATATTGCCGTTAGCTACGACGGCACGTGGAAGACGCGAGGCCATTCTTCCCACATCGGCGTGGGCACAGTTATCGAATTATTTAGTGGCTACGTGTTGGACTACGTCGTTCTTTCCAACTTTTGCCTAAGCTGCGAGGTGGGCCCAAAGCCTAGTAGTGAGGGCTATCAAGAATGGAAGGCTAACCACAAATGCCAAAAAAATACGAACAGCAAAGCGGGGCAAATGGAAGTGGAGGCGGCTCTAATTCTATTTCAGAGGTCGCTTGAACGCCATGGCCTGCGCTACACAACTATGCTGTCTGATGGAGACTCTAGGACATTTTGCGCCATACAAGACGCCAAGGTGTATGGTTACATTGACGTGCAGAAGGAAGACTGTATTAATCATGTACAGAAACGGATGGGCACTGCATTGAGAAACCTGGTGCAGAAACAAAAGTGCGATGGGAAAAGAGGCCTTGGTGGGAAAGGCAGGCTCACAGGTGAGCTGATCACCAGGCTGAGCACATATTATGGCCGGGCTCTGAAATCGCATGAAGGTGACGTGGGCGAGATGCAAAAGGCTGTGATGGCCACATACCGCCACGTCACCTCCACTGATGAATGCTCGGTCCACAGTCTGTGCCCAGCTGGTGAAACTTCATGGTGTCGGCACAATGCCGCAAAAGCAAAGGGTGAGCCCGACCCCAGGCATGCCTACAATCTACCGAAAGACGTGGCAGAGGCATTACTACCGGTTTATACCCGGCTTTCGGAAAGAGCCCTGCTTCAGAGGTGCGAACGCGGCAAAACGCAGAACTCCAACGAGAGCCTACATTCGGTAATCTGGAGTTTGGCCCCCAAGGAGCACCATGCGTCCCTGTTCGCTGTTGAAGCAGCTGTTGCAGAAGCAGTGCTGCGCTTCAACACGGGCAATTTGAATTCTGCAACGGCAATCTTAGGTGAAATGGACATGAATGCGACAAGTACTGGTGCCAGGAGAGCGAGAGAAAAAGACCACCGTCGCAGCATTGTCTCCAACAAGAAAAGAACAGCCTCATTGGAACTCCGGAAGCTAGTGAAGAGGAGGCATGAGCACAGAATGCATTCAGACTATGCTTCTGGTGCGTTTTGAGGTTGTCTTGTTGCATCTTCTGCAATAAAAATGTGTGCCCACGTTTTTTCTCGATTTCTCAAAACGACAATTTTCATGTGCTTCCCATTATGCCGGAGCAATATCTCTTGTTCTATCTGGGTTATCATTACGATTTCTTTTTTGTTTCGAAGATAAATGCAGGGGATGTGTCGTAAAGTAAGTTTTATTGTAATAATTTTTGGAGAAAATTCTCTAAATGGATCTTTTGTTTCAAGTGTAGATGGGGAAATTTTTCATGTCATATTCAACATCCCACAACTTTGCTTCGAAATAGCCCAGAACAATGATTTATACTTTATTGCACACTGTGAACATACCGAATTGGTTCTATAGGTTGCACATCAATATCCAAGTTACAGTTAATTAGCTAATTAGGCCTTAATTGAAAAAGTCGCAGTTCATTATATCTTTAAAACTAATTGTCACAGCAAAAAAAGAATTAGATTTTTGAAATCAGCAGTAATATCTACATTGGCTCTCCAAATTTGACTGAGGTACTCGCAAAAATAAAAGAGTTTTTGGAAGGTGTAGCATCCCCCCTTAAGTAAGATGGCCGTGATGAGCCTATTGTTACAACTTCGCATCATCTTGTCATGCATGTGATAGCAAGTCAGCAGGGCTAAACCACAAGTGGACTTTCATAGTCGTTAAAATGTAATCATGAGATCAGTATAGATGTCAGATATTGGAGTTATGCATACGTGTAGTGCCTGCCACCTGTCGGAGCAGTATTGGGTAGTTCAAAATCAGACTGTCTTGCACTGTTTCCTGTGTAACCAAGTGCAACTAGCAAGTGCAAAACAACAATTGAGATGAGTATTGCCTGTGTTTGTGCACTAAACACTTGAAGAAAAAAAAAACCTACAAATTTTTTTCTGCTCATAGAGACGCCACTAAACCGCCACGAAGTGCCTGCTGGATCGCTTGCCAGAACGATGGCGAAAACAAGAGCAGACGATGCAACTCTGCACGCTAGGAAGAAACGCCATAATCAACTCTGTTATCGCGTTGTAAATTGCCACGAACATGAAGGACTGAACCATACTGTTCATTGAGTTTTACCAATATCCGTAGCTGTTGTACTAGGCAGAACGGCAAGAGCACTGGATGTGAGCCTTCGCGAACGTTTTGGGTGAACGAATTACTATAAAACCCCATTAATTCAGACTTCACTAGACCGGAGAGAAGGTCCTAATTAAACGAAGGTACGAATTATCGCAGGTACGAACAAAACACTTGAAAAATGTCTCCTACACCATCAGACCTTTATTTCCTAGAAAAAGTCTGTGATCCCGGTTTGCTTCACAGGCGCATTGTGCGACGAAGTCACAATTTTGCGAAATTCCTGCAGGTGGCTTAATCAGCACACACTGTCCGAGGAAAGCATGCATACGTCCTCCAAAACGGCCAATGCATGTGCAACCTCTGTCATAGTGTGGCATGGACGCTCGTCAGCACCAATTACGTTCTTGTCAGCTGATGCACCAATTACGTTCTTGTCAGCTGATTCCCTTTCGCTGTCCAAGACTTCGGCAATGATATCGCTCTCGGTCACTCTGCCGGCCACGTCAACATCGCTGTCAATTGTGAAGTACCGCATTTACTCGCATATTCCTCGCACTTTTTTGGCAGAAAACCGATGCAAAGTTAGGGGGTGTGAAAATTACGCTGGGAAAACTTTCCACGAAAACGTACAGTGCAAAAAGAAAACGAAGTGGCCGCAAATCGGGATTCTCACACCAGCAACTAACAGCAAGCTTTGAGAAGTACTAATTAAAACTTACCCCAACATTAAAAGCACTGGTTCAACACAAGGCAAGATTTATTTGAGAGACTAAAAGTGCAAGCAAATAGTCGAGAATTAGAATACCATACGCAAAGCTTCTGGGTGTTGCGGCCGTAGCAGTAGCATTCGTCGTGCAACAGGAGCCCTCACAAGGTAAGCGTAGGGCGTCAGTATTGAGCTGGTGGCTATTTAATAGAATCGTCCGCAGTTTCCTTCTGAAGGAATAAAGTTTACGATCAATCCCAGTTTTAGGCACACGGCAGGCCCAACGCGTCTAGATGGCTTTCAGCTGCCGTCACCAGTAGCGAACACAAAACTCGTAGACTCCGAAGGGCCAACCGGCAGCCCTGTTGTCGTTGTTTAGTGCATGATCTATCACTTTCAACTTGAAAGCAGCCGTGTAGCTTCAGTATCGCCCCCATAGCGTGACAAGATTACCAATACAACACACAAAACACGCCGCAACGCGCACTTGCCACTTTGGCTTGGCTTGGATTGGATTGAATCTCTGTGCAGTAATAGTACGAATGATGCTTAAGAGATGGCGCCAGATGATGCGCGCTATTATCATCAGTGGCTGG